ACAACTGAAGACCACGACGATGAAAACTTTCATGTGCGATCTAACTGCAACCTTACTAGCGGAGATGACCACTTTGGCAAAGTCTATACAGGCGCTTCCTACTTTGGTTTCGCCCGCTTCTCAAAATGGTACAACAGAGCTCACGCCAAGCTGGGCCGCATCTGACTCTACTTCGCAATTCTCGCGTCGCAACTCGCAAACACCAGGCGGTAGTAGGCCGGAGTCACCCGTGGGAAATGCACTGAAGGAGGGTCACCGCATGTCAATGCCTGTCTTGCCATCGAGTTCCGGAGGAGCCCTGTCTACTGAAGACCCTAGGACCGCTTCGTTGAGCGCACAAGGTACACGCACACCCCCGACAACCTTCGACGAGATCTCCGGTATCAATGCTGCCAATACGCTGCATCAAACGAACAGCAATCCCGCCAGGCCTACTTCTGCAACTAAAGCAGCGGACCGCGTTTCTATCACAGGCTTTGGTTCCGGCGGAGTCGGTGAAAGAGCTCGGAATAAGGGACGTGGTCGTATTGGAATCGTGATTGGTACATTATACATGTGCGCGGGGCAATGGGTCGAGGCTGTACGAGAGCTTACAGAAGGCGCGACGAGAGCACGTGCTCTGAGTGACCATCTATGGCATGCCAAAGCTCTCGAGCACATCATGGTTTGCATGCTGCTCTTTGCTTGGTCAGGCATGGAGTTCCAGGTTAGTCTCGCCTTCATACAAGTTCGGCCTAATTATTTTGCTAACTCTCAAGATACCTCCGATCTGCTATCCGACATCCGATAAGTCTGGAGGAAACAAGTCACCCACTCATACACCGTCGAGCAGTGTCTCGGACGTTTCGACTCCCGCCAAGCCCCACAAACATGACAACTCACTGGACGCCTTGAACTCGCTGCTTCCAGATATGGTCAACATGATACTGAATCTATATACCCGTGCTGCTAATTTCGCTGGCGAATCCTTGCCGCCGCTCGCGTTCTCAGAATGTGTAATACGCTTCTCCAAGTTGCTGGCCGCCATAAACCTATCTGGAGGCTTTCTGGATGAAGACGCGTTGCGCCAGCTTGTGCAAAATACACCATACAAGCAAAAGCCACGCCTTTCGGTTCCAAGGCTTAGTGTACACCCTACGCGTAATGACATAGCGTCTATGCTATTTCGCGCATTACCCGGACCGGTGGAAAGCTCTGGCATGAACCCAACAGACCGTGTTGTTGTACTTGCTGGTGTTGCCTCGATCTTGTCATCATTAGGCCTACAACGCAAGAAAGCCATCGTCATGAAGGAGTTCATTACATCTCTCGTTCCCGGCTTGATTCAGGCCCGTAAGGTTGGTGCAGCAGAGATGGGAGTGCATCCAGCCGCTGGCCTTGCTGCTCTCAACATCGCAAGCGGCGGTAGCTCCGGGAGCGGTGCGCTTAATCTAGGCGAAGGCGAAGTCGAGAATGGGATCGAGGAATTCCTAGGCTTGCTAGGCCGGATATACGGGATACCGAATTCGAAAGGCAACATGCCCAATATCGGGATGCCCAGTCAGAGAGATGAGAACGCGGAAAGTGCATCGGACAGTATTGCTAGTCAACGTGTCGTTGACACAATTCTGGCGATATCATCTTTGCGCTCTTTCGGAAGTTTGAGTCTCAAGCTAGAGATATTACGAACGTGCCTGAGTTTCTGCGAAGCATTACCAGACTTTAATGGCGTCCTCCATTTCACTGCTCTCTTGCTTCGGGTAGCGGGTCCCGGAACAGCACCGAGACCTAATAGCACCGACGTGTTCGTCTCTCTTCCCCGAGATGAGCAGATCCGACTCTACTCCAACATCTCGAGAACCGTCACTGCCGCTAAGAAGCTTGGACTAAAGCGTATAGAAACGGAGTACTGGGATGACTTCCTTGTGCGCGGATTGTTCATTCTCGAGGAAATTGAACCTCTCCGACTGACTCAACGACAAGGGACCGAATTGAAGTCAGACAGCCAAGGAAAAGATGGCCCTTTTCTTCACAATGCCTGGCTGAGGAAACCGCAAACAAATGCTGCAAATACAGTGTTGGTTGCTAACGAGCACTATCGCTTCGTTATAGCCATGCAAAATCCATATGAGTTCGAGCTTGGCGTAGAGTCGTTGAAGATAGCTGCTGAAGGTGTTGAGTTTGTCGCGCTGGAGGAACACTTCCTATTGGGCCCTTACAGGACTCAGAAGTTTCAGATCACAGGGACTGCGCAAACATCAGGATCGTTGAAGATCATTGGATGCTACGTTAAGCTTATCGGCTGCAGAGAGCGGCTTTTCCCTATATTCCCAGAGCCATGGAAGCCGAAGAGAGAAGCAAAAATGAAGCGCATGGGCCTCAAGGCATGTTTAGGGGCACCGACATCGCGGCCCTCCTCGGCTATCGCACCATCGATCGACAGTAGAGCAACTTTTCAGCCAAAGCCAGAGTCGTTGACGTTTTCGGTAATCCCAGACCAGCCCGTCATCATCATTACCAATGTTTCGTTACCGCAGTCAGCCGTCATGGTGCTTGAAGGCGAAAGGAAACGATTTACTGTTACAGTGAAGAATACTTCGTCTGAAACAACTGTCGACTTCGTCCACATCTCTTTCCAGGATACGGCTACCGCTGCGATACAAGCGGCGACTTCCAACAAAGACTTGCCTGCAGCCGAATTACATGAGTTGGAAGTCCAGCTTGCCCATCATCCGTCCTTGCGCTGGTGCAAGAATGAGGCCGAGGAATCACCGAGCATCAAACCTGGCGCTGAAGCGCAGTTCACCATCGAGGTTATCGGTCGCACAAGACTGACGGATGCGACTATACAAATCGACTATGCCAACCTTGGAAAGCGGAGATCGGAAGTAGAGGAGCACTTCTTCACCCGTCAGGTATCTGCACCTATCTCAATCACCGTTAATGCAAGTGTGCAGCTTCAACGGCCGGACATAGTACCCTTATCCGGAGACATTGCCTGGTCTAGCGATGCAGCTTCAGGCTCACGCATTCAGTCAGATGACGAAGCCTCGCAATCACGGTCGTCTGGGAAAGCCGACGGTCATCTTCGGTCTTTCATCAGTCAAAAACAGAGTGATGATACCGATGAAGAGTACTGCATGCTTCTCCTGGATCTCAGGAACTCCTGGCCGAACCCACTGTCGATCTCGCTCCAAGCCCGAAAGCCAATGGCTGATGGCAATTACGCCAACGACTCTTGGAACGAAGCTCATAGTGTGAACGAAGTCATACAACCGGGGCATGTCAGCAGGGTCGTCATGATCCTTCCAAAGATTTACTTGAAAGCACCACATGCAGCCGTACCATCTTTGAACCCCGCCAATCAACGCCAGTTCGTCGTCAGCACGAGCAAAATCTCCCCAGAGATCGAGCGAGCGAGCCGAGAAGCTTTCTGGTACCGCGAAGAGCTACTCAAGATCGTGCGTGGAACGTGGACGGAGGATGGCAATGGACGTCACGGCGAGCTGGAATTGCGCAGCATCCGCTTCACGCCGCGTATGGTCGAGGCCATCAAGCTTGACGATCTCGCCATCAAGACAACAATCATCTCTGACAACCCTGTAGCGGATGGCGAAGAAATTGTGCGACAAGTCGGTCGCGCAAAGTTCGAGGTACCGATAGACGACTTCCTCACCATGAAGACGTTTGTCCGAAACCGAAGTCCACGTCCCATCTCACCGATACTCAGACTACAGCCTCACGTCGCTGGTCTGCCTCACAACGTCGCCCTGGATCTGGATAAGCGCTTCTCGTGGACAGGTGTGCTGCAGCGCAAGTTGCCGGTTATACAACCTGGAGAGACGGTGGAGTCTGAGCTTGGTATCGTTGCGTTGTGCGGTGGTACATACGAGGTCGGTGCAACGGTTGACGAAGCGGAGTTCATCAAGATGAGTGGTGGAGACGATGATGAGAAGACAAACGACGATCAAATGCTACTTCAGGGTGGTAATGTTCTGGGCGAGCCGAAGCTACGAACTTGGTACATGACGGAGCCGTGTACTATCGTTACGAAGAGATGAGGTGAGGAGGAAGGTAGACTAGATGGATGAGATAGATCCTATCATGCTTGTTTCACGTATCATTCTCCAGTCGACAACAGTTCCATAATCAGATGATGACGAGCAGCAAACTCTGAACAAAGTATATGGGGCCGACACGCATAAACACGTCCAGAAAAACCCAAAACGCGACAAGATGCCCAACATAAACAGTCTACCTACCGAACTAGTCACGGCCATCAATTCGTACCTCGTAGCTAATGGCACAAGTCTTGTCTGCCTTGTCAACAAAGAACTTCACGAGAGGACACCACACGACTTCTGTCTATCTTTCAAGACCGTCAGGGTATCTCTGATCCGCATTAGCATACAGCGACTGAGCGATGTCGCGTGGACTAGCGACCTCGTAGACGTAATTGAGTACTTAATCGTCGGCACAGAAACACTGGATCAATACCCTCTGACATCGACACCGTGTCCCGGTGCTTTCCGTCAATTGTTAGCCAATGAATCGAGAATCAGTGAACTGCGCACGTGGCTCTAAGACATCATCGCTAATAGGCTGAAAAAGCTGCATACCATCACCATAGAAGACCTCCCCGAGGATCCAGCCAGTGCTATCTACCGTCGAAGCATGGGCCACGCCGAGATAACACGCAGGACTGGTGTCAATTTGCGCTGGAACGGACCAGACATCCGACATGTTCCTTATTATTCATACATTGAGAGTGTTTCGGATTATCCATACATCCGGCATGCTTCGGGTTATCAACCCAATCGAAGTTTCCCGTTGGTATCGCGATCGTTGGTTTGTGCAACTGTGTTCAAGATTCTGCACCATCTACACACACGCAATAGGATACTGAATCCCAAAATCATAATGAGAGGACACCGGGTGATCGAGGACCATCCAAGCGATATTGCACAGGCTTTCGATATCACAGTAGGTGTTGTTCTGAAGGTACTAAAGTCTCATCTTCCACATATTGAGGTGGGTGAAGATGAAAGTACGTATCTTATTACTTCTCGGGTTTGGAACTTTGTGCAGAGAATTCACGATTTTACGCTAGGTAAAGGTATTGCGTTGGCTGACCGGTCGGCTGACGGGCGATTGAACTGAGGTTGCGGGTGATAAATGATGTGATTATTACTTTAACGATGTCCGCTGTATGAAACCTTAGGGAAAATGATCGCGCCAGCCATTGCTGTTCGCAACAATCAGTTATCTCAATCTCCAGAGCCCTCGGCGCCTACGTACCGCTCAACGTCTTCTTTTTGATCATGCGACGCCGTTGTATGCGCCTCTGTTGGTCTACCACTGATGTCATCGCTCGCTGGTCGTGCTGAGAATTGGTTCGTTATCATCACTAATTGAGTGAGCTCTTCTAATTGGGCTTGGAATTGGGCTTGCTGCTTCAAGAGCTGTTGAAGTGTTTGGTTGCTCCTGCTAGCTGCACTGTCAAATTATCAGACAAGCATTCTAGAAACATTCTCTCCAATGGCGTACTTACGAGTTCGCCATGGAGATTTGATGAGACAGAAGCCGTGACCGTAGGTGTTCCCTCTGGCGTATTTTCTCAAAGACTCGCTCTCGCACCCGATACCAACGCACGAGCTGTGGCGTTGAACCCAGCCTTAGTGTAGCCTGGACCGCAGATGCCAGGCGATTTGAGTTTTTCGATATGTACTTCGCCTCGATGTCATCATCCATAGATCTAGCCTCCATGCCTGCCTGCCTCGCTTCTCGAAGGGCATCGGTCCATGTCGTAGACGTAACCCCAACAAGTGGGCAATCTGGCAATCGCAGTAACATGCTAGAGGTGTCCAGACCTGCTGCTCGCTTTACATAGATGCTGGTGACAATTTCTACAGAGTAGATAGAAACGATCAACTTCTTCAGCCAGGCGGTATCGCTATCGTCGCTCTCTTTTATTACAAGACGGCTTCTCAAACCTATCATTCTTAGGTCCTGAAGGTTAGCCTCGACGGAAGACTGGACCGTGGCCATTTCCAAAAGGCCATTCGTCAAAGTGGTATAGCGAATGTAGGCGGCTGCGAGAATGGCAGCGGCAAAGGTGAGGATGCCGGCGACGTTGGCGGCGATGGAAAGTGGGCTATCCTCCATCGGGAATGGCGTGCGGTGGTTTGAAGCAGTGCGGGCAGGCTACATAAGCTACGTCCGCGATAAAAGAGGGCAGAGAAGACGTTCGTAGCTGTCAAGGTTACACCACACAGGTTGTTAGTTGGCCCCTCCAACGGCGCCCGGCTGCATGGTAACATCCAATAGTTTCACAGCATCTCGCTTGCACGATTCAACCTTGCAGCCCATGCCGCCCCCGTTCAACAGGTGCGACCATCTCCATTCTCATCGCTCCGCAAAGCACTTGCGTCAGATCACGTCATCTCACGACTTTCAATTGTTAGAGTATCGCTTTTGAACGTCCGCCAACAGTCTCCCTGTCATCCACAGTCCGTGTACGGAACCGTGTTGTTTAAGCATTCGGGGAAGCGCGAGCGGCAACAGTACATAGCAGTTTTCTGATGCAGTTTTGAAAAAATGACTCAACCATCCATGGGTGCACGTATTAGGCTTTTGGAATAGCCCAGAATCGCGGTGGAAGGTGACAAGAAGGCAGGAACAAGCCAGCAGGCCTTTTGTATCTCTTGGATGCGAATTCTGCCATATCAATAGAGCGAGGCGGCCTTTTGAAACGTCTGGTCGCGACATCGAAAGGCGTACATGTTGTTTTGGAAGCCCGTGGCGTCTCTGCAATAGGGTTCGGCGCCAAATCCCATAGGTCGATGCTAACTTTAGTTTGAGAAAGCAGAAGAAGCGCACATGTACATGCGATAATGGAATTTCGAGATCGAAGTGCTGCGCCAGTCATAAGATCGCTAGGCGGCATGTTTTGAGTAACAGTTTGGCCAAGAGTGAAGTGCGTGAAAAAAAAAGCAGAGAACCATGACTTTCGCTCTTCGCCGTTTATTCTCGACCGCCGGTGGCAAGTCATGAATGGTTGACGCCCTTGTCTGAATATCCATTCTAGATGTGGGTTTTCGCGTTGGACAGCTTTTCTGGCTCATGCCATAGATTCTGTAGCCTTTTGGATCAAGAAGGGACAAGCAGCCAAAGCACTCATGGTAGTGAACCGATCGACTTTGGAGAAAGAGCCAGAAAAGCCATTTGTTGGCGGCGCATCCTTTTTGGAAGTGCCAACAAAAGCTCGAGATATAGAATAAAGAGAGCCATCGGCGAAAGGGGGCCTTTTATACAAGCCATCCTCGCACTAGCTATATCTTCCATCGCTGCTATATGCTGACATCGAATCATGAGACTTCCACGAGATCGAAACGCGCCGGTCATACCCGGTCTTTAGAGAAGCAGGCAAAAGCTCATAAAGGCTTTGCATATCAAATTCGAAGAATAACGCAGGAAGTTGTAGGTGAAGAAAGCCAGGAGGGAGGACGGTAGAAGGTCTTTTATATCCAGTCTGTCTTGTATGCGCTTGCAGACTCAGTGCCACGCGGCCATGGCCGGGTGTCTTCTCTAATTTGAGAGCCGAACTCCGCATGGCGGCGTAGTTCGTGAACTTGAGTACGATGTAGCTGCCAGAGAGCCACTTCTGATGCGAATTCTCGGGAAGAGGACCAAACAGACATGTCGTCATGTCTAGTGAGTTTTTGGGAAAAAGAGCGCACAGCACATCGGTCGTATTCAGCAAGGTTTTGAAGAAACGCAGAAAGGTTGTAGTATCGAAAGTCAGCCCTCAAGCCGACATGAAGAGACTTTATACCACTCCTTTCCAGTCCCGAAGATCGACATGGGCTAGCGCAATTGGAATTTTTTGAGACGTACTTCTAATCAAGTGCGCGGTTGTATCTTTTGGTTTTTACCACGGAACGTCCGACCTGCTTGGTTCCTCGCAGGTGGTGTTTTTTGGATGCGGAAAGGAGAGACAGAACACGACGTGGAGTACCGGCGATTTTGGAACAAGGAAAAGCCATGGAATTGAGGCATCTCTGTTCTAAAATAAAGCGCCGGAATAGTGGCGGTAGTGAAGAAGGCGAGGAATGCGGAATTGAGAATGTTTTATAGCTCAAATGGCATGATTCCAAATCCTCTGGTCTTGATCATCCGACGGGACCTTGTAAATGTTTGACAGGCACGGGGTTTTTGGTGAAATGTATGGACATGCGTGATGTCGATCTCCCAACTATGCAGTCTTTGTGGTGAGTTTTGGAATGTTGGAAGGAGCGACACCTTTCGGTAAAGCCACAAGAAAATGTGGTACATAGGTAGTAAGAACAAGAGAGGAAGAAGAGGAGCATTTATATCGCAACCCGATCTCGTCTTCTCCCAGCCATGTACCCTCTCTCAACGACTTTTCACATGTTTTACCACTCAGCACAGCTCACTCCATCGCTTGTACTACCACCCAATTTCGAAAAACACAACACCCCTCCATCGAGGCACCACCAGTGTATTTCGCTTTGAGGAGAGGGTAGACTTAGGACGAAACCAGCACACTCGGTCATCGAAACCAGACATTTCGTTTTTGGGTAGAAGAGGAAGCAAGCCGGAAACGAACATTGAAGTGCCCTTTGGTAGTTTTGGTAGAATGCAAAGAGATCGTGGCGAGGACGACATAAGATGGGAATTGAGGGAAGATTTTTGAATAGGAAGTCCTTAGTCGCAGACTCCCATGCGCTTTCCATTGATGCCTTTTGGTAAAAGTACACAGGAAGTGTAGTGATAAAGAAGTGGATGAAGGACGCGGAAGGAGGGCTTTTATATGCCAACACCGCACTCTCCGCTCTCCATAGGGTCGCTTCGGGAGTAATTTTGTATGCGCAGCGCAGAAAGCAGGGAGTCTCCATACGAGTTTGAGTAGTGTTTTTGGATCAAGCTCGTAGTGCTGTTGACTCCTCTGAACCAAAATTCTGAGTCTTTGGTGGAGAAGAGAGCAGCGCAAGCGCATGTATCGCCAGTCCAGGCGTTTGGAAGAGAAGAGCAGGAGAACACATGAACTCTCCAAGTTCGTTATTTTGGTGCAAAAAAGAGGAAGGCGGTCGTTGTGGAAGGAACGAATCAAGACGACGAAAGAAGGTATTTATACCGTCCTCTTGGCTAGTTCTCGATCTCCATATGTCGGTAACGATCTAATTTTGAGTATGCGTCCAGCGGAACAAGTCTCTCGTCTCATCGCCTGAAGCAAGCGAAGTTTGATTCCCACAATCCTCGTCTTCTACGTCGCACGGTGCTCACCCTGTTTTTGGAAAAAGCCGAGGCGGAGAGCCCACACGCATAACAATAGTGTCTTTCATTTTTGAAGGAAGAAGACTGGCACACACACATTCGCCTTCTCTCTCTTTTCTTTCTCAGGAAAACATCAAGTAGTCCGGGCGCGATTTGAAGAAAGCAACAGAGCCAGAACATGTGTTTTATACGCGTCCGACAGCTGAGCCGAAGGAACCATGGAATATTGTCGGAGGGCATTTTGAAACAGCACAGTCGCTGGTGCCATGGCAGGGTCTTAATAACTTTTGTAACGACACCCAGTGGAGAGGCTTCTCATCAAAGAGCGGAAGAGGTATTTTGGAAAGAATGTTGGAAAGACAGGCCAACGCACACGGACATGACTTGGTACCCGCCTTTGTTTGGAGAAGGCCGCCAGGATAAACATGGTTTCCTTGACGGGCGTTTTTGAGGAGCAATCCGAGAAGTTGTGGTGTAAAAAAGAGAGAAAGAGGCGACGAAAAAATGCTTTATATACCCCCTAGCGCAATCTCTCAACATCGCATGCGGTCTAGTGCACTGGATTTTGAGTGAAGTGAAGACGACAAGGTCTAATCATCATTGCATCATCCATCCACTCGTTCATCAATCTATCATACGCCATACCATCTACGCAAAGAATGATGAAAAGGGAAGACGCCTGTAAATGCCCATAAACGTCATGTATACTCATGAAGCATCGCAACCAAGCGTCAAAAGTGCCGTGAAAAGAGGGCGGGCATTAGGGAGAGAACACGAACCCACGAAATGTAATGGCAACCCACCATCCCACTCATCTCTAAAACCTTGTTATAGGGAGACCATCCATAGTAATATACACATATCGCAAACCTTCTAATCCCAATCAAACGACAATCGCTCCTAGTTGTTTGCCAGTGTAGGCGCACGCCTGAGCTTGTAATCCGGCAAATGATCAAAGTCATCCGTCTCGGAGTTGTATCGCCAGGCCTTGAACTCTACGCCGTAGGGCTTAGGCTCGAGCTGGTACAGCATACCCAGTGGGCAGTCCAGATCAGCCACGTCCTCGCGCTTGAGGCCCTGGAAGTATGCGAGTAGCACGCGGGCTACGCTTCGGTGTGTGATGAGCAGGCAGTGGTCCGTCATGCGCTCGAGCTCTACGATGACGGGGCGGATGCGGTTGATGACGTCGAGGTAGCCTTCGCCGCCGGGGCCAGGGTATCGGTAGGCGAGCTTGTCGCGTCGCCGTTGGAGGTACTCGTCTGCGTACTTTGTGCGGATCTCTTCGTAGGTCAGACCCTCCATGAGGCCTGCGTTGAGCTCGTCCAGCATGCGCATCTGCTTGACTTCGAAGTCTTCATCGCAAAAATATTGCCCTGTCTGGATACCGCGCTTGAGCATGGATGTCCACACACAGAAGTTGCGTTGTTCGAGCTCGTGGCTGTAGTACGGGTTCGGAGGGGTGTGGTCGCCTGCTACTGGGGGGAAGTGAGTGTTGGCCATCTTGTCTGCCTGCCGGACGGCCCAGTCCTTGCGCTGAGCTGCAATAAAGCGTGTCATCGCCTTTGCGTACTTTTGTCCGTTCTCACTAAGGTCGGAGTCGCCGCCAATCTTTCCAGCCACGTTGTCCGCTGACTCGCCGTGCCTTGTTATCCAGATCATGCGCGGTGCGAGGTTGAAGTTAAGGAGGTAGTAGACGGCTTGGCCAGCGAGGAAGCCCTTGATCTGGTGCGAGATCATCTTCCGACCAACATCCACCATCTTGACGTAAGGCATGTTGTTGTCTTCCTCGTAGTCGCCAATCGGAACGTAGTTCTTCTCGTAGATAGCCACTCGCTTCTTGAAGTCGGCCAATGCTGCGACTGGGTCCTTGTCCGCGTAGTCTGGGCCCGATAACTTCAGGCGCATATTGGATTCGAGCAGGTTCTGGTCCCGACATACGCTCTCGACGAACAGGACGTTGAGTTCTGGCCCGGCGCGGTTCCGTATCCGTTCCATGATCTGCTGGCGCCGCGCGAGTGTGCTGTTGGTTGCATCAAAAATGCCCACAGAGCCACTGCCCTTCAGAATGTAGTCGAGCAGGTCGTCTAGAGTCTCCATTGCGCATTGTTCTCGCAGTGCCGCCGCCCGTTGGTTTTGTGGGTCGAAAAAGTCCGCGGACTGATCCATGGACTCGTTCTCCTCCTCCACCGCCTCATTGTTTGGTGACGGCCCCTTTGGGCCTGGCGATGTGACCTCAACCCGTGGTGGTGGTAGTGATGGGCCCTCTTCGTCATCCTCCGCAATGGCCGTGCTCCCCCGGCGTGGGTCCGGCAGGTTCTGTGGGTCTACGGGCCCATCGTGCGCGGGGTCGCCATTGATAAGAATTTTCGCAGCGATTTGCGGCAGTGTGTCCTGATGCTCCTCAATGGCCTGCTTGACGGACGAAGAGACCCGCTCGAGGTTCGCTTGCGACAGCCGAAACCCACTGTGGCTCGCAGCTACTCTCCGCTTCTCTCCCACATTGAAAATCTTGGTGTCGTGCTGCAGCCAGTTCAAGTACCGTGCCATTTTCTTTGTGATGTATGACTTGCCTCGCGCGGGCAGTCCGACCATGACGATGACGAGCTTGGAGCCGACATCCCGCTGTGCGATCTTGCCGTCGGGGGAGACCTTGGACTTGGTCAGGCCGGGGATATCGAGCGTAGTAGGCCGTAATCGAGGGGTTGACACGGCGGAGCTGTTGCGAGTTAAGGCGCTGTTACGGTCAGTGAAGTAGGATGAGCTCTGCGACGGCGCGTCTCCATACTCCCGCGGGCTTCCGGGAACGGATGGCAGTGGGGTGTCACTCAAGGCAGCGCCCACACCATCCTTCGTGACCAGACTGCCATTGTGGTGTTGTTGTTGGACTGGGTTCGGTACAGCCTTTAGTTCGCCATTCTGAAGTGCGCGCTCCTTGAGAGCCTGCACGTTCTTTGCAGGCGCAACTGCAGGAAATTTGGGCTCAGCGGATGAGGCGCGGGGAGTGAGGTCGTTGTCGGTGTTTGTGTTTGGCTGCTTTGCGGTGTCGAGAGGGATGGTGAGTTTGCTCATTACAGATCGGGCGTATATGGAGTGGGAGCTGAAGCGGCGGTTGGTAGTCGAGGTGTTTGAGGAAGCTGAGGATCGGCGGCGATGCGGTTGCTTGTGATGTACAAGCTCGGTCACCATCGGCGTCGGGACTGCTTCCATGTTCGGCGTCATGCCAAGATGTCGAAATACTTATGTCAAGCTAGCCTGGCCGCTGCGCTAAGATAGCACCCAGGGCGCTGGATGCGAGTCGCGGCTGCCGGTACGAGACTTGGTTGCGTCGAGGAGCTGGTCAAAAAAGTTGAGTAGAAGAAGGGTCTCTGTCGAAATGTCGGGTGGATTTGCAAAGGCAGGCTGATCGGGCCGTTGACCTTATCAAGGGCTGGCTCGATATGACTGTTCGGAGTCGGCCTTTGGTTGAGGGATCCACGGGTACGCCGCTTGAACTAGGCCGTTGGCGGAGGACGAGTTTTCAGGAACGCGCGCAAACGCGTTGAGAAATGCATCACCGGCAGTTTATATCTCTCAGCCTGGTCGGTGAAACTGCGCTGCAGTAATACGCGACTTGTCTGCGCGTTCCTCGCCATGTTACAGGCCGCTTGGCGGGTGCATGTGTTCTTGCTCGAAGCGGACAAACCCCACAGTCCGACTCCGATAACCAATCAATCCACCACGCCTCCCACTGCAGCTCGCGACGATGGAGAGAGCTCACATTGACTGTAATTAGGCTCTTTGTACGCAGGTACAGGTCGAGAAAGGAACCAAAGTACCTCTGAATAAAGCCGTGGTTTGATTGTCGTGTGATGCGCCACTCATCTCAAGGTATCTTCGTCCCATGCCGACCGGTTCGTGGGTGGATCCAATAACGTCAGCGTGCAGCCACCAACTCCACTGTTGTACTGTGTAGGCCAAAGTCCTTGGCACGCATATACAGTACACACGCGACATGTATTTCCCCAGAGTCCGAGAAGCCTTCCAGACGTGCCTTCCGTATCGTGGGGATCCTGAACCACCTGCAACATGCTTGGAGCGATACCATGCTAGCCTTGTCACCCATGATGAAACTGTTTGTCGCAGAACAAAAGGTAACAGTCACGTCCTACGAGCGAAGTCGGGAAGTGGCTATGTCGTAAGCTTCAGCGTTAAGACCAGCAGACAGATGTACGCTGAAACGCTCAAGGCTGTCAACACAGACACCACATTGCCGGATGTTCGGAACTTCTTCCTGTGCAGGCCATCCTCACCGACTTCCGAGAAGAACTGTTTGTTTCCTATTCGCTGTCAGCACCCACATTCTCGTCGTCATACATCCGCATGATCGTTCCCAACTGACCTTGTTGTCGCCGGAACAAACTGATAAACAAGATGCCAGCACCGTAGACAGCGAACAGCGCACCGATCGAGTAGAACTCGGCGGTGAAGATCTTTAGCACGACAAGCGCAAAAGAAAACTGGCCGATTGCTGTACGGACGTATGCGCCTTCGAACGTTCGCTGTGCTGCGCGGATTTCAACGAGCTCTGGACCCGTCAAGATGACCGAGCGAGCGCGATGTAGATGGAGACGATATCTATCTGATGCGTGACGGCCCTGAACGCTGTGAGCGGTGGATATATCTAGACAATGACATGCAAGTCCTACCTCGAACATGGTGATTGTTGCGAACTACCTAGACGCAGAGAGATGGCGTGAGTGGTGATGTTGCTATGCCGGTACTACCTCGGGATAGAGTTGGGTACGCGATTGATGGCTGCGGAAGACGGGTGACGTAGTGGGGTAGGGGTATCCCGAGGTTCAAACGACAGCGCGTTGAGTAACCCCTGATTACGTGTTTTCACGTTCACAAAGTGTGGATTCCAGTCGCACGATGATCAGGAATTGGTTTTCGTGAAGATGTCTCTGTTTCGCAAGATGTTCAACGCGGTTAGTCCTACGCAAACGCGTTAGCTCCTTCCCAAGATGAAGCTCGCGAGGTTGCTGCAGGGTCCAAGCACCTCCGAAGTTGTTCCTCCGCAACCGTCCCCGCAACCACAAACAGTGTCGTGAAAAGTCCAATCCGATACATGACCTCGCGACGACACCGAATTCCGGTAGATTAGCCATTCCATTTCATCGAGTAAGCGCTGCATGCGACTTGTCGCCTGGCGAAACTTCACGCAGCGCGTAGTATTTCCTTCTCCTGGGACCAGCGCACGGTATGTTCTCGCTGAAACGAGTACCCGATAGCGCATCTGTTTATTACCAGCTACCTTCGAATAGCAATTGACACAAGTAGGCACTCGAACAACAGCCGAGCCCGCTTTACAAGCCTCTTGTCTCGATCGCACGTAACGTTTGTACGCCCATTTCCGCCCTGGGACGACTACCCCGACACTCGTGTCAACGAAGAAGGAAGAATGGGGAAGTGGAACTACTACGGAGTAAAGGTCGGGCGTAAACCGGGCATCTATACGGATTGGCCGAACACAGAGGCGCAAGTCAAGGGCTACAATGGTGGACTACAACAGGGCTTCAAAACCCTAAAAGACGCCGAGGACTACGTCTACGGCCCCAATGGACGTTCTAGTGCACCCATAAGCCTACGAGGAGATCTTTCTGCATCTCGATCTCCGTCTGCGACAGGCAATCTGGATAGGAGTGCAGAGATATCAGAGAGTGCGCCCAAGCGACAAAAGAAGGAGAACGCATCACCGGCATTGATTCCAGATCATCATGAAGTCAAGATCGAGCCTGGGTACGGCCCCCTGCCGCCAGGCGCAGTAGACGGTTTTGATCCGAATATTAAGCTCGATGAGCTAACAGGCAGGATCAGAGAGAAGACGGAGGAAGAACTTGGCAAGAGGAAGAGACAGCCGACTGGAGACTCCAAAAGGCCCGTCGTAGTGTACACTGACGGTGGTTCACGGGGTAATGGCAATGTCGGCGCGAGAGCTGGTTGTGGTGTCTACTTCGGCCCACAAGATTCCAGGTTCGTGTGGTATCCAACATGTTGATTATCAGGGACAGCCCACTAACATTAATACAGAAACGTTCAAGAGCCTCTAAGGGGTGAGCCCCAGACCAACAATCGAGCCGAACTAGTCGCAATATCTCGCGCGATCGACCACGTTCCCATCGACCGCGACATGGAAATCATCAGCGACTCCCGATATTCTCGTGACTGCCTTACGCAATGGGTCCCAGGTTGGGAGAGAAAGGGCTGGAAGAATGCTCATGGCAAAGATGTCATGAACAAGGAAATCATACAACCCATCCTGGCGAGGATACGAGAACGAGAAAAGGCTGGCGCCAAGACCAAAATCACCTGGGTTAAGGCGCACGACGTCGATCCAGGCAACATTCAAGCCGATAATTTTGCAAATCAGGCCATGGACAAGTGGACTGTCGAGCTTGCATCGGGGTCCACGTTCGACATGTCAGAAACTTTGCGGACAAAGTACAGGAACCCCAACGATCCAGCATCACCGAAGCAGGAGCATGACGATGTGGAGGACATAGAGGAGATTTTCCGCGGGCTTGCAGACGAAAGCGCAAATGGGTACGATAATTATCTTATACCCCAGGATGTGGACCAGCCGGATGTTGACGTCGAACAAGCCGCTGCAGCTTCAGCACAGGACATCGACGACGTATTTGCCGACCATCCAGCATTTGCATCGAAGACGAATGGAGACGAAAAGAAGGAGACAGAGCCAGAAGCGGCATACTAGATACCCGCCAGCCGCTGAACAAGCGGTATGCGGTTGGACTGGAACCAAATCGGCCAACCATGGTACAAGTACGAGAAATGAATTCACTTAACAACAAGATTTCTTCAACATCTTTCAAACTTTTGCCGCTTCCCACCACTTCCACACATACAATCTTCATATCATCCTACCTCGCACCATCTACCATCTACCTACTACCACACCAGACCACGACGCAATGTCTCACGAACCCAGTCCCATCGTTTCAACACCGCCCTCGCGCCTTTCCACACTTACATCACACCTCACCAATATTTTCGACGAAGCAGCCTACCACTTCGCCTGGTACATCGTCATCGCCATCATACTGAAAATGCTCCTTATGAGCATCGCAGAGATTGTGCACTTCATCCGCTATTGCGCTCCGCCTGGCTTTCTTTGGAGAGTGCTCTGCGTGCCCCTTCTGGAGCTGTTTTTCGCCAGGATCTTGAAAAGTGTGAGTCCAGCGGTGGTGTGGTGGTTGGGAGAGGTTCTGGAGGGGTTTGTGGATGCTGTTGTTGGGGAGGATTAGGAATGAAGGATGGTGGTTGTGAGGAGCTGGATTTGAAGCTTTGCGGTTCGCATGTCAATGTCTACCATCATCTTGGATTCTTTCGAGAGAAATCCGATTTGGGTACTTTGAGTAAGTCGGTGTACGCGGGTCCGGAGACAGGCAAGAGGACGCCTTCAATGTTCAAACATCTGTATATTATGGCGATGACACGACACCGGTGTGCGGATGTGCAGGCTAAGCACGACAAGCTTCACACGCCAAGTTCGGGAAACGGCACTGATGTGCGAATGGGAACAAAAACACCCACCGGATCCCATTCCGACGCATTCGCCACAGGCTAGTCATGTGTGCATGCACTCGGAAGAAACGGCTACTAACCCCAATCAGGCCACCCACCATCATCATCATCATCGTCTATAACAACTTGTCTACGCCCCGCTCATCCACCTCTCGACTTAAAACCCATTTCCGAACGCACTATCAGTGACCTCAGTCTTTGTCCTCCCTTCCAGTATTTAATGAGGTATTCAGTCATCGTGTATATCGTTTGTATTGTGGGACTTACTATCAGTGAAAGGATATATGACCACCTATCTCTCCTCTTCACCGCCTACGCTTTCCACATCTATTTCGTCCACACCGCAGAACGCCGCCGCTTAAGCATGCCCGACAACTCCGACCAACCGCAAGCCCACCTTCCACAATCCGATCCCCAAGCCAACTCCAACAATAGCAGCATGTCCACCACCAAGGACATCAAACAACACCGCCGCTACTCGCGCTGGTGTCGCGGTCTCCTCATTGCGCAAGTCGTGCTGCAGATTGCGTATATCGTTTCGAACTACTGGATAAATGGTCATCTGACGATTTTGCAAATGACGACAGCGGGTTTGTATATACTGGGGGCTGCTCTTATGGAGTATGATTTGAGGAGGAAGGAGAATGAGTTTTGGAACATGGTAGAGAATGGGGGAAAGAAGGATGTTGAAAAGGGGAGGTTGGCTTGGGAGGAGAAGGCTGTAAAGGGGCAGAAAGAGGAGGGGAGGGCTGATGAGAAGACGGAGTTTTTGAGCGAGAAGGCGGAAGAGGAAGAGGAGAAATACAAAGACCGGGACGTTGATAAAGAGAAGGTGGGAGCGAAGGTAGAGGAGACAAGTGAGAAGTCTGAGATGTAAGCTGCGACTATACACCTCCACCAACGAGGGATACTAGACGCCTTCATCGTACAACCTAACATTGCCTTAGTTTGAAGCTTCCCTATTATCATGTTGGCCTACTTCTCTTCATTGTCCCTCTTCTGATCCGCTAGAAGCCAGTGGCACTTTGGGTATGGCAAGGGTCATTTCCTTTCGCGTCCACAGTAGCTCGCATTGTAGCGGCAAACCGGTTCGTAAACGCGGGGACTTATGCTTTACATCAGCAAACCTATATATATCGAACACAACGTGATATAGATTTCAAAACTATGATGTTCGCACGCCTGAGCCACATAACTATAAACCAGCCTCACCCTTCACACACACACTCTCTCCCAGCCCTTACCTTTCTATCCTTACTCCCTCCACCACAAAATGTGTAACGTGTTCAGACCCATCCTCTCGGCAATCCTCTGGTATATAGTCCTCACAATCGCGATCACAGCATTAATCCACACATTTGCAGCTATAATCGCTGTCTGCGCTTATGCATTCACAGTCAAAGGCGGCATGTGGATACTACTATTCCTCATATACGTGATTGCTTGCATAGTTTTAAGTGGGCCGTTTATGCTGTTTTTGTATGATCTGGAGGCATTCCCGGATGAGGAGGGTGTTTGGTAGGTAGGCGGGTTGGCTTGTAGGCAGGGAGTGGTGGAAGCATGGCTTCTACGGTCTTGGCTGGTAGCTGAATGTTCTGCCCTGTCACGAATCCTGAAGTCTTGATGAATGCTTTGTGTTCGTCTTAGCTCCGATTGGTGACCTTGGTTCGTAGGGAATGGAGTCTTGGTAGCGAGACCACGTGCAAGTAGACTGCGCGCTGCGCGAAAAGGACCAGGATTGCTTGTCCATGGTTAGAATTATGAGAAACTTCGATTGCAGACGGCGGTTTCTAGGCTGCTCCCTAGCCAAAGTCTTTATAGGCGTCTTCAACTGCAGAGAAAAAGCTTCCTAACATACATACTCTTCGCAGCGCTTTTGCATACAGACATACAGCAGACGTCCAACGATGCTATCGCCAGCGGCAAAGTTCGTGCTCCTTTCCGCGCTGGCAGGTGGCATCGTCGCGAATTCTTTTCCAACGGCATCTGCTCTGAACATACGTGCGGTTTCCTCCGACTCAACCTCAATTCCAACGATTTCCACACCAACTTCCATCTACAAGATACCTTTCAAAACTGGTCACGGCCCCGTCGTAATCTCAACTTCAGTCCCTGCATTAACATTGCATGACCCTAAGCTCAGCACACCGTCCGTCCTATCAGATGCCTTGATACCTTCACCAACATGCGAATCAGCGCCATAGTGCGTATAACCCCCTTCAGGCTAAATATTCCCATAGACTCATCGCTAACAGTTACAGTCACCGCATCTGGTCCGGCCACGAGCCCCAACCAGAACGCACATTCCCCCGCCACTTTCCCGGCGAAATCGGACCAAGTGAAAGTGACATAGAAGGTATCACCATCGACACCATGTACGGCACCGACTGTCATGGACACGGCTACGAGGCCTACATATACTTCACCATCGCATACAAAAACGGCACACTCGCCCATGACCCGATCGGCCGACCCGGCCTTTTCTCTATTACAACTCCATGGTGGATTTCATATCCAAAAGCGCTGCGAAAAGCCATCTTCAACGATCCGATCTCGTATCGTTCCGAACAGAAGTCTGAGGACTGTAGAAACGGTCACTGCTTCAGCGAGGTCATGCCGGGATTACTGTATAACAACGAGCCCGTCAGATTGAAGCGCGTCACGAACCCAAAGACGCTGAGATCGTCGAACGGGTTCACTTCCGATCAGGAATACTTTGCGCTTGGCGAGTGTCACTACGACGACAGCCTACGCAATATCTGGAAGATGAGTGTGTATCTCGGTAATATCGGATACTACATCCACGGCGCCAACATCCCACCTGCCATCATAGACTACATGGAAGACAAAGTACGCACAACGTATCCGACGCTGGAAATCTTCCTGATAGTCTGGGCAACAGTTGGAGCTATTCCGACTCTCATAGTGGTCATCTCTCTCATGTTCATGATGATGGCTCTAGCGTGCTGGCTGGACATCAACGTGCCGAAGTTTTGGGCTTCTGCGCAACGTGGCCATGTTGCTATGTGAGAAGCTATTGTCTTGGCACATGTTAAGGGATGGGATGCGGTGAAGGGTCGTTGGAAGAGAGGGGTCAGGCGGGATAGGAATGCAGATGGGCTACCGAAGGATGTACAGCCGGCGATGGATGAGCAGCTACCGGCTTACGAACTTCATGAGTGGCAGCCGTCAAGGCCACCAAGCTATCGTTCGTATGATGGTGCTTGTGAGGGGTTTTGTACTGTCTGAGCGATTGTGGAATGTAAAGGAGAAGAGAGAACTAAGCGATGACTTAGGGGTAGATATGCTGAACAGCATAATGCCACCTATGGATAATGTCTCTTTTCTTCCTTCGCCGTGCCCGCACGAACCTCACCATTCCTCCACTTTCACCCCCTCACCCCTCCACCACCCCAACAACCCTAACCTGAATCCCCTCACTCCCCAAATCCGGCATACCCAAAAAGCAATCGTTCGTAGTCAATACATCCCTCCTCTCCACTGTATCGTTCACTTCCATCCTAAACCTCCGCCAAATCATCGCAAGCCCCGTGTACAATTCCGACGTAGCTAGATTCATGCCCAGACAATTCCGACTCCCACGTCCGAAAGCAAAGAAGTAGCGCGTGAGTTTGGGGTTATCGAGCCACCGCTCTGGACGGAAAGTGAGCGGGTCGGGGTAGATGGAGGGGTCGGTGTGCAGGAGGTAGGAGGATTGCATTACGGGTGTGCCGCGAGGGATAGTGTAGGGGCCGTATTGAAGGGATTCGCCGGTGGGGACGCGGGGTTGGCGGGAGGACACGCCGTGAGCGCAGCGGAGTCCTTCGTTTATTACTGCGGTCTGAGATGTTGGTCAGAATCGTTTAGCTTCCCGCCTAGAGCGGACCGCTTACCAGGTATGGCAGAGCCTCCAGCTGAGATAGTGAGACTTCGTGGTTCACTGTTGGCATCACGATCTTTAGTTCCTCTCTCAACTTCTCTCCGATCTCGGGGTCCTTGATCAGGTAGTAGGTGGTGACCGCCATAGTCCTTGCCGTCGTCTCTGTCCCCGCACCAAGGATAACACTGGCATCCGCCATCAATCTCATGGGCTCTTTCTCTTTCTCCGGAAGTTTACAACCAACATCATCTCGTATGTCGTGAAATATAGTCCGCCTGAGGTTCTTCGCGTCGCCGTCACCGTCCTCACGATTCATGATCCGTTTAATCTTGCCCAGCATACTGAGATTGAAGGCATTCAATTGGGCTATCCCGGAATCCAGTTTCGCAACAATATGCGGCGGAAGATCTAACATGAAGTTGAAGATGGTAGGGAATTGGCGCGCGAATGGCTCAATCTGCATGCCCTCGTGCATCATTTTGAGCCAGTCTTTGGCATACTCGTCGTGATCTAGACTTTTCATCGACTCTCCGAAACAGTACTCGGAAATGATGTCCATGGTGAAGGCAGCGTATGCGTTGTTGAGGTTTACGACACCGGCTTTAGGTCCAGTCTTGTCCATTTCGCCTGCGAAACGGTTCACCAGCTTCTTGGTGTTGTTCACGACAAGCCCTTCGAGAGCTTGGACCGAGCGCTTGCTGAAGAAGGGCGATACGGCGTTTCGTCGCAGCTTATGCAAGTCATGGTCCATCGTCTCCAGTATAGCGCCTGCCCAAGTCTTTGCACCGGAATGATGCGACCAACTACAACGGTCTCGCTTGTGGTTGGCGCCGGATGCGTAAATGGTCTCGAAGTAATCCGCGTCATGTATATGAACTTGGAGAGGGTTGATACGTATGATAGGGCCTGTTGCTCTGATCAGATCGGGAAGGCAAATACCAGTGCTTAGCCTACCGTATTCTTCATGTAGCTGCTTGATCTTCCACATATACTGGAACTTGTGCGGATAGATCTCATAGTAGAATTCGTACCAAAACGTAAATGCTGCCAACTACTCAGCGTCAGTTGTAATTCGAAATCCTTCGTAGAACACGTTGTCTTCCAGGTAGTACCTTTGGCCCAGGAATGTTGGCTAGAGGATGGAAATACACCCTATACACACCGACGGCGAGCCAGCACAGTACCCATATTCCGAATAGAGACACAGCGAATTCCTTCGATGCGCTACTACGGATGAGATTCCATAGGCGGTCCATGGTAAGTGCGGTGGTTGATGTGCGGGGATCGTCTCTTCCACTTGAGGGGGCCTCGGCAAGCCATATAGGCACACGCTAAAGACTGCGCGCAGGTAACGTGAGACAATATCATAACTTATTGAGAAACTCGCTAATAATAGTGTAAGCATATTCAGCAGGCCGAAATGTGCAAGGGCGCCAAGACCTTGCACACCGCTAGCGCTTACCACAACGCTGCTATGTTATCTATGGATGCAGACCACACGAGCCCGTTGCGCTAGTTATTGCAGTTAGCATGACTGCTTAGCAGTCAGCCATAGGTATCAGATTGACCGATAGCATGCATCCTCGTTGCTGGGTAATCTGATACCAGCTGGTGTTGGGGTTGCACGAGATGCAAGTAGCGGGAAGCCTTGTATTGCCCTGATGTGCTACAGACTTCCAGGGACCGCAAATTATTCGCAGCGCTCTTGAAACGAGAGTTAACATCCTTCGTAGTGCTGAAATACCTCGGCAACTCGATTTCAGCAAGTTCGCATCTTTTCATGCCCATTGTACACCAAGAGATTCTTCACATAGCGAATCTTGGAAATTGGGTAACCAGAATATAGGCATCATCCTTTTCTCTGTAGTCTTTGGCATCGGCTGAGCTATTGGACTAATCCACTCGTAGCCTGGCCGAAGGACGACGTACGCACCAATGTCGTACCCATATCTGCTGCGTATTTGGTAAGGCGGTGAGTCGAAAATCATATGGGATTTTCGACTAGCTCTGTTCTGTAGGAATAGATTTCAGCATACTTCCCCACACGCAGCGGTCACAGGTGCACTTACAGTAAACATGTGAACACTTTCAACAAGACCGCCGCCAGTGTGTTCGAGATAGACAGTACATTCGAGTGAGTGACTTGACATGAGGTAGCCTGTTCCATATGTGACTTTAATCGTGATTACAGGTTTTGGGGTTGGCAGCAGGCCTATTCTTCGATCGGGACGCTCTTCTGGCAAGCAACAAGGTCGATGGAAGCCCCAATCGATTTGTCGAGCGTGTTGTGTACAAAGCGCTAGGCCCAAGCCACTGATCAAAAAGACTTCTTCTTCGACCACGTCAGCGGTTGGACGCATGGCTGCCTCTTCTTCCATCATCCATCGCACGAGGCCGAGGAGATAATCATCGGCAGCTGTTGATGCAATGGGGATGGCTTCCTCAAACCACCCGACAATCTGGTCAAGATTCGATTGAAAAGATTTGTCGTGCGACCGACGAAGCCGCTGGCTGAAAGTAAGGGTATATCCAATGTACAGAGTCACGACTTCGAACAAGATACAGCCCAGAGAGAATATATCTGCTGAGCGGCCGCTGGGCGCGAACCTAGCGACTTCCGGGGCAAAATACTTCTGTGTACCCCGATCTCCTTCATCGGTCACACTCGAAGTCAACACGGAGAAGTCTGTCGCCGTACCAAAGTCTGCCAGCCATAGCCCGTCCCTGGAAAGTAGGATGTTGGATGGCTTCAAGTCTTTATGCTTGACGTTAGACGCATGGAGATAAGCTACTGCGCTCGCTATGCAGCCGATGGACTGTTTGAGGAAATGTCTCGCTGGGTGGCTGTCAATTTCTGGATCTCGGATTAAGACTCCAAGCGCGCGAAATCTTGCTTCGCGATCGACATCGTGTTCGGATTGCTTTTCCGATAACCCAGGCGCATCCCCATTCTCGACCAAGACCTTCTTTTGTAGCCAGTCCACATCCTCAAGAAGAGTCGCGAGATCGCAGGTCGCAACAGGCCACAATAACAACCCAAGGAATGGGCCGTGCGTGTAAGTTCCCATCATCCGGATAATATGACGATGCGAGAGTTTTTTGATGATCTCAATCTCGCGCATCTCTCTTTCACCGATCTTGCGACGACAATACTTGCGTTTCCAGGCGAGCTTGACGCCATTGCAACTGGTCTCGTATACACCGCCGTGCATCCCATGTCCGAGGAACTCGCCCTGTGTAAGAGGAAGTACTTCTGACTTATCGAAATCCACGTGAGATGTGCCGCGGCCAGACCAATCCAGCATTACGCCATCGATGTATTCGCAGGGTGGCTGTTCGAGTGGACTTGATGTACCAGATGAGGAAAACTGGCTTGGATGGTGCTGTATCGGCATGCGTCGGGACATTGGGACGATGTGGAATCAGATTTGTCGTGAGAAGTAAAATGCCATTGTTGAAGTCGACCAGGCTGTAGAAACTTCATCTTGGTTTCGCAACGTGTATTGGCCTTCGGCTGCGGGGTTCTTTACATAAGCCGCAGTATGCAGGCCAGGGTGGGCGATACCCAACCATCTGCCTCAGCTGCGTAAGCTGAATGTACTGTCGAGAGAGCCCAGAAGGGAGCTTCTGCTGTGCACGTGATGGACAGCCTGATGCGTCTCTGTATTGAATTTCGCGGCAAAAAGAAAGAAGAGAAAACACGAATGATTGAACAAGCTCAAAGCCAGGATTGAACTGGCGATCTTCGCATATCGTCATCTGGTTCGATCTACGAGTGCGACGCCTTACCACTTGGCCATTTGAGCCGACTTATTATCGAAGATGAATTGAAACATCATATGTAGGCTCGTTGACGGCGAGGATGAGAGTCCATTGCCAGCGCCAGCGCCAGCGCGACCGACGTTTGCGCCGAGTAAAGGTACAAACGCTATTGAGACGGCGAACGGAGTGGTCCTTCTGCGCGGGATTCACCTACTTGCGGATACTCGCTTTGTCCACACTACTGATCAATGCGTCCCTCCACTCTTGATCCTTCAGTATACTCCGCACCCTAGCCTCTAACCATTCAGTGTTTCCCCAGAAGCCCCAGCTGGCCTGAAAGCGGAGCCAGTCTACGAGCGCCGTCTCCCAATGTCGCACGAAGATTGACCAGTTGTACTCTTGTTTGCCTGTATCCCTCAATCCTTCCCAGTATCGTTGCAACAGCTGCTTCTCGCCTTCTTGCATGAGTAGCTCCCGCGGGATATGCGAGTCGGCAACGAGCATGCTTAGCGGAACGGAGCATGTGAAGAACTTGGCGAGATCGCAGACTCCCAGGCCAAGACCAGTGTATTGGAAGTCGTAGAATGCAACCTCTTCGCCAGACCTGGTGGTGAACATATTTTCAGACTTTACATCACCATGGATAAGGGTTTGGTATGCTTCAATTGGTGTCCAGCCGGTAGGCTTCGGCGAGAGAAACGCTGCCGCTATCTCTGAGATGGAGACATCTTCGCCATCGACCCAGTCAGTGAGCGGCTCGTTCCACTCGGCATCGAAATCCTTCGCCAGAGTATTGTACTCCTTGCGACGCGTCGCAAGGTAGGTGTATCCGCCATTGAGCCAAACCGATTTGTTCGACGCGTCCCGTCCATCACGTTTTACTTCCTCGAGCGGTGGTAGGACCAGGGAAGCGGAGTCTAGAGACTTAACGCGGGTCCACCAAAAGCCATGAAAGCCAGAAAGCCAATCTAACGCGGCATAAGCCTGTGTTGTTGTCAACACATCGCGCTTCTCTCCGGCGACAGGATACTGTTGTTTCAAATCGCTCAATAACATCGCAGTCATCGAAGTGCCGTCCGTGTTGTGCTTGTTGATGCTAGCGACGCATTCGGCGACCGGCAAGGTTGATGGCATTTGAGGAGCGAGGTGGCTATAGAAGTACTGTTCAATCTGATAGCTCAGGATCTTTCTGGTGTGGCCTTCATCGTCTGCCTTCGTCGGTGGGGGATTTACGAGTTTGAGTACGTAGGGTTTCGTCGAATCTTTGGAGCCTGTCGGATTAGCGAATATACGACAAATCTCGCCGTAGCCAGCCCATAACGATTGGATAGTTTGCACAGATTGGAGACACAGTCCCTTTTCGGCAAGGAGAGCAGACGCTACTTCGTCTGGTGATACTCGCGCAGGCATCGGGTCTGCTGAAGGTCGTATACGAGCGTATAAATACGGTAGCAGGAGGACTGAGATACAAGGGACGAAGAAGCAGGCTAAAATCAGCTGTGATCGTGTGATCATCCGAACGGCCAAGAGATGACGGTAGCAGATTTGTAGTCCAGTTGCATAATCAAGTGGTGAGCATTAGTGTCCACCTAGGCATGCTGTTGTTAGAAAACTGCGTCGAGGGGTCGGATGACGCGACGCGTCAGGCTAGTCATGAATGGCTGACATAAGCGAAAATCCTGAATCAAGCTCTCTGCGAATACATGCCGCCTGCCTTATCAAGGTCGGTACTGCCCTTCGCACTGCCGGCATTTGCGAACTCGACAATCTCCATGCACCTATACCTATATCTACCGGAGCCTCATATGATCTCGCTAGTTATGAACACCAGGAAGTACCGACCTGAAGAGATGCCGGAAACACTCAAGCAAGGTCATTCTGAAGATCTAACTGATGACATTGGTATCTACTACAGAAGAACGATCGAGGAATGACTAAGCCCCATTCGCAACTACAACAAGTACTGGAAGTAGATGTTTTCCTTGTCTGTCATGTCTTGCAGACCGTTCTCTCCGTGGACTTCAGCACCAGCCTCATGGAAATGGCCGCTCATCGAATAATCGATAGGATTCCTGGGAAGACCAGCTGCCTCACGCTGATCGCACTTCTTCTTCTGCATCCAGGTGATGAGAAGGATCTGGGCGACAACGACACCCCAGAGGATGCACCAGATGATCAAGATACCCTTGAGAGCGTTGACCTGATAACGTATTGTTAGCCACAAACTGTCGGCCGAGTATACGACAAGGATGGAGGTACTTACGTATTGCGGTGCAAACTTCGAATCGAAAATGTATGGGGTAATGATGTTGCCTACAGAGTTGCCAGCGTTGAAAGAAGTGTAGTAGATGGCCTTCTTTGTTTGTCCAGCGCAGTTGGAACCCATCCAAGAGATAAGCAGAGGGTTAATGGCGTATACGAAGGCAATCAAGTAGTAACCTGCGAGAAGACCACCCTTGTTCTCTGGAGTCTTTGGGAGCGCGACCAACAGAGCAACACCAATAATGACGATGGTGACCAGGCCCAGGAAGAAGGGCGACTTGCGCTTGAAACGATATGCCAGCCACGAGGCACCAAGAATGGAAACGACCTGTAGCGCTCCAAAAGGCATGTTCAGCAAGACAGCTTCGTCTGAACTGAATCCAGCCAGGTTCTTCAGGATGATGGAGCCAAAGACCGAAGAAACCGACGCACCAGCATTGACAGCGATGACCATGATCATGTACAGCCAGTATTTGGGTTCAGTCACGGCTTCGACGACATGCTTCCAGTTGAACTTGTGCGATACAATACCCTGTTGATTCGCCTTCACTCGGTCAACAGCCTTCAAACGATCCTCTGGTGTCAGGAATCGAGCCTCACCAGGGCTATCGTGGGCCCACCAGTATGTGATAAGACCGATTATGATAGTTAAGAGCCCGAAGAAGAGGTACACCATCTGGTAGCGGTACAGCGAGGTCGAGTGTATCTGAGCGAAACCGTAAACGATGGGTGAACTGAGAACGGTGCTAAGACCATAGCAGCTGTACCAGCAAGCCACGCGGAACGGCTGCTCCGAACGCCTGTAAAAGGCGATAGTGATCATCGAGAACAGGGGAACGACCATAGCCTCGAAGGCGCCGAGGAAGAATCGTGATGCGAGCAGCCCGGCGTAACTCCTGGAACCACCGAGGCCACCGGCAACTGAAATACCCCAACATGTGATAATGACCGGAAGAACGTGGCGGTATCGAAGCTTGACGAGGATCCACGCGGCCAGAGGCTGCACACCGAGTTGCGCATAGTATCCGATGTTGCCGATGTTTGAGTAGTCGTTGCCAACGAGATGGGCATCCTCTTTCAGACCATAGACGGCTGTCAATCCGATGATTCCCTTGTCGGCAGATTGCAGGAAATACACCATGCAAAGCAGCGACAACATCCAGATGTCCGTCTTGCGCAGGATTCGTTTGCTGTCCGCCTCGGTGCAGATATGAGCCTCGCTTAGGCCAGCCTCCTTGCCCTCCTCATACGCGACGGCGTGGTCGATTGAGGTGTCGGACACGTGCTCCATGCCGATAGCGGTCGGCTTCTCGTCCGCGGAAGCCATGTCGCAAGGTTAATGGGTAAAAAGATGGAGAAAAGAAGAGATCTGGGGATGAACTACAGCCTGGGGTACAAGTCTGGGGTAGGAGTTTATATGCCTTCATCGACGCGACGCGAACGACGCCAGCGGGAGCCGGCCCAACGGCGCAACGGACTAGAATTATCCCTCCAACAACTTTGCACGCACTAGAAAAATGCACTGTTGCATCCGTGCCTCTACGAGCTGTGCTGATGCGAGCCTGCTGTGGCCAATAGCCCTGTCAGGAGGTCCTGAAAGCAACCGGCTAAATCGATGGGAGGGAAGCACTCGTGATGCGCCAATCGTCCGCGGGAAGTACGAGCTTATGTCTGGATCAACGGCTCGGACTCTAACAGACCGAGAAGATTATGAGTATATTCGACGAAGTGAGTAAGGCTCACAGTGCTTTAATTGTTGACAGGGTTACCCGAGTGGTGTTGGAATGATAGTCGAAGTTCATGGGCATAGTACGCACCGCTCTATCGTACAATAACGAAACCAGCTGCCTGCCGATCTAGCCATGATCCCAGAAGCGTGGTAGCCGATGAGACGGCCAGGGCTTAGTGCGTGCCCTGATGCTGTTCGACTCTACAACTCTATCTAGGTATCGCCCAGTAGACACTGCGTCTTTTTACTGGCATTACTATTCGCATACTACGCACGAATATCTTTGATGTTCGAGATAAGACTCTCTGCAGTGAACAAGACTTTCTTGACCATGCGACAAGCTTTTGGCCAAGAGCAACCCAGGTAGCAATCTTGGGATTCTGGAAATGCTACGGCTAGAGTGGTGATTAGCCGCCTTACGTCATCCGCCCAATAATTCCACCAACAATCAACCTATGCTAGCGCCACACAGCCATCTCAACTCTACGCATACAAACATCTTTCAAGAGCAATAGTATCGTGAAAGGCGTTTCATCAGCATAACATCGATAAAATGTTGTGAGGTTGGATAATCGAGTCGTTTGCCGGTAGTCAGGGCGAAGGAGCTACGACCCCACAAATGCCTCGGTGCCCGAGCGGCTCCACCAGCTCCAAGAAATGCGGGGTAAACGTCATAACAGTGAGAGACATCGTTGATATTCTGGGGATACCTTGAAGAAGGACTGTTCACGCTGTTCAGAACCCGCAACTACCATATCAAACACCGACAAAGCCCGATCGTTACTGCCTCACCAACATGAGCGACCCCAAAACTTCGACTGCGAGTCAGCGCCTGACGCAGATCAAAGATTTTCTCACTATGAACAAAACAGCAACGACCATACCGTGGGATCCGGATAGTACCAAATTTCCGACAAGGAAGGAGTTACCTCAGATTCCCGGTGCCCCACCGGAGGCTGCTTGGGTTTGGGGTGATAACGACTACGTACGTTGGACCGAAAGCTAATCTACTTGCGGGCCGAACTCATCACATGTAGATCGGCCGTCTCAATCTCCTAACACCTTCACGCGTCGCAGCGGCTGCAAGAGAGATACGATCGGGTGAAATCGTCCCCGTTAAGTCCGTGTTCTCATAATCCTTCTAGTGCGTTTCTACTGACCGCGGCATAGTCTGCCTCTCAACGTACCGAATGTGCCTGCGTTTGGTCGTGAAGTTTTCACACATGAGATCAAGACTCTGGCTGAAGGGATTGCTTATGACGATGTTTATCATATGAACACCCAATCTGGTACACAATGGGACGGCTTCCGACACTTCGCTCACATCCCCAGTGGTTCATTCTACAACGGCGTATGTACCAAACCCCCATGCGGCCAACGGTTGCTGACATTCAGTGTAGACGAAAGGAAGTGATGTCACTGGACCAAATGCAAACCACAAGTGTTCGATCCATCATTGGGCGGAGCACGGTATCGCCGGTCGCGGTATCCTTCTAGACTACCGGGGCTATGCGCACAAGAAGGGTATCAACTACGACCCCTACGACTACTATCCCATCTCATGGCAGGACCTTTATCAGTGCGGCCAGGATCAGGGAATCGATATCCGTCCCGCTGCTCAAGGCGGTGACATCAAACCCGGAGATATGCTGTTCATTCGTAGCGGCTGGAAGGAGGCTTACGACAACAAAAGCGATGAGGATCGAACAAAGGCTGCGCTCCGACATGGTAGCGGTAAAGACGGCGAGGATGGTCAGCGATATGCTGGTGTGAGCCAAGAAGAGAAGATTCTGGATTGGCTACATGATAGCTACTTTGCATCTGTCGCCGGCGATGCTCCTGCGTTTGAAGCGTGGCCTACACATGAGAGTACGTTTCTTGGAGTAGCCTATAGATTATCTAGACTAACATCGACAGACTACCACCTCCACGAGTACATCCTCGCTCTTTGGGGTATGCCGCTCGGCGAGATGCTAGATCTCGAGAAGCTTGCGCAAACGTGCCGCGAGAAGAACAGATGGTTCTTCTTCTTCACCTCTGCGCCGGCTAACTGTCAAGGTACGTTCATTACCTGGGCCATCAAGTTATCACATTCGCTAACCACACAACAGGTGGAGTCAGCTCGCACGTCAACGGCACTGCCATCTTCTAAACATTTCGAAATCGTTCCAAGGCCAATTTAAAATCAAGTATATTACTGTAAAATCTAGCAGTCAAGCAGGCAATCTCACAAACCAGGGTCTCTTCTGTGACCCCTACACGCACTCTGACCTAGTACAGATCGACTGCAGGGCGTGAAAACGAGAACTACGCCGAACCAACATTTTATGAACTTACTGAGCTGAACTTTGAAAATGACGCCGGGCTTGTTCTGCGCTTCCCTTGTTGCGAGTTTCCCCCTGGAGCGGTTCGTGCGTTCGCGTTTCGCGGCATGGCGGGTGCGCTCGAAGCGGTTGACTCAGTGTCCTCTTCGATGTTCACAGCCTGCATTGCGTCGTCAAACAACGAGAACTAGATTTTCTGATCTCCCAAAAGCGTTTCATAGGACTGGTCTTCTTCAACAGCGCTGTTATCGCTTCTGACGCGTGCGCTTGGCGATGGCGGCGCTGGTGGCTCGCGTGCCGGCGGGGCAAACTTCACCTCATCAACTGGTCCCTCAGCTTGCGCTGTCCCAAACATGGATGAAGACGAAGATCCCGCGTCAGGTCGGTTCTTCGAATCAGTATCGGCCCCACCAAGTCTGTTGGAAGTATCTGCCTCGTGCATTTGTCTTGAAGTTCCAATCCGGTCATCGAAAGCAGGCAGAGAAGCATCACTTTCGTCGCGCAGCCTCCTATGTTCCTCCACTCTTCGCTCCTCCCAATCAATTGTAGTAATGCCGCATTCGATCGAATCTGCAGCGGCTTGCTGGCCTTCGCGACTCGCCTTTTCGCGACGATGCCTATAGCGTTCCTGTCTTTTTGCTTCGGGTACCATCCTCCTCTTATAGCAGTCTTCAGACTGCGCATGCGTATGATATTGACAGTCCGACAGCGATGAAGGTCGCTCATCACATGAGAGACGCTTCATAGCCGATTCGAGCGCGACATATACGAAGTGCTGCGGCAAATCAAATAGATCAACGTCGCAAAACCCTTCCACCGCGCAGTCGACCCATCGATCGACTAGAAAGCGACCAAGAGCCGTCGGCATGTGGTGTCTGTTCTGGCCAAAGATATGCGATATTGTGTCGGAATCTGGTCGTATGCCTTTGACTACCTTCTCCTCGAGCAGATCCATCAAGCGGTCGACGAACTCGACATCTTCGACCACGTAGCCGTGTATCGCTGCATTGATCAACGGCCAGCATGCGATCCATGTATGCTGCGGATCGATGCCTTCTGGGTCGAAGTTGATGTCACGATAGCGTGTGGGAATAACACCAGTGCGCCGCCATAGTTGATAAAGCTCCGCTGCGTCAGCGTCGATGTTTCGGCGTCTGAGGAGCGTAGACGGATCGAGGCTGGCAGCTACGTTGGAGGCGGGCAAGCGAGCCAAGCGCCGTGTCAGATACCAGGAGTCTGTGTCCTGGCGACCATAGAGTACGCTTATAATTGACTGTCTCGGTGGATCTACAGCCGCATCTGGTATTGGCGGTGCCAACTGTACTCGCTGTGTATTGGATGACTCTTCTTTCACAGGTTCCGACTGTTCGGGTTCTCGGATGTGCGTGTCGAGATCATCGGTGACTTCATCGTCACCCCACAAGTTTCCACCTTCAAGAAGGTTATGATATTCGCTCTTTCTTGCACGTGCTTCAATACTTGGCCGACGGCGAATCTTTCGCCCTGTGTCGCCGACATGGTCACTTCCATCGAAAATACGGTCGACCCTCCTGGTGTTCTGGTCTCTTGAACTAAACGCGGAACTGTTCTGTGAATGTGGTACTCGTGACGTTCCGAAATTTAGGTATCCTCCAGCACCAACTCCTGGGAAGCCGGATGGTATGCGCGGAGGCATACTGCCACGCTCGAGCCTTCTTTGCATATGGCGCTTCTCTGAAGACGACATCTTATCGGTAAGAAATTTTCCCATGTCAAAGAGTGGAGGATGTCACAGTCTTTCAAGGGTGCGTAGTGGTACAATGGTCAGTGTTCAACCAGGAATCAAGGCTCTGCAAGTTGTGAGTGTCGGAGGACAAGGTCTAGCCATATTGCGTAGTATCCTTGTGAAGCGCGTACCCGTTTGTCATCGGCAGATTAATCACGCTACCAGCGTCAAACAAACACACGCCCTGGCCGCTGATGTGACCACCGAGCTTGCTATGGCTAGCAGCGGTCACGGAATCATATACACGGCTCACTTCCCACTCTTCTTCCGTTACAACTCATGGTGAAGTTACGGCATAATACGTCGAGTATGGAGCTCGACCATTATGTCTCCATTATCTCCGCGACACCATATCGCTCGACATGTACACAACGCCGTTGCAGCGCGAGGCCGGAACATCTTCGGCTAAGTCAGTTTTGAAGTCAATAACATTCGTACTCGCAGGTCGAACAACACTATCAGAACATTGCCCTACCGAACAAATCGAGGTCGGATACGCCGTAGCTGAACGCTCACCGTACCTTCGTATATATCTCCCACAGCATGTGCGTGATGACCGACCTCTTCTACCCATTCAGCTCGGCGACATCGATCCAGCAGGTTTCAAGCTTTATATTGAATGGCTCACTACTGGCATTGTCAAGTTCTCTGATAAACGATGCCTCCAGTTGGACTCCTGTATTGATCTCATATACGCACACATCGTTGGCTCTGCGTTCTCGCAACGAAACTTCCAGGACTACATCATCGACAGACTAGCGCACGTCCTTGACCCTGCGCAAACGTTCGATCAAAAAGTGCTCGAACTGCTTTATTTGGAGAAACACGCGTCAACGCTACTTCGGAAGTTCGTCACCGACAGGATGTTCGCGTACGACAGGAGAATGCTGGGTATGCTCCGCAATTCCGTGGAAGATGTTGTGACGGGGACTAGTAATGTGAAGGGATGTGAATACCACATGCACGATGAAGAGTTTTGTTATAAGCATGGACGAGTGAGTGGGCTTGGAGAGTCTGAAAAGAAGAATGAGGCAGGAGAGAAACAGTGGAGTATCGACGATGACCCGGAACTGAATTCCACGGCAGCGCAATATCTAAGCAAAAAGATAACCCCTTTGAGAATGGACAAGTCATCAAAAGATCTCGCTACCAAGGACCGTTCATTAACGGAAAAACGTCGACATCAGCACGACAGCTTCGCGTCGCAGCCCAAAGAACTGTCTTTACATATCATGAGCAACCGAGATATCTATCACCAAGGATTAACCCTACGATCTCGGAACCTGCGGAGTCCCCGGCTCTCAACAAGATCGTTGACTCCCAACATAGACCTCGACAAGCCCTTACCGCCCACACCAGAAGCTGTTGAAACACCCAGTACGCAAGACCTAGTGCTCGAATGCTTAGGGCGTCTCCCACCAGCAGCAGAACAAATCTCGACACAAGACCTCGTCGACGCATGTCTTGCCCGGACATATTTTCACCCTCTTAGGCCCATCACGCCCTCGGACAACGATGAAAATTTGCATCAGGTCAAACCATCAACATCTCTAGCTACGCCTAAAACCTCGTCTTCGCTCAAATCGTCAACCTTCACATCAAAATCTCGCCTCTCGTCACCGTTAGACTTCATACCACCCTCTCTCCGCCCCGAATCGCCCCTACAATACACATATCCAACACGCAATCCAACCTTTGCGCCCCTTTCACAAGCACACCGCACTACACCTAAACCGCGTTCTCAAACCGCGAGCCCTAACAAATTTCATACCACCTCGTCACTCGCCCCGTATCCTCCCAGGCCACACACCCCCGCATCCCGCGACACCTCTTCACCCTCATCATCACCCTCGCCCTTCCCATTTGCCTCTCCATCACCATCACCGCCGCCCCTGTTTCAAATCCCGTACTACATATCCCCCTCCTCGCCCTCCCTCCCGCACTTCGCTCCATTGATAGTACGCAAGCCCGCACCACCACGCGGGGTAGATTGGCTGGAGCAATGAGACAGGTTGTTTGCGTTGCAAGGTACTCAAGGGTTTGGATTGAGAAGGGGAGAGAAGAAAGAGAGGAAGAGTCGATTTATTGAGATCTTGGGCGTTGTTGGTGGTAAAGCTGGTATATGGTCGGGTCAGGCTGGGTAGAGAGGATGAAAACAGTCTTTATGTTGTATTGTATCATAGATATGAGATTCAAGGCTATGGATCTTTTTTACCGACGTGTACATGGCACCGTTCTGCGTATCTAAGCTTTACCCAAGCCCTTCCCTTCATCATCGCTTTCCCGCTCAACAGTCGCTTCAACATGCTCCGTCATGAGGTGTTTAATACCCTTCATGGAGAGCACAGCTATCGTTGCAAGCGCAACGAATGGCACAACACTCCAGTAACCCAGTCTATAAGCACGCGCATACGACCAATGGCTCGCATCCCACGCAGCAGTGATGATAGTTTCATTTGTGCCAGGTATGCCTGCACCTCTGAACTTGGACGCTGAGCTACCTTTCATGCCTTTGAGAAGCGCAGGCACGGAAGACTCAGGGAGGCCGGCGGCGATTGCCGCAGAGCTGACATCACCGGCTAGGTGAGACGCGATGCGCGAGTTCACAATGGCGTAGATGACTGCGGTGCCGAAGGCGCCACCGATGGCTCGCGCGGAGAAGGCGAGGCCGGTGGCTGTGGAGAGGAACGCGTGGGGGGCTGTGAACTGGATACATGCGACAAGCAGTGTGAGAGGCCCAGCGCAACCAATACCTGTCAAAGCTGTGAAGATGATTTGTTCGGTGGCCCACCCGGGTCTGATGAATGCGAAGCAGATTGAGGCGATGAACATGATGGCGAAGGTGGCGGCTAGCGGCGTTTCTTCACACGGTATTAGTGGGAGGGAATATTAAGAGGGCATTATATCTTACTCATGTCTTTGAATCTCGTCGCATACCATGTCACAGCAAGAGATGTGAAGATTGATGCAATCTTGTAAGACAGTTGTCGGATGGCAATATCCCATGCGTTGTCTTCGAAACCGACGTTGAGAATGAGCTGTGGCGTAACCGCGTTGATTGCGGAGTAGTAGATCCATCCCTCGATAGCAAAGGCGAAAGTCGACAGCCAGAAGTTTGGTCCTGTGGAGAAAAAGACATGGGCAACGATGCCGTCGGATCGACCCTTCCATTCTGTGTCATGTCAGCTTTTGACTCGAAATCAAGGCATGGAAGGGTAATTTACCATAGAGACAAAAGGCGATGAACAGGACGATACCGACAACAAGATTGGCGCATACATGCGGGTTGCTCCACGGATACGCGCCACCTGCCCAGTTGAGCGCCAAAAGCATCAAGGTAGCAGCAGCAACGAGAAGAAGCGAGCCGATAGGGTCGCAAGCCCACATCCACTCTTTGAAGCTCATCCGCGGATAGTCGGTGCGTTTCTTTGGCCAGTAGAATGCGAACAAACCAAGCGATGTGATGCCGTGTAGGCCGACTTGGATCCAGAAGATGTAGCGCCAGCCGGAAGCGCTCAGGTTGGTAACCGCACCAGCTGCTAGACTACCGACACTGTACAGACTTAGTACATGTCAAATGCATTTACTTACGCGAGGTGTCTACTTACGTTCCGCCCATCACACCGGCAACGCCTGCAAGTCCGTTCGCTAAAGGTCGATACTTCAAAGGCAGAATCTCGGATGGGATAGACTGAACGATGGAAATAGTCGCAAGTGTCGTGCCAATGAGGATACCACCTCCAATCAACATAGACATGCTAGTAGCTTTGGCACAGATAATGGAACCAATGCATGCGATCAGTGGAGGTATGGTGGCGAACAGCTTGCGATCCAAGACATCAGACAGGCGACCGACGGGAGGAGAAAGGACTGATTGCATGAGGAGCGGACCCTGTAGAGTGTCAAAATTTGATGTCCAAACTCTGTGCCTGGGGTACTGTACCTGGATGATCCAGCTTGCGATGGCAGGTTCTCCAAGCTCGCGGATGATGAACGACATGACTGATCCCGCAGCCACTACCACGAACACTTGAGACATGACGCTACATACATTGTAAGCTAGCGAGTTCAAGCAAAGGGTTGCGCGCAACTTACGCGAAGCAACAGCAGAAGACGACCATCCAAGACCTCCATGATAGCTTGACATGATGGACGTCCTCATTGGCTTCCTGGTCGATGGGCACGATATGGGCGTCGCGACCGTGGGCCGTTTCGATATGGGTAGCTCCCGTCTTATTGTCCATAGCTGTCTATACCAGGTGCCAAGTTGGATCGAGAAAAAAGACGAGATGGGCGAGGTCTGCATCCCATATCACTACACATGTACTGCAGTGGGGCACCATGCCGTGGGCGCTTGGCCGGGGCATTCCAGCATGTAGATGAGCGGTAGCGGGCTTGAGCTACAACGCCATGCATATCGGCAGATTTAGATGCTGGGGTTGAGGTCCTCTCAAGTCGCGTTTGGATGATGTTTACCGAATCATCGGGAGGAGATGATGCGGGGCCCCATATTGGGTGAAGATTGGCGCTCCTTCGCTGCAAAGTGATGCGGGGAGGCGTGCCCACGACTCGGGAGCTGCGCGCCTTACCCCAAGACACCTTCTACTCTTTCCTTCTCACTCCATGGGTGAGGTTTCATCGCGACATGCTGCTGCTACGTGATGAGGTGTGGTGAGGAGCGAGGAGGTGATGTTGGATGAAAGAGGAAGGGCAGGCCGGAGTTAAGCAGGCTCGCCCCGCTGGACCCTGAGACTTTTGTTGTCTTTGCGCAGGCTTCACGCTCCCACCGACCAACATCCCACCGCCAACCTCTTAGCCGACGCCTACACGACGCATAGTAGCCTTGAGCTGCTCTTGAAACTGACTCCCCCACCAGGCGATGCTATGAGCAGCCCACCGCCTCTCGTAGGCCATCTGGTCCCCCTCCGCACCAAGGACGAGGTGCGCGCCAGCCTGGAGACTCACACCGTCTATGTCGTCGAAGTGCCGGCCAAGTTTGCCAACGTTATCAAGGAGTGAGGCCTTCACTCCTGGGGCACTAGCTTGATCTCTGCTAACCTCGCCTGCCTCCAGTGCCGTGCAAGCAGCGTTGCCCGACTTCAAGACGTCGGAAATCTCTCACCTGCGCCGCGTAGTGCAGTTCAAGTACCTGCCGCCGCACCTGCAGAAACAGTTCTATCCGCCTGCAAGGCTCCCCAGGGGTAACGAAGATGCTCCTGCCTCAGAAATAACATCGTCCCCACTAACACCGGCGACCCCCGCTTCCCTTTCCGCGTCCTCGTCCTCCGTCGATGCTGGCAGTGAGGCTGCTCATGGAGAGGCTGAAGCTAAAGATTTTGATTTAGTCCGCTACTTCCTGCTGTGCCCCACGCGTCATATGCCGCACGCCAACCTTGCGGCTCTCATACGGACCTGCCCGCCTTTTGACGGCCCCAAGACTGCGCTCCCTCGGATCCTCTACGTAACCGTGCCGGCCCTGGCGCCCATATCCCAGCAGCAGGCTGACGACTGGAGCGACAAGTATTGGCCCATCTCGTATAAGAACACCAACCCCTACGGCCCCCATCCGAGCCTCGTACAACGCAACCAGGAGGAGCTACAACCCGAGGCAGGAAACTGGCTGGCGCTGGCACGAGCCGCTGGCCAGCAGATATCGGATCAGTGTCTGGGCGAGAAGATCGGCGTCGTCGTGGTTGACCGCACCAGGAACCAGCCAGAGATTGTCGCGGTTGCAGGCGACTGTCGCTGGAGGTCTTTCACCGGCACCGCTGAACCGCCTACCGGCACTGGCAATGTCATGGCTCACGCTGTTCACCGTGCCATCGCCATGGTTGCGAAGAAGCGGCTGCGTGCTGCCGGCACCGACCCCGCGCTTCTCGACCGCTCTCTCTTTTGCGACAACCCCCTCACCGGTCTCGAGAAGCTATACTACGAGAAAGACAACCTCTCGTCGAGCGGCTACCTGTGCGTAGATCTCGACATCTACCTCACCAATGAGCCCTGCGTCATGTGCTCCATGGCCATCCTACACTCGCGCTTCCGACGTTGCATCTTCGGTAAGCGGATGCCCCACACCGGCGGCATCACCGCGGACGGTCCAGGCGACTCTTCGTCAGCGGGCAGCGGGCTGAAAAAAGGCCTGTTCTGGCGACCGAGCGAACTCAACTGGAAGTTCCTGGCCTGGGAGTTTAACGAGGAGGGCAAGACTGCGGATGCGGACAGTGGCTTCAAGGAGACATTGCATGCATAAACGCGTGCATCACGCTTGACCTGCATTGGATACACAGCATAGACACGGCGTATTGGATTAACACTGTCGACGGGATGGGACTATAGGGGATGATTATACCAGCATGACATGCGTGAATACGGGGTTAGGAAGAAAGCATCTGTACGATAGCAAATGAAACGGAACGTTCACATTGATATTCTGTTATACGCCTGCAATACCCTTGCTGGATACATGTTCGTTCATCGCCAGTGTTCTCATCAATAGTGTCGTACACTAAAGTGAAGCAACTGTGTCGGATCACAAGCCAACACAAGATCTCGCCGACGCATGTACCTTGGCGCACGTCTAGCAACGCCCTCTTGGAAAGATCCCTAGATACTCATGCTACGCGTTCGAAAGCTCAGATGTCTCAACACCTCATCATATCGCCTTCTCAAAGAACCCTTCTGTGGAGCTTGCTGGCCCAACACAATTGTAAGCGCAGTCTGACCAGCTTTATTCCGAGCAATGGCATTAGCACCGCGGCGCAGGTACATTGCCACAAACTCGACAGCGTGCCTCCGCGCCGCAAAGAACAAAGGCGTTCGGCCCTCTCGGTCACGGTGGTTGACGTCCGCTCCAGCTTTGAGTAGCAGTGTTGCAGCCTCCAGGCTCTGATCCATTTCCGGGTCGATCAGGATAAGAGCTGTCTTTCCACGGGAGTCTTGTTTTCTCACGTCTGCGCCGTGCTCCAGAAGTACTTTTATAATCTGTACGTCCAGCAAAAATGAAGTGCAGGCTTCGAAGAGAGGAGTCCGATTGTTCTCGTCCCTGGCTTCGATGTTGGCGTGATTATCGATATACACGGCGACTAGTCTGGAATTGCCCTGTCGACATGCAAGATGCAGTGGCGTATGGCCTTTCTTTGCTGCAGTATCTATATCAGCACCGCAATTAATTAGATGCTGTGCGACGATCGGCCAGTAGCGCAACTCTATATCCAAGAGGGTAGATGGGCTGTTTACTGATTCGAAGTTGATGAGCGCATCTGGGCGAATGGAAAGCTCTATCGCGCTTTGATCCCCGGTCGAAATGACAAGAACGATTGTGTGAGGAGTATCTTCGTGAGGTACACCCGGATCGTAGCCTCGAGCCATTCGTTTGAGTCTACAGGCGTCACACGGGCACCGAGAGAAAGAAGGTAGTTTATGGCCTTCACACAATGTTTCGCCGCTTCTCCAAGGTACGGGAATTCGGGGCAATTTGGCCATTCGCTGAGGTAGTTTGGAGGTTCCAAGGGCAGATTAGGATACGGACGGGCTGTCTGGCGCAGTCTACTCTACCTTTTGACAGCTTCGGTTAACGGACTGTGGTGGGGAGGCTTGTGATAATTCACGTCTGCTCCGTGGGTTATCAATAGCTCTACAAGGAATGTCCATCCTTCAGCAGCTGCTCTGGACACAATGGTGTGTCCATGTTCGTTAGTAGTGTCCGCTTTCTCGGCGAATCCGTGCACTGTCAGGTTGAAAGGTGGGATCTTCATGGGACCGACTTTGATGGGTGCTGCAGATCCTGTCTCGTTCTTGTGTGTTGAGAAGCGCAGTAAAAGGGGTGTTCAGACCGTGCTGAGCTGCGAGGTGTATTCCCAGTCTACCAAAAGGCTTCATGGTCGTGACATCTTCGCCAAGACGGACCTTTTTTATACCAAGCATAGAGCGATATTGGTCTGGTCAACAATTAAGACGCAGAACTAACACATTCAACGGCATGTTAAGGAATCTTGATACTTGCTCATGACCTGCAGGGGCTAGTTTGGCATGATGACTCCAATACCTGGCGGCGTACCCGTACAGGCCCTCCGTCTCCAGAGTGAAAGTTCCAAATCTGTCGATGTAATATTCGCTCGACCGACTGAATTCGTCGAATGCAAGGTATGTTGAACAGATAGCAATGATCATGTCGTATGCTCTTGAAAACCATCTTTGTTGCGTCCGTGCAAGATACTCCTGTGTCGTATAGTGAACTAAACGAATAATGCCACCGTCCAGTTCCACGGTGACAAGCCCGAGATATGCAGCGGCAATGTTTTCGAGGTCGGAGATGTTTTCAGGTCCAGCTGAGTCTCTCCAATCTCGACTTCAAGCGCCTCCTGTAGATCACGAGCCCTTAGACGGGTACCCCATAACAATACGCGGGGTGACGTAGACCCGCACTATCATTCGTTGATCGATAATACGTGCAGGCGGATCGGGCCTTCTTTGCAGAATTGGGCATCGAGTATATTGTTCTAGCTGCGATGTGACGATGGAGGATGTGAGTGAAAGCATGGAGTTGGAAGTCGCGGACGATGCACGTGCATTCGCGTTCCGCGCCAAGCTAGCGTGACTTCCTCAACCTTCGATCCGCCAGCAGTTACAAACGTCCATGACAACATCGCGACAATGTTACCCGACGAGATCATCGCCCAGCTAACCGCTGAATTCCAATGCCGCGATCAGCAAATTCATCATCTCGCAGCCCTCTATAGCGTCGGTACACACATCGCACTTCAGGGTCACTGTACTAACGGCAACCCAGGCGCATCTCCCATCTCCACCCTTTCTGAATATCCATGGCCTCACGGCGACTGGAAAATCCTCGATATTGCGCTCCTTCTTCCATCTCTCTCGTATACAGCACACCATCATCAACGTTCGCGAATGCATAACCGCACGACATCTCCTGGAGCGCATCGTCGCAGCTAGTCTAGATGCGCTGGATGACTTCAACGACGAGAAGATTGATAGGAGACCGTACGCGCGTACAGAGAATCTGAGCGCGCTATGTGTCAACATGGAGAAGCTGTTGGTGGGCAGGGGGAAGTTTGTGTTGGTACTCGATGCGGTAGATAAGTTAAGAGAAGGGGGTGGAACATTAATCGCGGCGCTGGGAAGACTGGGAGAAATGGTATGCTTCAAAATCTATCAAGCAAAACGCAAGGTACTAACAGTACGGGCAGATACCAAACCTCTCCCTTATCCTCACAACAACCCTCCCTCTCACGCCCTCCGTCCTCCACTCGTCATCAGCCCCCTTCCTCCACTTCCCATCCTACGCGCGCAGTGAACTCCTCACAATTCTCAGCGCCAACCCACCAAAGATCTTCCTCGAACCGCCCTCCCTAGAACAATTCCCAGACTACACACCCGATCTCACAGCCGAAGACGACCAATGGCTCTGGGGCCGCTTCCTCCAAGCCGTGTACGACTCCCTCGCAAAGCACACTGGACGAGACCTGATCAGCTTCAAGAGCTGCGCAATGCGCCTCTGGCGTCCGTTCGTCGACCCTGTAGTATCAGGACAATTCGGCACGCGCGACTTCTCGCGTTTGATGGTGAATAGACGCCATCTCTTCCAGCTTGAGGACTCCGTCTTAGATCGAATCATCTCGGATACTGCCGAACCGATCAAAGACGCAGCACCAGCAAGCGTTACGCCAGCGACGCCCAGCAAGAAGAAGCCAGCAAATATGACAGCCCACACCCTTCCTTACTTCACGACGCATATCCTCCTCGCCGCGTATCTAGCGTCATACAACCCTTCGCGTACCGACGTCACATACTTCATGAAGCATACCGATAAGCGGAAGAACAAGCGACGCGCACCGAGTGCTGCCTCTTTCAGCATGACGGGCAAGCGCACAGGAGCTAAGCATCGGAAAATCAGTCGGCATCTGTTAACGCCCAGTCCGTTCACTTTGGACAGGTTGCTCGCGATCTTTAGGGCGCTGCTCGAGGGAACGGTACCTCAAGTAGCGGACTTATACACACAGATTGCTACATTGACGAGCATGAGACTGCTAGTAAGAGCCGGAGGAGCAGGGAGCAACGACGCGTTAGAAGGTGGTGGACGATGGCGCGTGAACTTTGGCTGGGAATACGCACGCGCGCTAGGTAGAAGTGTGAATCTGGAAGTAGGCGAATATCTTGTTGGCGGCGTAGACTAGGCCTCCAGACAATTTATACTCTACAACACCTGGCCAGGGTATGTAGAAGATATCTAAGAGCTACAGCTACACTGTAGCATACCTTTGTACTTCGGCACGTCGCCACAGAACCTCTCTTCCTCTTCTGCGTTCCACTCCCAAGTTTCTTGGAAGGGATTGAGTGCGAGTTTCATGATTTGAGGTAGGATCTCGCGTTCGTTTTTCTTTTCGACGCGCTCGATGAGTTCGTCTAGGATCCAGGACCGGGGGATGAACTGGCCACTTGTTAGCACTGTACTTCTTTCACAGAAGGGTAGAAACATCCAACTTACGTTGGGATTAACAGAATCCATAGCAGCCTTCCTCTCCGCATCCTTGCCCTCCCCCAAATCCTCCTTCACTCTTTGCGACCATTTCTCCAACCACTTCCCAATCCTCTCTCTCCCATCACTCTCTTGCCTCGGTGCGTCGTTACTACGGAAGAACCTCCCGGCAACATCTTTCCTCTGATCCTCCGTCTCCACTTCCGCCAACTTGACATTCCCCAACCGCCTAAAGGCATGATGGAAGTCCAGTTCATACATCTGTAGGGTATCCAAAAGCTCCGACATCAAGTCCTCAAAATCACTCTCCTTCTCCGTCTTGAGTCCCAGACGAAGCGTCATGAGACGGCGATACTCAGCGAGGAAAACAGCCTTGTACTCTTCGCCTGCGCGGTCGATGGCGGATTCTGCGCATTTTACGATGCCATCTGCTTCTTCTTCTGTGACACCTTTCTCGACAAATTGCGCTTCGTCGACTTTGCTGCCGGCGCCCATGAGCTCGCCCAGGGCTTCGCCTAGGCGCACGAGGTTCCACCAAATGATTGTGGGTTGGTTGCGATAGCTGTAGCGCAGCATGTGGTCGTCGTGGTTGGGGGTGTAGGTGGGATCGAAAGTGTCGAGGAAGGCGAAGGGACCGAAGTCGATAGATAGACCCAGGATAGATGTGTTGTCTGTGTTTAGGACGCCGTTCATGAAGCCGTAGGCTTGCCATTTTGCGACGGTTTCGGCGTTGCGTCGGAGGATGGCGCGGTAGAGACGGACGTAGCGGTTCTCTTCGCCTTCGTTCTCGCCTTCGATGGTGTCTTTGGGGATGCCCGTGGAGGTCTGGTTATGGACTTCCTTGGCTTCACCGGCGGGGAGCTTGGAGGGGAGCTTGTCCCAGCCACCGTAGACGTGCTCGGCTGTGTAGTCTGCGATCGTGCGGAGGGTCTTTCGGTCGCCGCGTATACGTTGTAGGTCGAATGTGCCAAATCGGATCCAACTCTGCGCGAATCGCGTGACGATGGCTCCAGGTTCTGTGCGCTCGCGCATGACCTTACTTCCGTTGTTCAGGGTGAGCGCCAGCGCTCTTGTACTGGGGATGCCAATGGCATTCAGGTATTCCGAGACGACGAATTCTCGGATAGAAGATCGCAGTACTGCGCGGCCATCGGCGAAGCGGGAGTATGGTGTTCGTCCAGCACCCTTCAGTTGGATCTCGTATCGTGTTCCGGTCGCTGGGTTGGTAGACTCGAACAGTGAGATGGCGCGTCCATCACCAAGTTGGCCTGCCCATTGTCCGAACTGGTAGCCTCCATAGCATTGTGCCCAAGGGTATATTCCAGCCTCTGGGTTTGACTCGTCCCATGTCAAGATCTTCTTTCCGGCGACGACTTCCTTGAACTCCTCCGTCCTGGCCTCTTCTTCTTTCAAGCCAATATCCTGCATTGCTCGCTGACTGACAGCTAACAGCTCTGGCTCTCCCTGTGAGTCAGGTCGAACATATGTGTATAGTGCTCCCTTGACCATGCGCGGTCCGAGCATCTGCCGTGGTGCATCGTGCGAATCTTTCGGTCTGGGGAAGGCGTCATCGGCGGGAAGGTTCGATGTGAAGACGTTCGATTTGGGAAGTGATTGCAGCGTCTGCAGTTCGCTGGACGAGTTGCTCGCCGTCTGTGGGGTATCGAGATGCGCCATGACTTGATTGAGGCGCATAAAAGTGTGGAAGGGATTCTTGCAGATGTATTTTGTCGACGATATGACTTTCCTACTAGGCTGCAGCGCAGTGGAGATTCGAAGCATGAGCTGCTAAGGGGTATCAAGTGGTGTAGGAGGGAGGGGCAATGAGGGGAAGATGGCGGCAAATATGGGCGTATATGATGCTGATCGGAGTGATTTGAACGTTATGGGGCAGTGGCGTCATGCCTCGGACGAGCGGCCTTATCGATAAGGCAGTCGTGGAAACATCAGAACGTCGCGGTGCCTGACTCGCGCGTTTCCCTTCTGAACGATTTCGCAGACGCGTCGACTCCACCAATCAGCACATCCTTTTTCAAGCAACGCGTACGTTCGCACTCGACTTTTTGGAGCAGACAGTGGCCTTGTCACCACCACCCTCTCAGTATGAACGGCCAGCCAATACCCGGCTACTTTTGGGACGTGGAGAAGAAGAAATATTTCAGGATCCAAAACCAAACCGCAGCTCAAGGATCAAATCTCAAATATTCCTCAGCAAACATCAAGAAGACAGAGCGAAAAGAGCGTATCCAAAATGTTGCACTTGCGCGGTCTAATAAACTCAAGAAGGAGCGGGTCATCAGGCGCAACCCGAACAGCTTTACCCTGACAAATATCGATAGGGAATTAGGCCTTAGCAGACGGTCACGCTATGTCCACGGTCTTTGGCCTGACGCGTGCGCAGCCGGTATCCAAAAACGTCCTGAAGTGGTGCTACCTCCATCTGGAACCCGACTCTTTGCCAAAGACCCAGTACATCATACGATATACTCAGTCCAAGGTGAGAACAGTGTGCACAGGCAGCCTGCAGATCGCGGGAGCTCCTCATCTGCGCTAGAGAGTATTTATCAGTGGTATCCACGTGAAGAGGTGACGCGAACGACGTCTACGGTCTCCTCGCTGTCCTTTCTGCCAGCGACCGGCGCGCTTGCAGTAACGACGTATGGATCAGATCGACCGCCAGAGGTATGGCTCAGCGACCCAGGGCGCGACGATCCAGTAAGTTATTCACAAGTTTGCAACCTACACGGACATATTCCACCCAAAGATGAACGCCTGTGTTTCATTTTATGTTTGGTAGATCGGATGATCTGACTTACCTGGCGGCCATAGGGCATAACTAAAAAAAACCGAGCTTTCTTGCCCACTCTCGTCATGGTTCAATCACGTACAGAACTGGCGAATTTTCAAGGCTCTCAGGCTGACTCATAATAACACAGTATGTAGGGCAGAAGTTTACACCAAAGGACTGTTCAGTCATTTGGGGTGCTGCTGCCAGACCAAATACGTTCACGGCATCACCGGGTCTCGCAAATAGTGTTGCAGCAACCTGGACCGAGCACCTCGCAGTTGCGGCCTCGAGTTCGATGCTACTATTCACTCGATCACAGGGAGGTGCGTGGGACTCTCAAGCCGTAGTAAAGTCACTTGAGACAGATGTCCTGGCCTTGGAGTGGATATCGTACACTACCGTCGCACTTGGTTGTCGAGATGGAACCATTCGGCTATACGACACAAGATCAGGGGGCTCAAGTCAAGTCTTGACACATCCCGCGCCCATCTCAAAGCTCAAGCGTGCCGACGATGAGACTAGGTTGATATGCTCGGGGCTTAACGACACGCTTTTCTTATACGATATCCGCTCACCTCGCTTATCTCGGAACTCTTCGCGGAAGACGTTTAACTACGACGACCACCACTACAACGAGGAATACTTCAAGAACTTGTATCCCACTCATCGCGATAGTCACAAACGCCGCAAGCTCAACCACAAAGCTTTCAAGAATTGGTCGCAGCCAGTCATGACTTTTGCCCACGCGAACAGAGACGAGCTAGAACTGGACATCGATGTACACCCAAGACTCGGACTTGTAGCAGCAGCCCAAGATACAACGGGGGGTACAGTAATTCGGATTAGCAACATCTGGACGGGTAAATCTGTCAAGGAGATAGAGGGGATGGACCCGCGGCAGGCGAAAATTCGTGCACTCACATTCATTGATAGCGGTACTGACGGCAATGTTGATCTTTGGTCGTGTTGGGGTGGCGGGATCGCGAAGTTTGGGTGGTCACATGGTAGGGGCCTTTAGTTTTAGAGGCCCACCACGGAGATATCAAACATATTGACCTACAAATACTTCAAAATGCAGTCGATAGATCCATTCACAGGTTCGCCATCGGTACGAGCGACCATATAACTCACGAGATTGAAGCATGTCCATAGGGCCGCGCCGCCAGAACGCAATCACACTTGCACTGACGTGTGACAGTGCGACACTGAAATCATTCAGAAACATTCGCTGCAATTATCCGCTGCGTCACAATGAACCTCGTCCAATCGTACCCGACAGTCACCAACGCACGTGCGTTCTCTGTTGTTTGCTCCTGCCTCGCATCTGCCCCGGTTGGATCGCGCGGTTTCTCAGACACTATATCGATCTCAAAACAAAACGCGAAACCTCTTCGCACGCAGCGACCTTCAGTGACAAATTTGAACAGCAGTGAGAATTTCACAGTGCAACGAGTGACATCGGGCGAAGACCTTCACTCCCTCTAATTCACCGTCGCTCTCCAAGATACAAATAATACCCGAAACAGTCTCACAACCCGGCCTTCCACACCAATCACCGGTCTTCTTCCACCGACACCCCAGGGCCACATTTGGCAAGGAAGCACCTACCAAGCCACTCAAGCCGCGAACAGAAACATGGCAAGCATTGATATCGAAAAGGGCACCACTACCCCCTCCAGTGTACCCTTACAAAGTAACCGCAAAAACAACCACCGCGCCGCCAACCTCAGCATGTCAATACCACTTCTCATTGCCTACATCGGTCTCTACACCACAAACTACTACCTGAGTCCCAACGGTCCCGCATCCGAGTACCGCAACGGCGACTCAGGACGTATCAACCCTCTCGCCATTGTACTCATGCTGCTCGGTGGTGAACTCGTTCAAAAAGCCTTCGCTATCACCACCACGACTTGCAAGAACGAGTCTCCCTGTTTTGGTTTCGGCTGGCTGGCTTATAGCTTGTCACTTTTGGTGTCAGTCGCGTGCGGTAGTGGTGATTTGTCGCCGAAACCGGAGTGCGATGTCAAGGTTTTGGACATGAAGACAGGAAAGAGTCGGTCGAACAGGCAGTTCGCTGTTTCGAGATTGCTCCGAGACCTGGAGTCCCGCTCTGTTCCCTCCAATATCGATGGCAAGTTCTACCAAGATAGCGAGGTCGTCCTCGAAATCCTCCAACCCACTGGCACATCTTCCGCCTTCACTCCCTTCAAAAACCTATTTCAGAGCGGCAGCTTGATCACTGCACTCCTCCAATTCTGTGTTGCCGGATCATTCTGGTATTACTATGACGACCTCTCGCCCCTCCTCCTCCTCAGCATATCGATCTTGCTTATCGAAGCTACTGCAGGCCTGCCCGTCTGGAATGCTCAGATCACTTCTTCGATGGCCGGCGGTACGCGAACTGGGGCATACGCACTCATGCGTGATACCGACTCCCCGCCTAACCACATATACATCGTTCAGCCCTCTCCAACCGCATCTACCAGCACTATCCATACGCCTACATCTCACACCACAAATGTCAGCGCTTCGAGACTCTGTATCCCACTCACCATCCTTATAACCGGCGCCTTCTTCAGCCAAGCACTCCTCTACACTCAGCTTTCGGATAACGCAGCGATCGCTATGCTGCTCATCATGTTCTGTGGTACAACCAGTAACCTTGCTATCGTCGTTATGCCGCGCGTGCCACAGGTCGATGGTGTGAAACTAAGATCTGTTGGTGTGATGAAGGGGGAGGGGAGTGTGGTCAATGTTCTGAGGGAGGTTGAGGCGAGGTTCGAGGGATATGGGGATGTGTTGATTAGGCAATGTTTTCCTAAGATGATCGGGAAATGGGAGGGTGGAATGGAGAAGGGAGGGATGGGCGAGATGGATTGAAGACGGTAGAGCAAGTCTTGGTTCGCAAGGTCGCATATTGTTGGCCCGGTATCCGAGCCTTAGTAGTGAGCTGATCCATCACACGTGACGAATCTGCAGACAGCGTAACAACTGAGATCATAACTCTTCAATTCATGTTGACGTTGCTGTGCCCCCTTTCTTCCCTCCCCCTAAAAGCGGTAATCTAACCCGCCCAAACACCATCCCGCCACCCCTTTGCATCTGCGCTACTGCATCACCAAGTAACACTCGTATCGCCCCTTCCAACCTCTTATCTTTTTTCCGCCTCATCCACAGCAACACTATACCCAGTATAAATACATCAACGGCTATATGCTTGAAGCACGCCCACACCCATCTCCACACGCCCCTGAATAGCTGATAGTGTACTGAATGTGCGAAGAGTCTTCTTGCTTCTAATTGTTCTCGTAATGCGGCGACTTCAGCCGTCATCTTCATGAGCGATTGCTCAACGCGCTTTCTCCATTTTTGGTCTGCGACTGATTCTTTCGGGGATGTGTCTTTTCCCCCTGCTGCACCGTTTCCAGCTGGGGCAGGTGTGCTGCCGAAACCTGGAATGGGCATCTGGATAGGTTTACCCAGGACGCCCATGCCGCGATTCCGTGGCGCGGGCGTAGGTGTTTGTATGGGTATAGGTTCAGCGCGGATCAACTGTTGTAAATCGGTTTGTACGCCTGCGTCTTCGAGTTCAGGGGCGTCATCGTCTGGGTAGGATGTAGGGTTGTATTGCGAATCTGGGGCGTCGACGAAGACTTCGCCCTCGCGATCGATTTCTGCTTCCTCTTCCTCGAGCTCTTCTTCGGATTGCGACATTGGTGATTTGACGCGGAGGGGAACGTCGCGGCGTTCCGAGTGTTGGGGCTCGTGTCGAGAGCGGTCCATGTCGTTACTGCTGTTCATGGCTGCGCGGCCGCTTTGGCCCAGTTCGTGCTGGGAATAGCCGGGGGTTATGTGGTCGGAGGTTCGTAGTGGCGAGGAGGAGGAGGAGGATGGCACGTTGGACTTTACTTGGTCCCAGACGAATTCAAGTTCGGCGACTAGTTCTCGGGAGTCGGGCGAGGGTGAGGCGTACTTGTGCATGGTGTCGATGAGGGTTGTGATGTAGCGGCGTTTGGCTTCGGTGCGGGAGAGACCGTTCTGCTGTTTCCAAGCGTCCCTGGGAATGTTAGGCTCTGCCATGTATGCATTCCATGAGAGGGACATGACTGGTGCTATGCGCCAACTGACATACCATTTCTCCCGTGCTCGTTGCGACTGGTCATCATTCCCCCTTGGACATTCCATTATACCGTCGACATCGCCCTCTGTTTTGGTCAGCTCTGGTCGTAGCACAGTCCCCCTCCGCATCATTTCCCTTGACGCAACGTACCCATGGCCTGCTTATATAGCCCATACAAGCGTAACCTGGTCGCAGACGGCGGTTTCTGCGACCCCGTCCGTATCTTGTTGACGGTGTTGAGCGCATGGCTGAAGACTCGATCTGCATTCCTTATCGTTAGCAAAAGTTCCTCCCATCTCCTCTCACACCAGATGCAACCTACCAACCGAGTCTGACATTACGAGCGTGGATATCGCGCCCCCATAGACGGGGAGCGGCGCATTGATTGGTGTGGCGGTGCGTGTGAGTGCCTCAATAGCAGGCACAAGGTATTCAGCCAGGCAGGAGCAAAAGACAAGGTAAAGTATAACGGCGCAATGGATGACGGACGGCGTGCATGATGCGATGACAATGCGGAGCCGTGTGGAGATGGCATTCGTTGTCGCGCGACCCTGGCGCTTTGGCCTCGGCTCTTGCGGAGCGGGCGCGCTTGCCATGTGGCAGTGCGGTCGGCCGCCGTTTCACGTGTCAACAGACTCTCATTGTTTTCACCGCACTTTGTTCTCTTGCTGATATATTGCAATAGACTATCGTCCTTCTTTTACGAATCATATCACACGCGATAACGGCCACATGTCTGTTCGTTCCCGGGGCAGGGATCTGGACGACGAATCGGGCAATGTTTTCCGCACGCGATTTCTTGGACGAAATGATATAGATTCGCGACGGAAGACTCGCTGACTCCATATAGCTTATGTTTACGTCCATCCCGCTGACCTTACATCTTGCATCATCGTCTACCAGTCTGCTACCACTGGCTGCACATCGCTCGTAAACGACCACACGCCCTGTGAGTTAACAGCATGAACAATCGCCTTCCTCGCTACATCCTGTCTACGCGTGGTAGTCGCAACTTGAGTAGAAGTTCCCTGGAACGCCTATTAGTACCGCCCTTTGGAGACTATGAGCAGACTTACCTGTACGCGTTGACCCCTCACGTTTGTATAGGGATTACCAACTTCATCCGTACCAGTCGGGTACTCAACAATAACGGAATACGCCGTCGCGCTGGAAACCGGCGACCAGCTGACCTCAAAGTCACCGGCATCGTTGCTTCTACGCAGTAATACCCCCGCAACCTTGGCTGGACGCGAAACACTACCAACAGCGCGTATCTGCCCCGTGGTGTAGCATCCATTGGACGTTCCTGAGGTGGTGTAGAACCGCCATGAGACAGGTGCCTGGCCGTTCTTGCATACACTGCTGAACTCATGCACAGCAGTGAATGCCGAGTTTCCAGGGTACTTGGTGAGGAAGTTGTTGCCAAGGTAGGGGTAGAAGGTATCGCTGACACCGAAGCTGTCGAAGTCGCGGAAAGGCTTGAGTTCGGCACGGCTGCCGTCCGCGTATGTGGCTTCGAATGCCCATTGCACTCCTACGTATTGGTCTTTGTTGAAGGTGAGTTGTGCAGTGCAGCTACCGAGGTTGAAGGCCTTGTAGCTGCTGGGAGCTATCCTGCCTGTATACGGGTAGCTCCAAGACGTGCTACATTGTTGGCGCCGTTCATGGGTAAGAGGGGACATTGTGGCAGTGGTCGCTAGAAGCGTAGAGAGATTTACCAGAGTAAGCTTCATGATGGTGCTGATTGAACAAAGTTAACGACTACGGACATGTCAACTCGAGAAACAAGCAACCTAAATACTCCTACTCAAACTCCACGATTGACATCACCAGCGGGTCCAATGCACCAAAACTATAGTTATACAACTAGATAAGTCTTGGACACTACATCATCCGCCCACGAGGAGCGCAACCCGCCAATTCATATAGCAGCCAAGACGGCGTGTACAACTTTCAAGAGAATCCAAGGCGGACGGAGACAACACCCATGAGGATATTTGGCTTAGCTGGTGATCATCTGCGGGCCGCGAGAAGCCTAGTTTTCTTGGCGCTGCAGGTCAATCTTCGTATTCGGTCTTGAGTCTTAGGCTAGTCTAGGGTGATCTACATTGGGACGATGCGACGACTCGAACCGTTTTGCTTCAACTCTTTTTGGGGTTTGCGCTCGATGATTATGAGTAGTTTTGCGAATATATGTGACTGGGCTGTGCAACAGGTATGAGCCGGGTTGGGTGGGGTATATGGCAGGATTTCATGATCAAAACTGGCAAAAACAATCACTCGATGGTTTCACTTCACTGACAAGACTTGGTTATATTCCATGATACAGATCCACCGGCTGTAGCAGCTATCTGGCTATCAATATCGACATATATACCGGACCATCTATGTTAACCGTGAACGAGAACTCCATACTCATACCCCAAAGGCCGGTCCATCATCTGGCGCTCTCGATCATGAACCGTTACCGAAGAATAAGCCCTTGCTAGACAGCCTCCATTCCGATTCAAGCTCAAGAGTAGCCTCTCTCCAGTAGGTGGACTCCAACACTAGAGCCAGCTTAACAGCCCGTCCAGCCACAGTGGTCCCGGCAGAAGAACTCGCTCGCACGACAAGTATCAGCGCGGCAAGTAGTATCGCAGGAACCTGGGTTGAACCAGCAGAACCAAGACTGCCATTATCACTCCAATTAGTCTAAAATACACGGAAGGGAAATGAGCAAGGGGATCGACTTACCTTCTTGCAGTTGCGGAATTTCTCATCGCACTGGTCGCAGGTGGGATCGCGAGTGGCGAGGGGGTTGGCCTCGGCGACGGTGCTGGCGTCCGGGTTGGTGATGGGGTTGGCCATGGTTAGGGTCGCGATGGCGAGAATGAGGGGGGTGGTGAACTTCATTGTTGGGGGAGTGCGTATGGTTTGGTCTGTGGCTGAGGAGATTGAGTCGAGGGTGGATGAAGAGAAGGACTTTCTTGCAGCAGCGGATCGTGGGTTTATATACACCTTGGGTGAGAAAGAGAGGGATTAGGCAGCTGGTCAGATTGAGTGACTCGCACGTATCACCTGGGGTGGTATTCTGGGTGGCAATATACCAACATGATAGTGAAGGAATGAAGAGGTTTGATATAGACGGTGCGGAATTGGCGCATGGGTGGTGAGCCTTTGCACGCGATCGAAGCACGTGTATGTCAGGGGCGTTAATGATTGTAGTAAGGATGAGCACATATTCCAACAACCACATGTAAGGATAACCATAGGAATGGATAACTACATGTAAGGACGACCACATGCAGGGATGACTACGAATTCTTGGGTGGGTTCGTTGGTACGTTCAATCATTCACTCCGGTGGTTGTAAACACCCGCGCGGTAGGCACTCTCCAAGTCCAAATCAGCTAGTCCTCATTTCCACACTCTCGAGGCCTTCAATCGCGCTCTTATCTAGACTTCGAACTACATCTGGATCATTTCAGCTGACCATGGTAACAATGGCTTGGAATTAACCTGTGGGCGCCGTAGCTGAGGGTACTTCTGAGGAAATGATCAGCAGCGCCGACTGCAGATAGGTGAGAGGGTGAGATCAGGGGAAGAAAGCTAGGGATTAATCACGCTTGTCTGAACGCTGCTAAGGTTCTCACAGTGGATAGACATCAGAAAGGTGGTGGCAGGTGATAAGAGGATGTTCTAGACACGTCACTTCTGCTCAGGTACGTTCACGTTCAAGAACTCAACATGTTTAAGTGTGTAGTTGACATTCATCTTTAGGTTAGGTCACCAAGGATGTATCATGCTACCAAATCCCGTCCTTGTTCTGCTTTCCATATTCGCAATGATGACAGGCATTCAGCCAAGACAAATTCTCATCCCAGCCTCCATGCTATTCGTTGCCCTGCATGCCTCACTGATGTTCATCCACTTCCGTGCTACCCGAGATCTATATCTCAAATAGGACGAGTAAGGGGACAGAGAACATGATAGACACACTCCTGGCTGCAAGTCGCCGTCTCGCCCTCAGGTACGTACTTGCACACATCATCGTGTTCACAGTCGTCCATGCAGTTCTTCCACTCAGTAGTTTCTTTCTTGTACCAGGCGCCATCGACTTTCTTCTCGCATACGTCCTATTGAAATTAGTTTCTGGTTTGGACACTAAAGACTACTGGAACAGGGCTATGGCAACTTACTTTCTCGCAGTGTTCAAGGCGGTAGATATCGCACTTCTTGCAGATAATGGATTCTTTCCTACCGCCGCCGCCGCCGGCGAGGACGAGGGTAGAGGCGGCTGCCATGATGAGGAGGGAGAGCTTCATGCTTGGGAGTGGATTGATGGGGATTGAGTTATTGTGGTTGATGGAAGTGGTTTCGTGGTGAGGTGGAGGTTGAGTGTGTTGAACGTTGATTGTTGTTGGGGAAGAGAAGAGAGAGGTAGGGTGAGGGGGATTATATACTTGTGTCGAGCAGGGAGAAGCAGAGCTCTAGGTAGACAGGTGCGTAACGCACGGTGAGTGAGCGGTAACGTGCGTTGAGTGAGCGGTGGTCACTTCGCAATTGCTGCAAAATTGAGAGTCAAGAGTCTGTATTTTGCCAGGCCCTTTCACCCGTGATAGACCATAGGCATTGGCAAATGCGTTATTAGTGACAAAATCTCTGGGGTCCCAGATAACGGCTGCTTCGTGTATGGACAGCAGAAGCTTCTTCATTAGAGATAAGCAGTATCGTTACCTTAAGAGACGATGAAGAGAGTAGGGATGAAACGATGAAACCCCTCTTTAGTGACGAGTGACATTTGCTCGGTGAAACGTAAACGAAGCCTTATATCTTCTGCTTGACCAGCCATTAAAGCGCATCGTCGTTACAACCAGTCCAGCACTTTCACATACCATGAGATTATCAGCGCAAAGCATTTTGAAAGTACTGCGCCCCATTCCGGTTTCCGCCTACCCCGTCGAGATGGTCGCAACGTGTCTCAGTGGTTCTTACTATATCTAGCATAACCTCCTTCACAGTCCATCCAATCCTTCGTGCCACACCAGTTATAACACCATTGGCCCATTTCGCCTTCTCCGCACAGCCACTTTTGGCACCAGTCCGAGCATGGCTTGTTGAATGTGATCGAAGGGCAATGGTCCTATGAGATATGTCAGCAACTGGGTAAGTTTGTACTGGAACTGGTTGACTTACGACCATGCATTCAGCATACATGTGACGGCAAGTGGCGCAGGTGTGCGAGAACTGGAATTGGCTTTCTGAGGCAAGAGCTGCGGTGCTGAATGCTGCGATGATGATGGTAGTGATCTTCATGTTGACACAGATGTGATGGATGAGTCTTGTGGAGGTTTGAAGATAGACCAAGTGGTTCTGTTGACAATCGTTTGAAGGAAGAGGAGATGCCAATTAGATTTGTGAGTATACACGCATTATATATGCTGTGTATCTAGGCGAGCATGCTGGAATATCCGTATTGGCACTCACACGTAGTGATAGCGTCATTGGTCGCTCAACCAGAACTCGCCGTGGAGCTTACATCATTGGTGTGGATCGATAATAGGAGCGTCGTCTCAACAGCTATTAATGCTGGTCGTTGTTCACTTCGTTTGCTAGTCACCGTTGGTACCAGAGTTCCGTATTCGAGGACCCCACTCGTATCATAGGGACGCTGCTCTCGTGACAACAAAGTGGATCGGCATTTAGTACCATTGTAGATTGCAATTTGATGGGGGGTTAATTGTCAATGGATGATGAAAATGATGCGTCTATTCATCGAGATCTAATCGTGCGAGAGATATCCCTTTTGGCTATCGCGCATCCTGCCAACCCCAATCGTTACACATCTGTAGTGCCCCCTAAATCATCCAGAACGATTCGCGAGTAGACACCTTGTAACATCTCGTTCTCTAACCAGCCGCGCTACGCCCCTAAGCATGATGATGCCAATGCGGCTCTCCCCATTTATCAAATTCCACCTTACACTGACGCAGATAACACGGACGATAGTGCTCCTCCATCAGCTCCACGCATTTCCACTGACTCTGATAGAACTGAGGGATGTCGGTTGGCTTGCCTAGGGCTTCTGAATAGCTGTCCACGTAATACTGTTGGGACTTGGGTTAGTAATCTGCAACTGTGTGAAAAAGTTGATGGGGAGGGGGGAAGGTACATACGTCCATGCATTCCCAGTATTTGAGACCGCAGAGCCAGCAAACACCCTCACTTGGGCGTTTGAGTGAGGTAGGGGCGGCGAGGCTTGTGGTGGTGAGGAGGGCGATGAGGGCGAAGATGAACTTCATTTTGGGGGTTTGGGGTGTGGACGTTGGAATCTTCTCGTCAGATGTAGATGAATCTGCGGTAAGAGTTATATGTTTCCTTTCCGGTTAGTTCAAATCAGTTTGCATAACCATCATTCATTTAACATCCGGTCATCCACTCGTACTGCGATAACGCAGAGCGAACAGCGGGCCACTCCCAATCTCTGCAACACATGAGATCCCATATACCAAACCCTTCCGTAGAAGATATGTCACAAGCATTAAAGACCTGGTCAGATGTAGTCGATCTTAGAGGGCGTCATGGTGAAGGATGGTAGATGAGGCGGGTCTTTCCATCTCAACAGCATTTCCCCCCCGCACCAGTTGATTCCTTGGAGCAGAACAACGGTAAAATATCATCGCCACGAAGTTGAATATCGGCACGTAATGCGCAAAGCCGTGATCGGTTGAGAAGTTCGGACGAATGAGAGGGATGACGTTGTGGAACTGTGGGGCTGAGCCATGAATTTACAACAAAGCAACACATTAACAGCGCAGGCCGCCGAGATGCGAACACAACTGTCTTTCAGTAGCGAACGAGTTCGGAAGTATATAGTTATGAGGATGAAATTGATAAGCTAAGTAAGCCAACACGATCAAATGGTCTCGAGTTTACGAAAACATGGTCTCAACCCTTTTTCCCTGATAACTCTCACTGTCCACCCCTTTATCGTCCGAAACACGACTCTCTGATCCTCAACATTATCGAACAACGCTTGGACACACCCCACAGGCTCTGGATCACCGTGTGTTGGCTGGCGCGTCTTATCAGGCAGGTGCCATACACCCTCTCTAGTCTAGACCCTGAGACTCCACCTGCGGTCCCATCTAAACTAGACTTTGTGGTGTATGCATGGTAGAAATCTGGCTGATGCTCTACAGTTTGGTGCTGGAAAAAGGCGTGGGTCGCTAAAGTGGGTCCATTTGATCACCGGGTATCACGCAAATATGGGGTTGACGTCTGCGCTTTATTTGTCTCTGGCCGGAACGCCACATCAACCACGCTCCCGATGGACATTTCACGACGGGCTATCCTTGTCCATAGGCGGGCTACAACCGCCCATATTGGCATCTTCATCGTCGAGGACAGGCTCGTTGTTCACAGCTGCAGGGGGAGCTTCAGAAGCTGAGGCACTCGTTTGCGCAGCATTGCCCCATTGTTGTTGTTGATAGTATTCCTGAGGTTTCTTCTCGTGGTGACCGTCGATGCTGTCAACATCGCTGCTGTAGTCGTTTTTGTTGTCGTCTCCTGGAGTTTGCGAGGTCTGGTCTCCAGCCGCATCTTCATCTTGCGCTGCGGGCCTACCTTGCTGTGTTATCGCACTAAGCTGTGGCAATGACATCTGTGGTATACTCAATCCAGGGATAGGTAGTAACTGGGGCCTGACGCTCGAGGCTGATCGCGCGGTGTATCCCGCCGCAGGCTGTGTCGGGTCGTAAGATGGGGTAGTAGTCGATGAATTACTAGACGTCATGCCCACTGGAGCCCACATGGGATTGTACGCTGGCAAGGTAATCGGGGGGTTTCTAGTCGCTGTACCCGCTGTAGGCTGTGTAGGATGACAGGCGGGTGACAGCATCGGCGAATTCCCTGAATTTGAGGATCCAGCATCAGGCAGCTTCATGGATTGGTATCCCGCCTTCCGTGTAGGCGATATTGCATTACCACTTTGACCGTGTGGTGTAATAGGCTTGCCGAAACTTGGTATACCTGCATAAGGAGACGTGCCGTTCATCTTATGCAAAGTTGCTGGGTTATACGAGCGTTGGTAGCCTCCCAGTGAGAAACCACCTGGTATCGCCGGGTTGTAGGGCAGTGGCGAACCAGGTAGCTTGGCGTACGTTTGCGAAGGCGGTGGCGGCCTGTAATGCGAAGATGGGGAAGTAGGATTCGAACTTGGCATTGACGGTGTCGGGAGTGTGCTTTGTGTAGGCGGGCGGGTCGGAAGACCAGGGTTAGCGACCGGAGATGGTTGTACCGGCGACGGAATCGTCGACGTGGCTTTGGCCTCCCTTAGTTTCTGCCATATCGGAAGTTCCATGACCTTTTCCACATCATTCTTTTCGAAACGGGCTTCTTCCTCAGTATCGAATGAGACAGGACCTTGAAAGCGGCCCTTCTTCTGAGTACCAGCTCGTGGACCCGAGCTCTCTTTCTGGGAAGTTGCTGGGCCATCTGGAGTTTTCTGCGGTGCTTCTGAATCCGAGTCATCAGAAACGTCTCGGGCTGCTCTTTTGATTGCTTTGTTCAGTTCGTTCAACTGATCCTTTGCCACTTCGTTTGCAAGCGTGTCCAATCTATCCTCATTGATTTCGTCCGACAACGCGCTACCGTCGTCAGAACCAGCCGGAGAAGGATCACCTCGAGGTTCGGCACCTTCAGCATCTGGATCAAACCATGACATCAGCTCTTGTGCGTCCTTGTAATTATCGTGACTCTCTCCTCGCATTTCGTATGTGTCCACCGGAACCTCCCGGAAGACCTGGCCTTGCCGCCCGGTCAGTTCGTCTAGCGACTTCATGCCGGCTGATCGATATTCCGCATGTTCGGGATTCTCCACAATCTTATGGTCCTCCCATAGTTGTACTAAGCGTGTTCTCGGTCTGACATTTGTGAATTCATCTGGATGTTTGTATTCATGCTCAGCGTTGTCTGCAGCTTTGTTGAAGTCACTATCCCATATTCGTTGTGCCCCTGACTTAGGCGGGAATTGTGCTTTTGCGTTGTTCCCGGTCTGGTTGGATTTGAGACCGAAATTTGCAAGCCCTGCTGGAAGTTCTTCGTGCCCTTCAATAACTCCGTAGTTTTCAAGTTTGAAGTGGTCTCCGTGGGTTGGTGGCGGTGGAGCTAGATCATGTCGTGCCGGCTCCTGATCCTCTCCAAATGCATTTGCAGTAGCGGCACGAATGAACCCTTGATATGACACATCGTCGTCCTGTTCGGCTTGCGTAGCATCCCCGAATTCGGCACCCCAGTTCGCGTCCGAGAATGGGTCAAACGCATCCCGCGCATCGTTAGGAGGCCCAGGAACGATGATCGATGGCTGCAGGTTTCGTAAAGAATACTCATCGCCGGCGTTTCCGAGAAGATCATCCAAACTTTCTCCATTTGCCGGGTACTGTGGAGGCTCAAACATTGGATCTGAAGTCTTAATAGGCCCATTCTGCGCCTCATACGCATCAATATCAGCGAAAATATTCTGCGTTGCAATTTCACCGTATTCTGTGTCCTCGAAAAATAGATCCAGACTTGTTGGGATTCCACCGTGTTGTTCTAATCCCTCGGCAGGCACCAATTGTCTCCATATGTCATCAGTGGTGGTGGATGGAGTTTGCTGATCATCGAAACCAGCGTTGGCGATGTAGTCCAAATCGACATTGAATAGATCGGACATGTCAACGTCTCCATCGTCGTCGGTCGTGACAGTAGCGTCGAGAGTCGAGGGCGTAGTTATAGGAATGTCAGCGAGATTGGAAGCTCCAGGCTGTGCAGAAGGATTGCCGTCATTGTCGCGGTCGCTCTCGTTAACGTTGTTAGCATTGTCCGTCTGATCGTCGGTGTGAGCTCGGTTGTTCGTCGTCTGACCGTCGTCGTTGTTGTGACTATGGGGATCACTCTCACCGTGATGCTCCTCATCGCTCGATGACGACTCGTCGACGCCCTCCATAGGGCCCGAGCCAGCTGAACCCGATGGCGATGGAGGGTTCACTCCTCCACCTCCGCCCCCATTCCCACCGCCACCATTCCCACCAAAAGGACCGCCGGGGCCATGCGGCGGGTCTGAACCATCACCACTAGCTCTCCGAGCCGCAGCTTCACGCTCTCGTCTCATTATGGTCAACATACTAGGACCTCCTAGCAGCCTGTTACGCCATTGTTCTGCGGAGTCTGGATGTGTTGGGTCTGTGGGCCGAGCGGCAGGCCGATTGTAGATGGCAGGAAGAGCAAATTGTGAACTAAGTTCGTCCTCTGTGAACATAGGTGGCTCATTCCTGTAGGAAGGAAGCGAGCTGAACGGGGCCCAAGGACGTGGTTTTGTCGTGCTGGGAGCTGGATGCGAGAGTAAGCCAGTGACAGTTGGATTGGCCTTAGCCGTGGGCGTAGCTTCTTGAACGTCATCGTCTATGCCTCCCATTGACACATCTGTTTGCGAAGAAGGTTCCTTTTTCGGTTTCGGAGTATCGTGCGTCTGGGCGCCAGGTATCGGTGTATTGTCTGCATCATCATGGTCTTTAGCATCGCCGTTATCACGGTTGTTATCGTCGCCGTCCCCAGGCGCTGGTGCTCCATCAGAAGCAACATTCATGGAAGTCATGGCCTTCTTCTGCTCAGTCTCTCTTTGCAATTCGTCGCGATATCTCTGAAGTGCTGCAGCAATCTCAGCATTTACAGGACTCGCTGGCTGTAGCAGAGCTAACGTGCCCATTGTGGGACTAGCCCCACCGTAATCGAACTCTTCTTCGCTTTCATCTTGCTCTTCCTCTTCGTCGCTTTCATGCACACCATCATGCTCATGGTCTTGCCCATCGTCATCTCGTTGGTCCTGCACCAGACCAGCGGCTGGAGCTTGGTGATCTGGAGCATTGGTCGCATTTTGACCCCCTAAATTAACCAACTTATTAGCGAGTTCGCGTTTGTCTTGCGAGCTCTTATAGCCTAGCGATGGTTCAACGTCCTGGAAACGTGAGCGCGAAATCGAGGGGTTTGAGGAAACCAATGGAGTGTGTTCAGTTTCCCGGTAGGCGTCTGACGTGAGAGCCGTGTACTTGGCGGGTATAGCGAGTTCCGTCACTTCAATGGGAATATATGTCATGGGTGTGTATTCTCCTTGCGTCTCAGGTTCCGGTAAGTCAATTACGATGGTAGGAAGATCAAACGTGATGTCAAGCGTTGCCGAAGGCTCAGTAGTGTTTGCGGCAGACTTCGGTATATCTGTAGGTGTCGTGACGGGAGTAGGTACAGTCAGAGAACCGGAGGAAATAGCTGGTATCGCAGGAGTAGCAATAGATGAGGGAGTAGTCGTGGCTGGCGGAGTAGGCGTAGCAGGAGCTACCGGTGGGAGAGATGCTGTGGTCGCGGGAGTGGTCGTTGTCAGAGCAGGCGCGAATAGAGGAGTACGTTTGAACGTGGCAGCTGGCGTGAGGGTACGCACGGATGCCGATGTATCAGCAGCAACCACCGGTATCGCTGGTACCTGAGCCGCAGAGCCTGAAATAGCTTCAGTTGCAGTCTCTGACGGGATAACTGGCATGGCTTCCTCAGGTTTCTCAGCTTCAACAGTAGCCCGGTGCTGTTGCTCAGTCCCTATAGGCTGAAATGTCATCGAAGAAACAGCAGCTGGACTTGCGCTATCTTCGTTCGACGATTGGATTTTTTTCGTCTCGGCGTTCGTGTCTTTCAGCTTTTTCTCATGTTCTACACCGCTCGCCAGGCCGCATTGCTCTAGGAAATCCTTGTGCTCCTGCTCGGCAGCAGCCCTGGCTACCTCGAGGGTCTTTCCTCTTGCAGTGCGTGCCACTTGACTGTCGAATAGCCAACTCATCCAGCGCTGCGGCCAAGAAAGAGGTGCATCTGTTTGTGTCCATGCATCTGCGGTGGGCGTCTGTGGCTCAATCTGAGCCTGAGCCGGAGGCTCAGTCGATTGCTCCAGTGTAGGCGTTCTCACAGGAGCTTGCACAGGCGAAGCCTGTTGTTGAGTGCGCAACGCGTCTACCTCATCTGGAAGCCCTGATAAGTCCTCATCCAAGAGATCAACTGCTTGAATGTCGCTGGGTGGCTGAGGCGCCTGTGCCGGCTGTGCGTCTGGAGGCTGATTGATAGTACTAGGTCCTCCACTCAAGGGGTTTCTTTGTTCTGACTCTCCAATGCCACTGGTAGGGGCCGGAATTTGTGCTGAGGGAGGGCTTGGCGGCGCAGAACCAGGAGCCACAACTTCATCCGGCAGCTTAAGGAGCGGTTCATCGGGCGTGTTTTGAGCCATAATCGGGCCCGGCTGCCAATGGGACAGAAGTAAGAGTATGACAAGAATAGTCACAAAGATAACGCCGTAGTCCTGGGGACAAGCCAGAACTCCGTTCGTGCCTAGGACGTACATCATCATGAAAGTAGTTGCGAATGCAAAAGACGACAGGACCCTATGTGCGGGATATGCTTGAGCGGCCACAATCCAGCCTACCGTACATACGCTAGTGAGTGCGATAATGGTTGTCGCGCGCCATACCCAGTGGTAAGCTAGGCCTTGGCACCAATTGTTGAGGCAGCGCACACCCACAGAAGATACGACCGGCTCGATTTGTGCCTTGTACAACAAGCTCAGGTTCATCGAGATCTTTTCGAATGTTAAAGAAGCCGCTTCCTGGATGGTTGTAATGAAACTGGAGGAAGCATTCCTAACGGACTTGGTAGCCCATGCGGACGAGAGGGTAGTGTGTGTACGAGAGCTCGTAGCCCTTTCCGTCGAGGTCGCAGTGTACATACAAGAGCTCGTTGCCCGTTCCCGCGAAATTGTAGTAAGTTTATGAGAAAGTGTGACCCAATCTCGTAAGGCTGTGGTGGTTGTAGTAGTCCGAGTCCTCGATTCCTTGACTGTATGAACTGTTGCATCCGATGTCCTTTCAATCCAAGGCTGTATAGTATGCCAGGTCGCTGTAAAAAGAGAAATGAACAGCGGTATAAACGCGAAGGCCAAGGCCCAGAGCACGATCAACATAACGATGCCCGTGAAGACTGGGCCAGCCTGTGCTAGTAGCAACCCAAACATTGTTCGGACGCCGAGTATGATTGTCGCGAGCACCCAGCGAAGAAACCCGCCGACAGTCTTTGGGTGCCACGGGAAGACAGCGCGACCTCTGACGATGAGCATGAACTTGTACTGAGCCCAAGCTTTTACAACACGGAGTTTCGCTATGCAGATTCGAGAGACATCGATGATGCCGCGCACGAGGAGGTCGACATAGGAGAGACCAACAAGCTTGAGTACAACAACAAAATGACTGAAGGGTGGGGTAACGCCTCCGAAAATTCTACCAGCGCACAAAGATAACCGTTCTTCATGAGTTAAGAAGTATACTACTACTGCAACCACAGCGTAGTATCGTATCCAGTTCCGCGCGGCGATAACCGATCGGTAGAAGCCGCCAACCACGAGGTTCAGTATGGTGAAGATAATTTTGCGCGCCTCTTTGCCATAGATGGATAGAACGTACACCGCTAGTGCACTAACGAAGATGACAGCCAAGTCCTGAACGTAGACACTGAGCCAGATGACAGTCATCACAACAGTGAAGCCTCTGCAAGAACGAATGAATGTCTCTTTCCGGTGCGGTATGACAGCAGGCGCGCGAAGTGGTAGATCCTGGGTCTCACACATGTCTTCATCCCCACTTAAGTCGCTTTCATCTTGTTCGTGGTGAACAACTTCGCGAGTCCTTCGCCCGGCGAAAAGGAGGAAATAAATCGCGATTCCGATGAGCGTTGCGTACAACGCTCGGTCTATGATGAGGTGGTCGGTTTGCTGCTTTCCCAATAAGTCGGCTACCGCTTTCTGCCACACATTGTAGGATACGGATCCGATGCTGCGTGCGTATGCTACAGGTTCGGAGTATGGCAACGTTGGCAAGCGAAATTCCGCGTAAGTGAGATATCCAACGACAAACGCGTACGCATTGCGCACTATGAACCCCGCCATTTCCTGTAAGTCTGGGTCATCCTTATACAAGTGGTCGCATACAGTGAAAAGAACGGATGGCACATATCCCACCATAACATCCACCATGGTGATAGGACTAGTGTAGTAGGATGGCTTGGTCGGCTTTTGGTCAGCCTGCTGTATGACGTATTCCTCATGAATCGCTCGTCGAAAGTCCTTCCAGAGCGAGCGTTGGGACTTGGCGGATGGTGGCGAATCTCGTACTGGTTTGCTAGGGGCCTGTTGTGTGTAATCTGTAAAGGCTGGCTCATGTTCTCTTAGAGTAGAGGCACGGTTCTGAGTGCTGAACAGAGGTACACCGGATGGTATCTTAAAAACCGGCGGATCTTGAAGTGATGTACCAGCCGCCTTTTGTCTGTAATGCGTAAAGGCTGACTTATGTTCTTTCAGGCCAGAGTCACCACTCCCAGTGCCAGATGGAGGAGCACTGGAAACTGTCTTTGATCTCAGCGGGATGGTGATGATTTCAAACGAATAGTCGTTGATCTCGCTGGACGACCCTAAGGTAACCGGCAATTGTTCCACCACAACTGGAGACGTGATCCGAGAAGGCTCCCTGCCACTACTCAGAGACCCTGTCGATGTTACGGCTCTGGATGCATCACTGGTGGTCGATTCTTTCGATGGTGCGAAAGATCGCGAGACGTGTAGAAACCTGGTCATCCAGGCTTTGAATCCCGTTTTTGTAATAAGAGAGGTTTCTATATCCAATGCTGACTGTACCTCGTGAACAACATTGCTAGCTGGATGATCTGTCGGCGTGGACCGGCTGTTTTGTGCAACAGAATTTTGGTCGCGGTTCCTTCTCGCGGACCATTGCGATGAGTCTTTGGTTGGTTCGTCAGACACAGTATACGGAGGAAGCAGCTCATCGAAAGGAAGTGAAGTGACCGGCTCAGAAGAGGTACTCGTAGTCTTTGCTAGTGGACGCTCTGTGCTCTTGCTAGATATCTCCGGCAACATATCTCTCGGAGTACTACATTCTGAGGAGACTTGCGATGAGCTGCTTGCTGTCGAACGAGCAGAGCATTCCGTGGCAGATTCGGAGGTATCCTGGGTTGATTCAGAAGACGAGGAAATGTCCAGCACTTTAACCTTGACTTGCTGTTCAACAGTAAGAAGTGTGTTGCAAGCTGGTGAGACAGAACTGGTGATGGTAATCAGGACAGGCCGGCGAGCTTTTGTAAACATCGATTTCACGATGTCGGCTGCGTCTTCGGTGGTGTGGGCGGGTTTGGCGACAGATCTCGTAGATTGCCTGGGTTTCTGATACCAGACTTTGGCTTGTTCAAATGATGGCATGTAATTCGGTACAGCAGCAGCAATAGCACCTGCAGCGTAGATACCAGCTGCTACTTCGGGATACTGGCCCCACAGGTGCGCAAAGGCTTGCACTACAGCGCCAGGAAGGGCGTCCATGGCAGGCGATTTTGCTGGTACGTCTAGCAGATGTGTGTATCGTTATCGTCTTTTCGAGAGTGTAAACACTTATGGTGTAACGTCATGAGGGCGTCCCTTGTTGAGATGGGCGATGTACGAAGTGTCCCAAACCTGAGAAGACGGCAGACATGTAGCAAATGGGACAAAGCGTCCTCCTCAGGTTGTGCAAGACAAACAGAAATCGGGTGAAAGGCCAACGCCCTAGCATGAATGTGGTGTTCGCATTGCCGTTGTCCGTCGAAACAACAAGTTTCTCCGTTGTTGTGGAAGACGAAACAAGGAGACAAAGAGCGTTCACTTTGGAGTTCATTGCAGCATGAATGCATGAATGCAACTTAGGCGCAGAGATGGCTCGGCACGACACACATCGGTTTAGTTCACCAGTGTCAGGATATCAAGCCATTATGAGGCCTCGGTCACTGGGAGAACTCATCATGCTCTGCCCTCCGTGTGGTCGGATGGATGAGTCTGGGGTCAACGCATGAATTCAGCGTCGAGAAGGGATACGTCCACTATTACGGAAATCTTGTCTCATGACTTAGGCTTGTGTGCGACGACGATCAGCTCCCAGGCCCTTCCACCAACCTGCTCGGCGCTCTGCTCTTCGACAGTCCAACCGGCAAAGCATGCCTTGTAGTCATACCAATCCGCCGTGGGACCTGCCCATATCACTGTGTCCACGCTGTCTTGGCCATACTGTACGAGGTATTCGCGCAATAGCCCAACGCGTCGCGGGTATACGAAAAGCCAAGTCGTAGCCTCCGCCGCGAGCGGCTCAAGAAAACGCGTGCCGTGAACGATGCGATGGTTTGAGGAAGGCAAGAACTTGTTCGAGCTTGGTTCTACTTCAACACCTATAACGTGGTACGCATAGGGTTTGGTGATGAGATAGCTTTCGAGGAGGCCGAAGCCGCTTCCAATGGATAGAGTACGCGCGGGAGGCTGAGGAAGGACCGAGGCGAGGTAAGCGATGAGGGTTTTACTGAGTGCTAAACAGCATCCCGAATAGGCTGTCGGTGTAGTCGTAAGTACTGGCAGTTCCGCGACTTCTTCTACTGGGTTTGATGCCTCATTGTCTGACGCGTCCACATCCGGCTGGATTGGTGGCAAACGCGCCTCGAGGCCCATGATCAGCACGAGCACAATAGGTCGCTAAGGTAAATACCAGTGTACACTGAGAGCCTATAGACGCGATGTGGTATAACACGGCTCGGTCGTGATTGTGAGTGATGACAGACAGCTTGGTGGTTCTTGACGCGACTAGACACGCATGCGGCTAAGCTTTGGAGCTATGGCCCATGACATATGCATATCACATGCAATGCACGAGGACGCGCCCCGCCCGCCATCACCAAGCATAGCTACAACCACCGACTCTACTGCATCTTGCGTCATCTCTTTCCACCGAAAGCTTTTGAGAGCTACGTGGCGCCACGAGAGCTGTCATGGCCCGCCTCAACCCATTCTCCTTCACCCCTGGGCCAGTAATCTTCTTTACTACCATCGTTTACGTGGGCCTCTTTGCTGCCCTGCTCGTTACCCACCTGACGGTACCGAATTATCCATCCAATCCGCCGACGGGCGTCAACCTCACAGAGGCTTGGGGCGACCTCCAGCACATTACCCGCCGGTTCCACCCGTACAACAGCCATGCGAACGACGATGTACGCAAATACCTACTTACGCGCATCAAGGCCATCGTTACTTCAAAAGACCTGGAAAAGGGCCAAGTCGAGCTCTTCGATGACCTGACCGCAAACGCCACATTTTCATCTGGCAGCACGTCTATCTACTTTGAAGGCACTAATATCATTGTTGCAATCCGCGGGTCTGGTGATGACGAACCCTTCAATGCGACTGAGCGTAGTCCGGACAACGGCGGCGTGCTTGTGAACGCCCATTACGACTCAGTGAGCAGTGGGTACGGTGCAACTGATGATGGCGTGGGTGTTGTGACAATACTGCAACTTCTATCCTACTTCACAGAATCCAAAAACTGGCCCAAAAGAACCGTAGTACTGCTGCTGAACAACGGCGAAGAGGACTATCTCAACGGCGCCAAAGCTTTCATGCGGAACCCGGTTTCTCAGGTTCCCCATACGTTCGTGAACCTCGAGGGAGCTGGAGCTGGCGGCAGAGCTACCTTGTTCAGGAGCACCGATACCGAGGTCACCCGCTACTATAAAAAGTCTAAATATCCTTTCGGAACAGTCGTAAGCGGAGATGGCTTCAAAAAGGGTTTCATTCGAAGCGAGACCGATTACAAAGTCTTCCACGGCGAACTCGGGCTACGCGGCCTGGACATTGCGTTTATGGAGCCCAGGGCCAGATATCACACCGTGGAAGACTCCACGCGTGAAACTTCGATGAATTCGCTCTGGCACATGCTTTCAGCAGCTCTGGCCTCAACATCTGGATTGGCTTCCATCACCAGTGACGAATTCAGTGGCTCGGAAAGCCTCGACAATGGTAGAGTCAATGCCGGAACTGGCAGTGACGGCGTATGGTTTGACCTCTTCGGCAGGGTGTTCGTCGTTTTCAAGCTACATACTCTTTTCGCTTTATGCGTCACTTTGCTGGTTGTGGCACCTCTTACGTTGATCGGCCTGACCTTTGGGCTCTCCAAGGCTGACAAGAACTACCTGTTGGCGCGCAAAGCCTACATCTATTCGTCTGACGATGACAATCCAGTACATCTGTACGGCTGGCGCGGCTTCTTCCGCTTCCCCATCATCTTCGTCACTGCAAGTGCTGTTGTGGTCGCATTGGCTTATCTCATAGTCCGGTTCAATCCCTTCATTGTTTACAGCAGTCCTTTCGCCATTTGGAGGTAGGTCACTCATACTGCTACTCTGTTCGCTGCTAACGATATCAACAGCATGATGCTCTCAGCCTGGATATCCATCGCCTGGTTCCTTGCACGAGGAGCTGATGCTATGCGACCATCCGCACTTCAGCGCATGTACGCTTTGATCTGGCTTTTCGTCGGCTCTTTCGTGCTTCTCACACTTATCACGGTCTTCGTGAACGACTATCAGGTTGCAGCTGGTTATTCTGCGATGTTCTACTTCGCAGCTGTGTTCGCAGCAATCCTCCTCTCCTACCTCGAACTCTTCCTCGTTCCAACCAAATCTGCATATGCCCGCCATTTCGAGCAGGAGGACGAATCCCGGCGCAACTCAGAGTCCGCAAGCAGGCCCCTTACAGGTAGCACCACCGCCGCACGGTCCGATGATCGCCCCGTGGGAGACGATGACGCAACCGAGACCACTTCACTTTTACGCGGCGATCGACGTGGATTCGCAAGATACGGCGGCAACAGGCGAGACTCCATCAGCGAGAGCGGCGAGGATCATGCTCAAGGGCCCCGGCGAATAGATCTCGGCAACGTGTATCCTGGAGAACAAGAGTGGAGCGGCAAATTACCGAGCTGGATCTGGGTCGTTCAACTGCTACTCTTGGCGCCAATCGTGATCATCCTTGTCGGACAGGTCGCTCTACTCCTCACGTCGGCCCTATACCAGACGCCATCCGATGGTAACTCGCCTCTGTTTATTTACCTTGCATTCGCAGCGCTTACTGTGTTGTTGCTCGCACCCACCGGACCGTTTATTCACCGCTTCACATATCACATCCCCACCTTTTTATTCCTGATATGCGTCGCAACCGTCATCTACAACCTTGTTGCGTTCCCATTCAGCAGGGATCATCGCTTAAAGGTGTACTTTGTCCAGCGGGTTAATTGCGAGACTGGTCATAACGTCGTGTCCCTGACCGGCTTGGACGGCTATGTGCAACGCATTGTTGGCGAGTTACCCAGTGCGCAAGGCCAGCAGCTTAATTGCACGACGCCCGAAGTTGCGACGCGTAAGGAACTAAAGCAGTGCCAGTGGCAGGGTCTTGACGCTAAAGTCGTCCCAAAGACAGCGCAAGCAGCGCCACTTGACAACAACACACACATTGCCAGCTGGCTCGATTACTCGATCCATAAAGGCAATCACTCGAACAAGGCGACGATACGCGTTGTTGGGCATAACACCCGAGCATGTCGCGTGCTTTTCGACTCGCCCATCACAGCGTTGAGCGTCGACGGCGCCGTTTCAGATCCTCGCTTCAAACCCGTCGGTGGGGACGGCGCCCGAGAAGTGCGACTATGGCATCGCGAATTTGGGCAGCCCTGGAACGTTAGCGTGACTTGGAACGCCAAAGAACAATCGAAACTTTCTGGAAGGGTCGTGTGTCTGTGGTCGGACGCCAACACAGGCGACATCCCTGCGTTCGACGAGGTGCAGCACTATCTACCTGTGTGGGCAATTCCCTCCAAGATTAGCGATGGCTTGGTCGAGGGCTTCAAGCAGTTCGAAATCTAGTGCAGTGGGCTTTAGTTGCGGGGATCCCTGCATGTCTCCGTTACTTTTGCTGCGATATCCATCACTCAAGCAGTCGAGCACAGCGTCACAGCTCACATGCAACCCCTCACTTCAATTGCTCATTTATGCGAGCTTCCCCCTTTATCTCAGCAATGCCCCAACTTGTCCACGATCTATTTGTTACTGTTCTTTTTGGAGTTTGGCGGTATCATGTTCATGGCCATTGCATCTTGTACACCCAACGTATAGCATCTTGACGTCAACTTAATGAACTCTATTATCACGACGCCCAAGGCCACCACCCCTCGCTTCACTCTTCGACTCGCCTAATCCCAGCTCTCGATTCTACGTCTCACCACCGAACCGTTTGACAGCTTGGCTCGTACCAGAATGCTGAGAGCGTTTGACGGAGCCCACGACACTTCACAACGTTATCCGCTACCTACCGACGCAGGATTCACCCCTGCTTTAACCCGAAGGTTTCTTTTAGCTGCGGGAGAGACTATATCATCATCTATAGATCCATCGACTTTGTCATCTACGTTGACGACTACTCTTGGTTCGATAGCTGCTCCAGCTGTGTGTACGACCAGTCATCCATCTGAGCTCGCAGGGCCAGGATCCAGATCAGGTATGTTGCCAAGTGGCTCGGCTTCGTATGGACGCCTTGCACACCTCGTCGGTTTACTAATTCCGGTCCAGGCGACATTCCAGTCGCAAGTGGCGTCTATCGTCTTCTCGGCAGGACGCGCGACACTGAAGTCTTCGGAGTCACGTCGGGATTGCACAACGTGATCGACACGCGACGCAGGGTATTGGACTTTGCTTTTGACTCGCCCCTTTCCACGGTCATCGTCACAGCCTTACCGGGCACTTTTCTCCTAGTTGCGCGCCAACGGCCCGACACTTGGGCGAGCAGACATCAGACGTCAATTGCAAACGCATTGCACCTCGTCGCACTCGCCAGCTGCGCGAACCACAAACTCGAAGCAGGCGACTTATTGATACTTGTTTTCGTCATGGTCGCGTTTGACGTGTTTCAGCGAGTATTAGCGGCGGGCGCTACCGATTCTGATGGCGAATCAGATCTTCGACCCCGCTCGCCCTCGTCATCCGAAACCCCCCGGGCCCAAACGCCCTCTGATCCGACCAATGCGGCTACCGTGCCCATTGCTAAGACATCCGCCGTCGAGGATGAAGATTTCGAGCCCATTGAACCAATCTCGACCTCACAATCAGGGGCATCCGACACAAAAACGATTACCGTTGACCCTAAAGATAGCGAGATTGTGCGACTGCAACGCTCGCTCACTGAATCTAAAACAGCACACAAGGCCCGTGAAGTCCAACTCCGAATCACAAAGGAGGAACTTCAAAATGCACGCGATGCGCTCAATGATACCTTTGCGGAATATTCTGGCCTCCGTGATCAGCTGAAGGCCATCAAACAAAACCTGGGCCGGGACCATCAGGCGATTGTATATCGGAAAGACATTGAGCTTTTCGCACTTCGGAAGGGGAACGAGCAGAAAGACAAGAGTATCCAGGACCGCGACGGCCAGATTGAGGAGATGTCTCGGCAACACAAGACGATAATGGAGGTCAAAGACGCACAGCTGAAGCTTATGAGAGAGCGGTTGATTTCCATGGAACGACAGTCGAGCCCGCGGTTTTCGGAAGAAGGGGACGATGGTGACCATGCTCTTGAGGTCAGAATGCTACGGATCAAGAAGGGCAGAAAGTCTCTGGAGGCCGAGGAAGAGAAGGACGCGATCATCGCAAAGCTGCAGGAACAACTTGCCGCCGGTGCCCAGGCAAAGGAAGAAGTTGTCAATCAGCAAGCCGAGCTGCAAAGATCATGGGATGTTGCCAAGAAGATACAAAAGGCCCTCAAGGAAGAGCGGGAACGACACACTCAAACGCGAGAGCAGTTGGAGGAGGCTACCGTTAAGCTGGCGGAACTCGAGCCACAGCCGAGAAGTCGAGCAAACTCCGTAATCGGACGATTACCGACGATCGACGAGGATGAGCATGACAAAGAAGAGCTTGAAGCCATGTTCAACACCACCCAGCAAGACAACCTTCGCCTATACGCCGAGGTGGCCGCTCTGGAAAAGCGATTGGTCGAGGCTAATGCCCGCTTGTTTACCGCGCTTCAAGAGGCTGAGGCCATCAGGGTGCAGCTCAACCAAGAGAAGGAAGTCAACGAGGATATGGAGACCGCGCGCCCGAGCGTAGTTCACCGTGTACATTTCCAGCGCATGGAGGGTCAAATGTGCGAGTTGCGGGAGGCACTTGCAAGCAAGGACGAAGAGATGGAGTTACTGAGGAACACTATTGCAGAGAAGGATCACTACGTCAAGGATATCCAAGGTGAACTCGACGCCGCTGCCAGCTTCCACACGCAAGACCAAGACGAGATCGAACGCCTCAAGCAGTCCATCGACGAGCTCCAAGCAACGAAGTACCAGCTCATGCTCGATCACGAGCGCCTCGGGTCCCAGCGCACCCGGCAGCGTGTCATCTCCATGGATCGACCTGACCGTTTCTCTGCTCGCTCAAGTGGTGCGACACTCATTCACGAACCGAGTCCACCGCTGACGAAGACATCAGACGAGGCGCCACCCGTGGAAGTGATACCGATGCCGACGATGCCAGTAGTCCCGGAACGCGAAGGTAGCATCCAGGAGACACCGCAACGCCATCTCCGCAGCAAGAGCTCGCCTAAGGAGACACCCAATCGATGGAGCCTTATGTCGCACGACGTCCCACCCGCTGAGCTGAGAGAGCTCAAGACCAACCGCAGGAGGAGTCTGGGCCTGAAGGTCATGATGCAAAAAATTGTCCGCAAGACCCAAGAGCCAGAGCAACCATCTACCGATTCCGCGACACCAGCTCCGGAAGCACTTCCCAAGCGGGAAGAATCTAAGCTTAGACGCGTACTCGCACCCAAGGACAAGAACATGGTCATTCGTCCTTCCACGGCCGCATCGGTCATTCCATCCAAACCCGTCGGCTCCCAAGCTGCCGATACACCATTGACATCGCCTCTTCCCCCCAACGTGCGTCCGCCGAACCCACGACGCAGCACACCGACTACACCGCGCTACTACGCTGTTACCGCAAATGCGACGGGTCCGGAAGCTGGCGCTGCGCAGAAAGAGGAAGCGAAGGAGAAAGAGCCAGAGAAAGAGAGACCGAGGTCTGCGATGGGTCCCGAGGCGGCGAAATCGAAGAGTCGGTTGGGCTGGGGTGCTACGTAAGTTCATCTACTTGGTACGAGAGGATTTGATGGTGGATATGTGCTAATGTGACGCAGGAATAAGCTGAAGCGACGATCATTGTACTAATAATGATGGAAAATGGGTATGCGAAATGTGGTGTATGCATACGTTTGTCATGGCGTTCAAAAGGAGGGTTTTTGCGAATATCCAGATATACGAGTTTAATGCTATCCGATGAAATACGCTCGGTAGATGGGGTGGTGGGTTGGTTGAGGTTTTTTGGCATTTGCAATGGGCAATGGGCGTTTTGTTAGATTTGGGTATGCATTCGTTTGCGGACTTGGGGTTTGTTGGTTTAGCGGTATTAAGTAATACATATGTTTACATTTCATGATGATGGTCTCGGGGGCGCCGGCGTGATGAGGCAGGGTGGCTTCCCTATTTGGAGAGTCGCCTTTGGACCCCACTATGCACGTGAGCAGAGAAGTGCGACGCGTTCCTTGTTGGTGTAGCTGACCGCTCTGAATTGATACAACACCAACAAAAGTTATCAGCTCATACGCCCTCGAATACATAACCTTCAATTCCCAACTGCTTCCTTCTTACGCCCTGAACCATCTGATTTCCAACGCTTATACGCTGGCTTCACATCATCACACTGTCGCTCTTGGCACCTCACTCTCTATTCGGCTTATAATGAACACAATACCTTGAGTCTATCCCCTTTTCGGTCGTCCATGGCACCCGAAACCACTACACACGCGCGGCTCACTATTCAACACACCAACAGGCTCACGAGCCTGAGAAGAGCTTTGGGTTTCAAGATCGCGACTTGCTTTGATTGTAACGATTTGCCAATCGGTGTTGTCAGTTACAACGATATAAAGTGCGCCTTTGACTCAGACTAGGGTCGGATCACTTCAAAGCTATCGCAATAATACCATATACCAAAGGCATTGTCAATTGACAACATGCAGCGCGACGACAATCTGCCTCTGAACGAGATATACAGCTCACCAGAGGCTCTTCACGAAGAGATTGAGAAGATTCTCGACTTAGCACTCTACAAGGTCCCAGAGAACACGCCACTCAGACTTCGTTTCATTACGCCTGTGTCCTTCGATAAATGGCTTGCAGACGACAGCTACAACGAGTACCGGCTCACAATGCCCGAGGAACATACCAATGGCATGGCGTATATTACGGTATCCTACTGCTGGAAGCATACACAGTCTATGAATGGTCTGTCACCGCTACCGCATTATCATATATTAGACGGGTCGAAGGCAGGCGAATCTACGCCTATCGGCTGTCCGAACTTGGTTTTCCATCGTGCAATGCTCTTTGCTAGATCTCGCAAATGTGCGTTCGTTTGGATTGATCAAGAATGCATCGATGAGAAAGATCATACAGATATTCAGGCACATCTGAAGATCATGCATCGTGTATACAAAGAGAGCGAGTGGACGGTGGCGCCACTGTCTCGTCCGATAACGGATCATCGTTCTTTAGAACAGCTGATTACATACCTTTATCACGACTATGAACTCGAGGATGTTACGAAAGAAGAGACTTCTGAAGACTCTCTAGTAAGTGACGGCTATGTCAGTACGTTCGAAGAGCGAGTCCAGGAGGCCACCGAACTGCTTATGTCCATTACACAAGATGCTTGGTTCCGCCGAACATGGACATTCCAGGAAAAACGATGCGCCTGGGCGTTATTTCTACTCATTCCTATCGAGGTGTCTTTCAAGATATCAGACAAAGTGTGCCTCCATATGATAGGTACAGATCTCTGTTTCGACACCGCGTACTTCAACGGCTTGTCTCGCAAACACGAGAGGGACATGGCCCAGCTTGCCCGTGTCAATAGCGAGGTGAAATGGACCATGCTGGAGAGCACTCGATTCTACGACTATTTTGCTACTTCCTGGGACTACGCCTCATCCGGTAACTGGGGCTGTTATTCAATATTCAGGTTTATCCAGGATTGCGATAACCAAGTGGTGGCGGATCGCGTAGCAATCTTCGGACACGTATGTCGATTTCGGAATCGACTCGCCTCAGACATGCTGGATGGCGCTGGAAATGGCCTCAGCGCATGTGTTATCGCTTTGCTGTTGGGAAACATCGACGTCACACGCGATGGACGCCTGGAACTAGTGGGAAAGATATGGGGAAAACTCGAAGAGCGCAGCAAGTTCCAAACGGCCGCGCCGAATATCGCAGCCTGGATGATGGTTTTGCTCAGTGAATGATTTCGTTCGGCGCAGGTATCGTACTCGGCAACTTTGACGGCTGTGTATCGCTGGAGGTAGGACTATTTGGCTGTACCTATCAGTCCATAGCACTTTTCACACAGTCGAGAACGCTATGCATTGCAACACGTAGTATGCCAGTTTCAAGCACGAGCGATCTGCTCAAAAGAGGTATTAGAGTGGTCTTTCCTCTAAACAGTATGGTAAGACATGAATTAAGGCCAGTAATATCAACGAGAAAGTCACGTTCCCTTCGTAATTTTACCCAACTAAGTTAGTCTGATACTAGAAGAGGAGTGGTCGGAAGGGTCAAGGAATGGGTCCAGTTTGGTTGTTGCCATCAATGGCCAAGATACGCAGATTTCTTGGATCAGTGGAGGGAGCCATTTCGCTTCATTCGCTTCCCATACACACTCGGTCTCTGTTCTCTTTCCAGAAGTCACAGCGCGCATCCATCTCGTGACCGCGACTCTGAGGAGACATGCCACCCAACAGCCACATGCCCTTCAAACCCGCGCTAGCAACGCCACTGTGCCCCTCGCCCCGCTAGCTCAGCATCTATCCCACTTAGCGCCACTCTATCATTGGACGAGTGTGCCCTTCGCAGCACAACAACATGCGTGATAGGCTGTGCATGAAGGACTATCGCATCTGCAGCCTTTCTGTTCGCGATTGGACGAGTGTGCCCTTCAATAAATGTGGCTTATTGACGTGGCCCCGCCATGGCTCACCGGAGTCTGGGCACTTTGGGGGCCAAGTGAGGCTCTGTGGGAGCGTTGAGGTTGGGGATTGTTGTCACGATGGGGACGGGGATGGGGATGGCAAGGTTAAGGAAAGACTTGTATCTCACTAACTACAACTATCAAGGAGCGACCTAACTAGAAAGCAAAAAGAGCAACAAAAGCTAGCAGCAACGAGTGTACAACAGATCGCGACAAGCGTGTAAAGACCGACATGTGTTACTCAAGGAAACACTAATGAGGACAAAGTTCGGCACATAGAACAACTACAGGTTGAGAGGGTTACGACCTCCGTGGCCCCTCTTGGCATGATCGCGAAGCTTGTCTGCGCGAGAAAACGCCTTGGGGCAATCGACAATAGGGCATCTGTACCTGGGGCGCTCGTGGATCATCATGTGGCGACGATACTCTCCGCCGCGACCGAATGTTGCTGGACATCCATGTGGACAGCGGAAGCGGTCTGCTGCAGCAGGAGTAGGGACCGTGGCCGGTAGGGCTGAGACTGGAGCTGGATATGACGCTGGGTTCAGCTGGGCGGCATCCGCGAGAGATATAGTTGACTGATGAAATTCCTGGATGCCATTGAAGTCCCAGACGAGTGCCACCGGGGCCACGGGGAGGGCAGATTGCATTACAATGCCATGATACGGAAAGTTCGATGAGGCGCCATAGAAGGCAGTATCAGGGTTGAAGCCTCCCGGGTAATAGGCATCGAAAGCGGGCTCGTTCCAGGGATTGATCTGACAGGGGTACTGAGGCCCAGAATCGTCTTCTGCCTGCGCATGTGAAAGGCGTCCATTGGTCTGTGCAGCTTGCTGGGGAAGGAAGGCGTTGTTATGATCGACGATTGGCTGATGGCAGGGCACGGTACATCCCTTCCCAGGGGTCTCGGCATGGAGATAGGAGGCATACCTGCGTGATATTAAAAAAAAAAGTGACTTACCCAAAGTCCTGATCGTCGTCGTTGTGGTCTGCTCCAAATGCTGGAGGGTCATTGGAGTCGCGCTCGGAGTTCGTTCCAGGAATCTGCTGCGACATCGTGGCAATGCGGTGGCTGGTCTTCTGGAAACAAGATCTTTCGTAGTGGATAGTGGGGGTACAGTATGGCTGAGGGAGTAGAAGATAGTTGCTGTAGCGAGGAGGAAGCTGATGGCGGAAATCAGTCTTCAATCAATGAGCGAGATTGGGGAGTGCGGCAATTTGTAAGGCTACTTGGATGCACCTGACTATGATACCGACTAGGAGTTCAGTGGCGCACAGCCTACGTGCCCTTCGATGCCAATGCGTTTCAGTTACTAGCCCCTTCTAAGATGTCGCATGGGAAGCCGGCTTGGCGCTTGGAGCCTCAAATTTAGATGCAGATATACCTAGGTAAGCCGAAGGCCTACTGATGGCGTACGACAGACTCCAAAATGACCATCGAGAAATTCGCGTGCCACTTATGTTCCAAGCAAGTTGACAAACGAGGAAAGCTGAAGTAAGCTCATGGGCGGTGATTATTAAGTCATAACTAATGGATGGAAGTAAGCATCTGAAAACGCACACGAAGCCTTACAACTGTCAGACATGCACAAGAGGCTTTGCTTCTCGTCTGGACCTCCAACGCCACATCAGATCTCAACACCGTGCGGGTAATAAACAGTACCGCTGCCATGTTGAGGGCTGTGTGTTCACCTCAAATCGAAAGGACAATCTCAGGAGGCATCAGATGAGAACGCACGGTTCCAAGGTCCTAGACCACTCAGCTGAAAGCAGTAACCAGAAACAGCCGCCATACCAGCAGTCTGATGTTTCTGGTATTGCAGAGCTGAATGACACGTCAAACTTCATGCGAGTGGCCGCTTCAGGCGATCTAAATAGGCTGGAAGCCTTCCTATCAGCAGGCTTACCAATTGATACTAAGGCGGACGATCATTCCACGGCCCTGCACTGCGCAGCTAGAGCTGGTCAGGTAGACGTAGTCAAATATCTACTCGTCGGTGGAGCGAGTGTCAGTGAGAGAAACCAAAATCGTCGACTACCGATACATGAAGCTGTTTTGAGCAAAACTCCCGAGACATTCAAGTGCTTCCTCGACCGCATGACACCAGAAGAATTCCGTACCTCGCGAAAACACCTCGACAGCTATCTGGTACGATCGGGTAGTGTTGAAATCGTCGATGTCTACCTTACGCGCTTGGGAAACGACTTCACCAACCAAGATAACTCGAAGAAACTCAGCTTCGCCGTACGTATGGGACACGACTTACTCGTTGCCGCTTTGCTTGATGACCCGGAAGTCGATGGAAACCAGCGAATCGTGAATCATAAAAAAGGCTTCCGTCAAATCCATTTAGCGGCTTATTATGGACGAACAAAAGTTATGGAAATCCTTATCGCTTGCAATCGCGTCAACAAAACATTGGAAACCTACGACTCTAGACAAGCGCTACATATAGCAGCCTCACAAGGCTCTGCAGCAATTGTAAAACAGTTGATTCAACATCCAAGTGTTGATGTTAATTGCCAAGACAGGGACGCGGAGACACCTCTACATTATGCATCATCAAAAGGACACACAATGGTCGTACAGCAGTTAACCAGCCACCCAAGTGTTGATGTAAACTGCCAAAATAGGGATGCGGCGACACCTCTGCACTACGCAGCCTCTAATGGGCACCGGGAAACAGCTTCGTTGCTACTCAGACTCTCGGATTCAATCAGAGATGGTCACCGCATCTCGTCCAAAGAACTACCAACAAGTCTTGCGTTCACCAAAGAGGATTTTCTTCACAGACTTCTTAAACATCCAGACTTTGGCGGTCCGAACAAAATCCTACCAGGAAGGTATAAGACTATTCTCAACGTCGCTGTTAGGGAGAATGATTGCGAAGTGATCGAGTTTCTGGTAGCTTGCCAGGATGTCGATGTGAATATGGGGGATAAGTACGGTTGGAGTCCTCTGTTGAACGCTGCTCGCGATGGCAAATTGGAAGCAGTGAGACTACTTCTTCAGCACAAAGACATCGATGTAAACCAATTTATTCCAGGACTGAGTTGGACGGCGTTGGATTATGCAAAAGTTCACAAGCACAACGAGATCGTCGACCTCCTCCTCTCCCACGGGGCCATGGACTACGACATTTGTGGGAACCTCTGGCCAAGCGTACCAACAATCACGCACATCGAAAACTCGCAAAGCACTACATTGCAACCCGACCACGGAGTGTACTTCGATCCGTCCGACGATGGTATGAGTGAAGCACCCACGAAAGCTTGGGAAGAGTCTTTCGACATGGAGGAAGGAATGATGGAGTGAAGACTATTTTCATTAGGCGTTGTATCATCTGGACGGCTGTAATCACGCTCTTTGCTACCGGCAACAACGAGGGGGAAGTTATCTCCACCCCCGTCTCTCGAGGTTTTCTCTTCCCTTCTATAGCATGTATCAGTAGTATTTTGCAGTATTTTAATTACATCTCACTCCTAAGAACCCACTCCGCGTATAAAACTGCGCGACCGCTACCATCTACCTTGTGATCATCAACGCGACCTATGCAAAACGTAACTCGCGTACATATTCATACTACAATTGAGTTGGCTAGAGTCACGATACATTCAACACGTCAAATCATACTATACTACATAATCTACATATACACAACCAGCCCCCGGTCTACCTTCTACAAAACCCCAAAATGCCTTTGCTGCAACTTATCAAACGTCCTCGGCATAGAATCAATAGCCCGCATAGTCAACGGCGCCTTATTCTCCAGAATCTCAGCCAACCAAGCCCCGGCCTCCTCATCATACCCAAGTCCATTCCTTTCATCGCTCTTAACCTGGCCAAAAGCCTTAGCCAGCAGGATAATAGTCTTGTACCGCGGCAGCACACTGGCCTTGTTGAGATCGTTCGGACGCAGTTCCATCCACTGGAAACCTTTGCGGTCACGGCGGATGAAGTTGGGGATGAGTTCGCGCCAGCCGGGGAAGCGGGGCATGAGGTATTCTTCGCAGATGGTAAAGGCGTCAATGATGTGGTTGCGGTGGATGAGCTGCTGGATGAGTTCGTTCCAGGTGAGGTTGTCGACTGTGAAGCCGTTGACGAGGAGGTCGCGGATGGTGCGTTGAGCGTCTTGCGCGGCGTTGGGGTTGTCGGCGTCAGACTGCGCGAGTAGACTGCGGATGTAGATGCGGGCGGGCTTGGCGAGGATTTGGCGACGGTTGTTGGAGATGTGCGATTCTTGGAAGCGTTGTTGGATCAATGGGTCAGTGATGGAGGTGTCGTCAGGGACGGGAGTGCTCTGGTTCACGGCTTGGTGGAAGGTCTTGGTGAGTTTTGCGGCGGAAGTACGCGCGAGTTCCCAGAAGTTTGCGACTTCAGCGTGGTTGCTGGCCTTGAGATGCGCCTCCATCATCGACGTGACAAGGGTCAGTGGTATAGCGTAGGTGCCGGAATCTGCTGCCATTGCTTCGACCTTCTGGAAAAGCTTCTTGCAGATTTTGTATGCTGATCTGGCGCTATAGAGTGAGATCATCAGGCCGTAGTAGGACGCTCGAAGGTCATCGGAGCTGTCTACATCGTCAAATCGTTCATGTACAGGTTGGCGGTGCGCAATCTCCTGCGCTGTACTGGAGACGAGCATCTCTTCAAGAGCGTCTTCGACCCGAAGAAGCTTGTAGTTTGGATGTTTGGCCCCTCTCTTCCTTAGCTGCTTAGAATCAGCCATACCAAGCGCTTGTAGTGAAGCTTGGCGGGAGCTCTCGGTTTGGGGAACCTTGCGCGCCTTCATCCTTTCGTGAGCTTCCACAGCTAGGTGATACTGTCCCTCCCTTATGAAACCGGTCATCACTATGGCGTAGTGAAGTGCATGGACCCGGTATCCTTGTTCCGGCATTGTGACTCTCAACAGTTTGTAAGCAGCGTTGGTCTGCTTTACTTCGACTAATGCTCGCATCAGACTGCCATAAGTCCAGCTATCCAGAGGGATATTGTTGTCGACCATTTGTTTGTATTGCTGCCTGCTACCCGCTAGGTCGCGTTCCATTGCGCGCTGTTGGATCAACAGGTTCCATGTATGTGAGAGAGGGTATCCGTGGAGTGTCCCTGCCTTATAACTGTTGAGCATGCCATATGCGATCGCTTCGGCGCCTTCTGGATCCCCCGCATTTAGAAATGCTTCGACATAGCCCGCTCTTGCACGAACATCCGTGTCAAGTTGAACCCCCATCTGCTTGGCTTTGGAGAAGAGTGTCTCGAAAGCCTCAACATCACCTCTATGAGCACAGAAGTCGAGCAGAGGCCCGAAAGTTTGCACGTCTGGTGCAACGCCATAGTCCAAGCAATTGTTGAAGCATTCCAGAGCACCATCGAGGTTCTCACTACGGACGTAGGCAAGCAGTAAAATATTCCAACAAGCAGTATCCGGGGTCATATGAAACTCTTCGTGTATGCGTTTGAACTGGGTGATGGTGCCATCGACATCTGCGCGTCGTGCGTAAACATACGGAAGTGATGACAGTACGGTGATTGTCACTTCGTCTGGGTGGTGTGAACGAAGCTCATTGACATATTCGTTCACCTTCTCCACATTACCAATCCTCGCATACGTATGAATCAGGTACTTGAGAAGACCAGGCCGTAGCGGCTTATTTGGGTACCAGGTGCGTAAATCGTGTAGATGATCTTGAACACGTCCCAGGCCACCCTTCGAAGAATGCTGATAGATCAGAGATCTGATCAAACCCTCTGATGGTGGCCCTTCGGAACTGCTTTTATCCCCATAGAGGTACAGCTGCCTGTACCGTCTATATAGCTCGAGCGGAATCTTTCGCTGGTTGGTATATTCTCGGTATCTTGGAAGCTTCAACATCTGTTGAATCGCGTGCTCGTAGCAAGCTGAGGTGGGAAGATGTAGAGAGTGGAGACTGTCAAAGAGCCCGATGAAGTAATCCCAAATAAAATCATCGTCGAATTCGTCCGTAAGCAAGACACGATCCATTACGTGAGGTACGAATGACATGACAAAGCAGGCCAAATCACGCTCTCGGGATGGCGAAGATGTGAGTTCGTGCTGAAACTCCCTGACGTATCGCAAGAAAGACTGGAAATGTTCCAGAAGCTCTGGTAATGTCGCAGTCTGACCCCATAACTCTGGCAGTGTATTGCCGTAGCGAATTGCGTCGTATGTGGGAGTACCACGAATGGAATGCGCCTTCCGATGGAACTCCCTGAAGACACGAAAAGCGACATCCCACTGCTCGTCGACAACGGCTCGTCGAAGTATTGCATCTATGCCACTTTGCAGTAGAATCTGACTCGGACCCCCTGGTTTAGTGGGCCTGGCGAGCTTGTCGTAAAGTCGAATCGCCGGCCCTATCGTCCCTGATGCGACGTGTGCTTTGATAGCTGCTCGATATGATGATAACCGGCGAGCGGCTGGGCGAATCCCGTCAAACACCTGGAGGACTCGCTCCGAGACTGTAGGCTCACCGTCCTGGACGAGATAGTCCAGCAATTGTGCTCGCAGCCTCTCTATTTCCACCAAGCGATCTTCGGGGATGCTAGTGTACAGCTGCCAGGCCAACTCTTGCTTCTCAGGTGGCGGCGAATCTAGGAACTTCTGCAATTCCGTGACTGCATCCGACCTTCGTAATAGCTCTGCCGCATCCTTTTTGGCCTGTTCTACCGTATCCACATCCGGTTGTGTTTCATCTTGCACAGGTTGCGCCTGTATTGTCGAAAATTGGCGGACTCGAATGGCATGCGGCTGCCGTCGCCTTGATTCCACTGAACTGAGCCGTTTTGCGGAAAGTCTTCCAAGAAGCGCAAGGGTCTTTTCTGGGTACAAAAAGTCGAGCATTACACCCTCGTGGGTTCTCTGGTCTGTACTGGCCTTGTTCGCCGCTCCATTGCCACCATCACCACCTGTTTCTTCGACAATCGGGGACGCGGTCTGCCAAGGCGAGAGACTGAGATCGCTTGCACCGTGGTGCCGAGGGGTTGGGTGCAACGTGCGCCGACTGCGTAGACATGGCTTCGGAGCGCGGAAGAGCTGGCGTCCGCCGGATTCGAGGCATGTCGAAGCACGCTCGAGCATCACCTGGACTGTAGGAAGCGCAGATGGGGCCGGCGCAGATTACCAGAGACTGTGAGGAATTCTGTAAACTGCAACCATCAGATATGGTGGCAAGAAGACTGAGTATTGGGGTTTGCCTACAATCGTGCATGCCTCCAGCTATGCGATGGGGACTACAGGAAAAGCGGTGGAGGGGAAAAACAATGTATAGAGGGCTGACTCAGAAGAAGGAGACTAAAGCAAAAGACACAAGGGAAAGAACGAGTAGCGTGCGTGGCAGTGGCGGGCCCGATGTCTATGATGTCTCGAAAAGTTTACGGCGCGACAATGACCTGAGATTCCGATTCGCTTGGCAGGGCCATGGATAGCTCGCCAATTGATGCCCCTCCGCATGAGCCGCATCCCCACAGTTGCACTTCAACACCAGCAGCCCGGCCATGGATATCACCAAGTTCGTGACCGACTATCGGGAGTCGGCCTTTCTGATAGGCGACTACAATACTTACCATGAGCAATTGTCGCGACGTCTCCGGATTGTGAACAAGAAACTCGGTCGGGCAACACCCAAGAACGCGAAATATACTGCAAAGGCCCCAGTCACGGCGGAGGATGTCAAGAACAACAATGAGTAGGAGTCACGTGTAGAAGAAGCATTTCGGAAGCTGACTGTGACAGGGCTCTTCACCTGCTCCTGCTCAACTCGGAACGGGCATGGGCGCAGGCCATGGCTATGAAAGCCTCTCACTCCGACGAGAACGCCGACAAGAACATCACCGGCTCTACACGTAAACACATCCTCTCGCGCTTACACAAGGCTACCCAATACGCGAACCAGGTCATTGAACTCATCTCCAACACGAGCGCAAGCGGGGCATCAGAGACGGATGTGCTCGAAGCAAAGGCATATGCGTACACGTTGGCTGGAGCGCATGAGTTTGAGAAGCAAGCCGAGGGCATCAAGAGCAAGAACGCCTCGCCCCAGCGCTGGGCACCATGTCTCACCAAGTACTCTGCGGCGCGAGTCATCTACAGCGCTCTGCTGAAGGCTACGAGGAAGGACCTGTTCAAAGATGTGTTGGCAGGCACCACCGACCCCAGCATCCGCTATGCTGCCTATCAAAGTCGCATCCCACGTACAGTGGGTGTCCCGACTGTTGCGATGAAGTACTTCCCAAAGGACGACGCAGAGCTGGTCAAGGCCGTGGAGAAGCTCGACTCAGCAGCCCTGAAGGAAGAGGAAGCGACTTCGTCCCGTAAGCAGCACAGATCGAACAAGAGGGTATCGCTAATAGTCAACAGACACCCAGATTACATGGCGCGGCCGAACAGCAAACGTAGTAGACGCTGCGATTGGCCAGGCTCTAGCATCTGTCGATACCGCCTCCGCTGCCCTCGACCAATTTACGACTTCCACCTCATCGCCCAAAGACCGTGCCAACGCCTACGACGACATCCTCATTGCTAGTCAAGACGCGGTCGACGCAACACGAAGGGCGATTGAGGAGCTTGAGAAGGAAGGTGTCGATGAGGGCGATGCGCGCATGCAGGATCTCCGTGTTACGAATCTGGCGGTCAACTACGATCTCATATCATGGCGAGTCGGGCGCAACCGAGTGCTTATCGGCAAAGATGATGGTCTCACGTTCCCCGCGAATCCTCCGCAAAAGCCGCGCCGACCGCGCAAAGACGGTAAGGAATGGGTCGAACGGGAAGAGCCCACTGGCCGCAAGCTGGCGCGCTTACGGGAGCGCATCGCTTTATACGATGCGATCCTGCAAAGTATTGACTCGGTCAAGGACCTCAGGGGTGCTGCTCGCGATACCGGATTCATTTCCGAACTCGATGGGCAGTGTGCATACTTCCAGGCGCTGAAGTGCTTGAATTTGTCACACTCCTACGCATTCCTATCCACGCCAAAGCAGGCTTTAGCGCTTTGCAACAGGGCGTTGATACTAGCAAACCAAGCAGCATCTGCTCCAAGATCCCAGGCGTCTTCAGCATCCAACGCACCTAAGATGGAAGTCTCAGGGGAGCAGACACAAACGCTCAAGGAGAATCTCGAAAATCTGAACTCGCACTACCGGGGTGTAGTGGCGCTGTCGCAACTATTCGCAAACTCTGATACCGCGTCCAAGGCCGGGCTGGCAAACGCAGCGCCTGTTGTTGAGCGACTGAACGAGTACCCATCGTCGGGCTCGGTTGACCTGAAGAACCTAGTCACATGGCCTCCAAAGATCAAGCCGGTACCAGTCAAGCCTCTCTTCCTCGATGTGGCATGGAACTACGTCGAGTATCCTGGACGCGCACCGCAAGCGCAGGAGCCAGAGTCAGAGCCAGAAAAGGCGCCGGTTGAGGAGAAGAAGGAGGATAAGCCGCAAGCCAAGAAAGGTTGGTTCTCCTTTGGTAGATAGGCGTAATCACCGTGCAGTTGGCAGGGATACATCCCATGGGGTCACCGTTGTTGCCCAAACGCTATCCCTAAGATCAAGTGATCTTTCAATACAAGCTGTACTGATATATCCTTGGTGTAGCCCGATGCAAGACCCTGAAAATGCCCTTCTCCAGACTGAGCGATAGTTCGCGCTACGGCTGTCTATCCAATTTGAACCCTCCCTATCTACGTGACAGCCACAAGCCGGAGACAAGATGGACGTGATTGGTCTAGTGAAAGGTACGCGCACAGACGTGCATGACCGCTGTGGGACTAGCGTATTTGAGCCTCAGGGGCAATAGCATAAGCGCCGGTCAGCGTGAACCATCACGCGCCTGACGGGACGGTTGTTTCGTTTCAACGACCCTTTGTTCGTGGGTCCTATAGGACCGGGCGTGGCAATATTGAGAGCCGTTGTGGAGGCTGAATGCGTGTGAATTGTGCTATGCTTGCTTGTGACCGAGGGCTGAATCGCTGAGGAGGTCATCGTATGATTCAGATTACCATGCTGAAGCTGTACGACTGCAGGAAAACGGCCCGGCTCAAAAGAGACTGGAGGGACACTTGCGGGCAGCGTTCTGAGGTCATGCAGGTGGTTAGATCCTAATTTTAAATAAGGTGGGTATTATCGATACGGAGGGACCCCTATCACCAAAGCGCAGAGAACGGATCGCGTACCTGGTAGCTCAATCTCGTGCTCATTCCTCTCAACAGACAGACACACTCTTTCAACACTGCCTTGTAGCTGTTGCTCTTCTGTCCTTCAGTCTTTACAGTCGCTCCCTTACTTAATACACACACTCTTTTGAAGCTCCATCTGCTTGCTCGCGTCCTGTTTGGTGTACATCATCAAAACGTGCGCATTCGACATACAAGGCATTCCCACCCGATACATCACCAGCTATTCGAGGAGCGCCACGCGTTTCTCGATCTTAATACACTCATCACGGCTTCCGCACTGGCTACCTCCATCCTCCCTCGGCCCCAGGTCGACGATTCGTTCCGCAGACCCTCGATCCTGCAGGTTTTCGACCTGCCCGCCTTCAAGACGTCTACCACCGCCAACTTCGACGACAAGCTGCCGTCGATTGGCCACGATAGATCACGACCGTCCTCAAGCTCGACCGTGGCTTCCTACACTCAACAACGGCATGGCAGCAATGCCTCGATCCAGCTGCCGTCGCTAGCTACGCTAGCGTCGGCTGCGTCCAATTGCCCCGCTGCGAATATGAACAGTAATGATAATAATGATAATATGAGGAGAGATACGCCCGAGAAGAGAATGCCTTCTCCTCCCAGGTACGTTTTCATGAAAACCCAGGCTCTCGTTGCGGTAGTGTGGGACAAGCACAGTTGAGGATGCGCAGAGTGTTTTGCAAAATGTTCTACGAGCAGAATATTTGTAAAGACTTTCGCGGTGTGGATTCACTTATCGTGGATTTCGAGAGCGTGGTGAAAGGCTCCAGACTGGCAGTTGCGTCGGTGGTTTCTGCCGCCGGCCGTTCCGCTCGCACCTGCTGCTTATCACTGAAAGCTTGGCGTTTTCGCGACTTCTTTTCAAGTCCTCGCTAACCATGGAGAACAGTAAACCCTCTAATGGCCTCAGCATGACTTATGCAACCTCTGCGCCCGCAACCGCTGGTGGTCAGGCTGGCTCTCCGGTACGTATCATTGCGATGTTGGCGTCATGGCTCAAAGCCAGACTCCGATTTGTCTCTTATCCTCTTATCGATAGGTAGCCATTATCTACTTCTTCTGGCTCCGCGCTCGAGGCGACCTCGACGCATCGCATTCTTTTGCGGTGTCGTCCAGAGACGAGCCTGATGGTTTTGGCAATACTGAAGTGCTCCTGCTGACATTCTGCAGCCGTCCTGCCAAAACTGCGCAACCTCCACCACCCCTCTTTGGCGCCGCGACGAATCTGGTGCTGTTCTCTGCAATGCCTGCGGTCTATTCTTGAAGCTACACGGACGCCCGCGACCCATTAGTCTGAAGACAGATGTCATTAAGAGCCGAAACCGCGTCAAGACTGGCGGACCAGGTGGACGCAAGCGGGTATGCAAGTCAATCTATATTTCTCCTTCATATCTGACACATGACAGACAAGCGACCAAGGCGGTCTTCCTGCCGCGCATCCCGATGCTGATGGCCAGCTAGCCCTAGCCCAGCACCGCCGCGCATCTGGCAAGATCTCTTCTGGACTGTCCGACCGTTCGCAATCGCCTATCTCCCGCACCGGTACCCCGAACTTCAACCACCCCTCCAACATTGCACCATCACACTTGTTCGAGCAGGCTCTCCATGGCGGTGACTTCCACTCGCCCTCGCTACCGGGCTTTGGCATCCGTGCTCCTTCCCCCGCCAACTCGTCAATCAACGGCTCTCACCTCGAAGCTCCTCTCCCATACGAGACTCTTGCCGCTCAGAACACTGCGCTCAAGACACGCGTCTCGGAGATGGAACTGATCAACGACCTCTTCCGCAACCGTGTTAGTGAACTCGAACAGAGTGAACAGTCAGCGCGACAGACGGAATCAACCTTGAGACAAGAGCTCGAAGAGACCAAGCAGCGAGAAGCAGACCTTAAGAGGCGGCTGGACGAGATCGAGGCCGAGAGCCCGCGACACAAGAAGATGAAGATGAGCGAATTCGTGGACGAGAGCCGCGCTGGCACGCCCATTAGCGCAATGGTCGAATAGGCACAACTGTTTCCTGATAAGGCGTTTCCTTTTATCAACTAATGACTGTTTCATGCATGCGGGGAGTGATCAAGTCGCACCTGCTGTGATCTCCCTGCGACGAGAGTTGGGCGTCGACGTCTGCTCTGCGCTCGGTCTTTATGACCATCTAATGTCCGATACCACTTCTTATCATGGCCCTTCGGGGCTGTGACTGTATTGTAATCTTTCTTTTTGAATCCGATACCAAGTGCTGATGCGAGGAGATGCGGTGGGCTGTTACGGCCGACATGGATTGGATGGGTAGATGGTTAGCATGGATGGGATGAGGTGGGAAGGGTCATGTTTACCAAAAGTCTTATATGGGAATAGCTTTCGTCGTTGAATTCGATGTGAGCGCTACATTCCGTTCTTTCGTGTCTTTGCTGTGAGAGCCTGCATGCAGTCACCCGCCATGAGTTCTAGTGGTTCTAAGAGGGACTGACATCAGGTACCACAAACGATGTCTCTTGCATTACATTACAACTGGTGGATACATTCCATGTATACTGTTACTTGTAGCATCCAACATAGATGCTTTGTAGGCGTCTCATGCAACTTGAAATATGTCGTTCCCGCCGATAACGTCCGTGGTGACTCTTTGGGAAACTTCACGAACATTGTACTTCTTTAACTCTGCGATACCAAATTGTTTGAATATTTGGAAGTAATCAGAAGAAAATTCGGTAGTAGTCGCTCTCACACTTCTTGCGAGAGGTAGGCATCTTATCTATACCCCACAGACGAGATGCAGAACCAATATAAACAACGTATAGCAATCGACACACAATAGAGATCGGCACTAGCCTTTTATTCTGCATGGCTTGAAACGCCTCGTGATTGTATTCGGATGGATGATCAAGACCTGGTGTGCATAAGTGTAACGATGTCGTAGTATCTTGTAGGATCGGTTGTGTCGGTTGAGGGGAATGCTTGTGGAGCGGTTGCAGAGCCATTGCGAATTCCTCAAGGATTGCGGACTCTCAAGAACTCCCCAACATCTTCATGTGAATGAGAAGAACTCTGACGACTTAATACAAGTCGAAACCACCTTCAATGACTTCAGGACGGTCGACGAGGTAAAGGTTGTCGGGAGTAAACGGGGAGCGCTAACCCGATGTGAGCTCCCGCACGGACTCTTGGCGGCTAATCAACCCTTCAGCGAGTTTTTGCATCCACCTCCTCCATCCTCCTCCCACCACTCCCCATCCATTGAAGGACCAATTCATCTCCAACTCATCTCCACTCCGACCGTCAATACCATCACCATGGTTGCCATCGCTCGCTCCTTCGGCGCCGCCCGCGTGGCCGCCCGTGGCTTCTCCAACGCTGGTATGTCTCGCGCCTGTCGCAGCAGCTTAAGCCATTGGGTTTGAGCTCTGCAAGCTCATCAAGCAGCCATTGACCATCATCTTGCAGCCCGCGCTCCCCAGCAGAACACCCTCGTCGCTGCCCGCAGCGCCTTCCGCAACAACGCCGCCCGCAACGTCATCCAGAAGCGTGGCATCGTCGCCGAGTCCACCGCTGCCGCCATGGTCGCTGCCGCCAAGATCCAGGGTGCCGGTCTCGCTACCATCGGTCTTGCCGGTGCCGGTGTCGGTATCGGAACGGTTTTCGGTGGTCTCATCCAGGGTGTTGCCCGCAACCCTTCCCTCAGGGGTCAGCTCTTCCAGTACGCCGTTCTCGGTTTCGCCTTCGCTGAGGCCACTGGTCTTTTCGCGCTCATGATGTCCTTCTTGCTCCTCTACGTCGCATAGATGTGTGCATTGCATGGACTGCCGGACATTTGGGGTCAACGGTATGGGGGTGCCGCAAGGTGGAAAACTTTTCTTGCGGATGGGTGTGTGCATAGGGACGACTACTACCTCTTTTCCTACTCTAGTGGCCGGTCAGATTGTGTAAAACATGTACTTTAGACGAGCAATCTGAAGAGCAAGCTACCACCACGGCTCGCTTTCCTTATCCAGGTATACGTGCGGAAGCTGTAGCTATGGTAATGACATGTGCGGATGACTGACGTTGAACTCAATGGACTCGAATGGACCCTCAAAACCGATGCCGAAGCTTGTTAATGCCCGTGCTACGTTCCGTGATGAGCTACTGCTGTTCGAGTTGTCCGATATTGAAACTTGGTCATGCCAAGCTTTCGCTCGACCTCGCTCGCAAGCCCGTGGGTGTCCAATGCTGCCCACCCCACTCGATGTCGAAGTTCGACTTGATGTTTGTTAACTATCCAGGCACTCAATAGTCTATACAATCCCACCGCAGGTGGTCAGCGCAATGGTCTACCCCAGAACCCCGCGATTTCGAGGCTGCCTCGGTACGACCCGCTACCGTGAGCGGAAGCTGGAGAATGAACAGACGACAAGAAAGCCTTGACTCTTGGAACTCACTCAAAGGCTTGCGCGTACTCTGTGTACATATAGAAGACTATGTCGTGAGGGTGGGGTGTTTACAATTCTCCCATCGTCGCTGTTCGACAAGCCGCGGTACGATGGGAGCGACGGATACCAGGTACGAGCTTAGCAACATTACTTCGAAGAACTGAGCTGATAGGCAATTGATAGAAACCAATACGCAGTCAATACTGCTTGAACCTCTGATTTGAGAGCGATCCGAGCCTTCGCGAACTCCGCACGTCACTACGACCATCACCCAATCGAAACACGCGTGTAATACACTATCTCGCATGAGAAGGAATGGTAGTGATTATGAGAATACAAAGGACCAAATCTATAGCGATCGCCTGGGCACAATGATACTGTGGATAGCCGTGAGGAGATCAGCACGCAGCGTCGCATGGCAATGTCCGCGCGGCGCACGTCTCTTGAGCCTCCGCGTTCGGTCCCAGATCGATGCGATACTTGCTACAGTCACAGAAGAAGCAAGCGTTGCTGCGCAAGTCGTATGGGGACATCGAGGCTGCGTTGTTTCAGATCTGCGTCTGGGTAGATGGTGAGGCTGTTTCCGAAACACGATACGTGAACGCTCCAACCCGCCTCCAAGGACCGGACATCGGAAACCAAACAACCACACTCTTCCTTGCCCACTGCGGAACATGCAATGCATTCGAACAGTGCAATGGTGCAGCTTCTTACTCGGCTCGTACCAAGACCGTGAAACTAGGTAAAGTGGGTTTCGTGATAAGCTTCAACATCTGACGCGGCGAAGCTTAGATGTTTGGCTGTGCGGGTATCATCTCTCTGGACTGTGGTATTTAGAGCTCGATGTCTTCTTGAGTTTGTTTGAGCAAATAACATCCCATCAGTACTATCATCTTGTAATCTCTGTGCCGGTCACTTCTTTTCAATTTCAACTTACTTTCACTACCAATACTTCCGAAACTCCAATCAGCAAACATGCGTTACACAGCCTTTGTCGCCGTTGCTGCTTTCTCCAGCGCCGTCTTCGCTACCGGTAAGCTTTGATAGCCATGAGGGAATATACTTCTTTTGGACATCCATCTAACACCTCTCAGCTAGCCCCCAAGACGACGTTGCCTCCATCCTCGAGGCCCTCCGCGCGAACAACCCCGACGATGCCGAAGCCGCCGCCTCAGCCATGAAGGTCAAGCTCCGCCGTCAGGACGACGTGAGCTCCATCCTCGCCGCCCTCGAGGCCAACAACCCCGACGATGCCGCCGCAGCCAAGCAGGCCATGTCCTCTACATCCACCACCAAGCGCCAGGACGACGTATCTCACTGCCTCGACAACCTCGCGCAGGTCGACCCCGCGGCTGCTGCCGCTGCCCGTCGGGACATTAAGAGCCGCAGCATTGACATTCGCGACATTGAGAAGCGTCAAGATGACGTTGCGTCCATCCTCGCTGCCCTCGCGCAGAACAACCCCGATGACGCTGCGGCTGCTGCTCCCGCTACTAGCTCTACCCCTGTGTCTGTTACCAAGCGCCAGGACGTGTCCCACTGCCTCGATGATCTCGCGGAGGTCGACCCTCAGGCCGCTGCGGCTGCCCGTCGTGACATCGAGAGCCGCGACGTCGAGAAGCGTCAGGACGATGCATCCCACTGCCTTGACGCACTTGCTGAGGTCGACCCTGAGGCTGCTGCAGCTGCGCGTCGCGATATCGAGAAGCGCCAGGATGATGTTGCGTCTATTCTTGCGGCGCTCGCCCAGAACAACCCTGATGATGCTCAGGCGGCGAAGACTCTCGGTAAGCGATGGGTTGCGTAGACGGTGATGAAGTCGTAGTGGATGGAGTTGTTGGGCTTTGGTGGTTTGGATGGGATCTAATGGCTGGGTGTATATAGTTTAGGGTTGGTTATGGATTTGTACATGATAAGGAATGGCTTAGGCTCGGTTCTCACTAATGCACTCGTTTGGCCTGATGTGTTTGTCTACTATTCCTGAGAAGTCATTGCAGGTGAACTAATGGTTTGAGTCTCATTTCATTCAGTGTTCTCCGGTTCGTACCGCATTGATATCCATACTGCCTCGACGTTGCAAAGTCGATGTTCTACCAAAGTTAACCTGCCCCTCTACTACCCCGCATCAGTACAAAGTCATCATACAACACCAAACTCTTCTGCTTATGCTTACAGCGTGGCTCGCAGCCCGTTTGCCTTGCAATATAAAGGTTATACCGCCAAATTTTGTCCAGTTTCTCCATCAGACACGATGGCCGAGTGGTCTAAGGCGGTAGATTTAAGCCCTGCTTAGATCTCTACTACAGAAATGTGCGTGGGTTCGAACCCCACTCGTGTCAAACGACTTGTTTTGCTCTTTTTGCCTCCTTTTTTGGTTCGAAAATGGAGTCCAAGTATCTTTTTGACGGCGGCGGTTGTGAAACGCCAGCAGCGAGACCCTGGGGCAAAAGCGGGGTATTCCTATCCGCCCCACTAGTGTTAAAGAATGCATTTTACTTTTTGTATTCGTTTTCGCATCGAAGACTTCTGTTGGAACTACCTTTGGTAGAAGGAACGCAGAAAATCGACTTGCAACTTTGGCGACTGATAGATGTAGACTGCGGGAAGGAACTCGTACTCCAAATTCCTCCGCGGCTGTCGTATGTCTCAATGGGAACCAATGTATTATGATATGTTGCCGAGGAGTGAATACATGCTCAAGGGTGGCTCATGCCATGGGTAGATTGGAGTACGCAAGTCGACATCTTATCGAGATCTCAGCTACAATGCATCACGGGGCACTACGTTCCCTCCAACTGCTCTAAGTGAAAGTACCGCGTGAAGCATGATATATGTTTAGGTAATGACAACAGTAGGCTGAACACATACTCCTGGCAAATACATCAATCTATCCTAGCCCTGTGCCGCGTCTTCATCCATGCCTTGTAGCTCCCCTTTCTTCTTCCATCGCCTACAGCCTTCCTCCTCAATCATTTCCATCAGCCTCCGTGGCAGGCCTGCATGCGGGCTCCCATCTCCTAATACCCCCGCGCTGGTGACCATAAACCTCTCCCTAGAGAACCACCACAACGCCCCATCAGCAGTCTCAGTGCCGTCCGGTCGTGGGTAGAAGGGATCGCTCCTCATGAACGCTGCGTACGCCTGCTTTAATTCAGCTTCAACCCAGCTTCATCCATAGATATGTGCCTCACACAGTCAAGTTCCAGAATCCATGTGACGTGTTCCCTGAGATATTGTGATGGGAATGATGGTTGTGTTGATGATAATGAGGTTCGGGGACGTGCGAGTACGAACTCAACATCATTAGCATCGACTTTGGCACCCCAGTGCATTATAGCAATTGCATCCGCCATAGTTTACGCATAGGCGACGTAATCAAGGCCGAGATCTTCCATCTGTTTGATATGTAATGGAACATTTCGGAGGCTGAAGCGCTGGAAGCGCGACGTGTTTGTTGCTTTGCGTTCTCGTCGTCGCCCCAAGTAGGGACGGATAAGACAGCAGTCGTCGTCTTCATTCCCTTTCACGAATCTCGAGAGCAACGTATTACCCGCACAGAACAGATCCACGATCATGTCGCTGATAGATCGAGGTACCTTGGGGATGCGTTCGGATACGAGCGCTCTACACTCTGTGAAGCCGTCAGGGAAGCTGTGGAGATTTGCATCCCACCAGATGTTGTTCGAGTATATCAATGACTGAAATTGTGGTATGGCCAGAGGCATTGAAGGACGATGTTGGTTTGCGCTCCGAATGATTTCCAGATGCATGTTGTAGTCGTTGGTGACAGATCGTCCGGGGCCTCCATCTTCGCGTTTAATAGCATGATTCGTGCCGTCTTCAGCAGTCCAGACGCTGCCGCAGAACCCCTTTCCGATGCATCGGTAAGGATTGTTGGTGTTGGGCATGGTGAAGAAATTAGGCCAGGATTACGGTTGATACCGGACTGATCGCAGTCGTGAGAGTGACTTTGTGATGTAGTTTAGCATTTAGCATTGGAATATATGCGGTCAAGTATTGAATGGCGAGGAATATAGAGCACGTTTGAGTCAGACCAGTACCATGGTTGGGAAAAGTTGCATCCACACACGACCTTGCGTTGTGATACCTACAACGACAACTTCCCCACCAGTTGCACAGCCTGAACAAATGTGTTTCAAACAAATTGCAAATCGACCACAAGGCCGTGGAAATGAGTGTCAGGGTGTGGCGGTGCCGTTGGCGTTGTTGCCTAACGGGACGACCGTGCCGTACAGTAGGTGGCCTAAGCTCGGCATACAATCAGCATATATCAACAGCAGACACCACAGGCTCGTTTGAAGTCTACGTCGACTTTCAAGAAGTCCATCTTACCAGCCTTATATCACGTGTCCTCCAACCAGATCATGGGTCAAGAACAGTCTCAGCCGTCAGCATCGCAGCGACCTCCAGCGCCGCAGCTTAGTGAAGAAGAGCGCGCACAGCTCCAAGCTGAGGTATGGCCTTAGTGTTCGACCATACCTGCAAAGCTAACAAGCCCGAAGATGCGCGCAAAGCAACAAGCGGCCCTTGATAAGCGTCTTAACCAACCAAGAAAGTCGTCGCCAGCAGGCGTTCAAGCGACGAAGAAGCCAACTGCCCTAGAGGAAGCAAGCAGGGAGAACATCGGATGGCGCAACGTCGACGCGCAAGCGGAGTTCAGGAACTGGAACTGATGTGGGAGGGACAAGAAACTTGTGTCGCCTAGCTGTATGAGCCGGAGCGGAATGTGTTATTCAGGAGTTGAAGGCGTTCAGAAGTTCCTCGAACAGGGATGGGGTTTGTCTCTCGGAGTCCGGCGTATGGGAGTCTCCAAGCGATGTTTGACAACGTCATTCTCTTCTCGATTTTGATTCTCTCGCGTCTTGACTCGGCGGTGGAGGGCATAAAGCAGGCGTTTGGTGCTGTGCCTCAGCAAGCTGAAACGAATGCAAGGGGCCAAGGGGACATCCGCGGGGAAACGCATCGACGCCAGTCGCTCGCTAGTGGATTACATAACCGATGAGCTTCCGCCGCCCAGACCAAATCACCTGCATCGTGCATCTCAATCGCACTCATATACCCATCTCGCTGTCGCCACGATGCCGGAACAGCGCGTCGCAAAGCGCAAAACTCACACCAAGTCGCGAAAAGGATGCTTCCAATGCAAGCAGAGACATACTAAAGTAGGTGTTCACCCTCGACCCAGCTTCAGTCTTCTCCAGCCAATCACAGGGTTCTGTGCGATTTTCTCTACCTACCCGGCAAATAGTGCCCAAGTGCTATAAGCATCCGAAGCTATGGCTCTTCTGCTGTGATCCGTGTCGTCGCTTACCATGTCGTACAGTGCAATGAAGCGCGCCCACGTTGTGGGAATTGTGTTCGTCTAGATATCCATTGCCATTTCCCAGCAATACCGGATAGCTACTCGACCTCTCCACAGCACAGTCCAGGCATTTCTTCACCTTTTGTGGACACAAACCATGCTGAGAGTCCCGAATCAAATCCTGCAAGTTCTGAGCTACCACTCGCAGACCTCCGTCTACTGCATCATTGGACAAAGGCGTGCGCCAAGTCCTTGCATCCAAATCCTGCAACTAGAAGTGTCGTCTGGCAGGTGAGGCTCATCCATTCTGAAAAACCATGTGGAATTGTTGAACTGACCGTTTCGCTCTGCAGAACGAGTTCATTGAACTAGGCTTCGACTATCCTTTCCTTCTTCGCGGGTTTCTCGCCCTTTCAGCAGTCCATCAAGCATCCTTGCTTCCGCCCAACGAACGGCAGGGTCTTTTGCTGCAGGCAGATTCTCACATCAGTCGAGCCTTGGACACTTACCGAAAGAACTTGGAGACTCCAAATGTTGAGCTGGCAATTCCAATGTTCATGCTATCGTCGATTCTCTTGACTTACAACTTCGGTTCTGCGCAGCTAGAACGCCCCGAAGATCCCATTCGCGCTCTTCACCACTGCTTCATGTTGTTGCAAGGCATCAAGATTGTGGTGATACCCCACTGGGACCGAATCAAAGACAGCTCGGTCTTTGCTCATATGACAGATATGGCGTCTCCTGAAGCGCTAGATGCATTGGACACGCTCGCAAGGGAGGAGAATCCCCAGGAGATACTTCGATTAAAGGAACTTACGGAACTCCTACTGGACAGTCAGGACAAGGAGGCCTGTGCTACAGCTATCGACGCACTCAACGCAACCTGGCTCCGGTTTCGACACATATCACCCGATCGCGACGAATATTCCCTTCTCTTTCTTTGGCCGGCAAGGTTGGAGACTCATTTCTTCGACCTTCTCGCTGCTCACAACCCCGTGACTTGTATTATTACAACTCATTTTGCAGCAATGCTGGCCCAATGTCGCCCGGTATGGTGGGTGGTAAAGTGGCCCCAATGGCTTCTTGTTGCCTGCGAACAATTGCTGGCAGCGACACCAGATCTCCTAAAGTGGCTTGACTGGCCGCAACAGATCATCCATGCTCAAGCCGGAAGCGCGACGACCACTCCAACAACCTCTTGAGGGTCTGGGTCACACCGAGTTGTATCCATGTCGGTGTCGCAGCCAGTAACTCATCATATCCTATCGTCGTGGAGTGAACCTGACCGGGTGTTCTTGTGCTCTAGTAAACCACCTCTTGGCGCTTGCTAAATTCGTGGATTGTGTTGGCGAGGCGTTTTCGCAACGATCCCTAAATTGGGACCAGATAAACGGCGAAGCTTGCGAAAGGCTGTGTAATCCGCACAATCTCAACGAGGCAATGCAGTTGTTGTTGATACGCCGTATTAGACGGGGTGCCGCACGATTTATCCCCCAAATCATCCCACTAGTGCGGCAGAACCCATACGGTCGATACGAGGCCCGCAAAAAAACGTCTCGGCACGGCAAGCGCTCTTGGCAGCGTATTTCGCAAAGCGTATCTCGTACAGCCTGAACGCGAACGCATCCTTAGCGTGACCGGCTTGACCGAGGAGCGATACGAAATTGTTGTTAAGATGTTCGAGAAGCCCACTTCGAGAATCATTACACCTGCATTCGAGGACGTATTGCTTGCGTTCGTCTTCAACTCCACCCAACATGTCCGACACCGAACCATATCGCCCAGCGCTTGACGACCCAACCGCCTATGTTCTGTACCGATACATCCCAAACCGGATAGCGGCAATCATCTTCGTCATCGCATTCGGTCTTACGACTTTTCTGCACATTTTCCAATTCATCAAGAAAAAGACATGGTACTTCACACCACTAGTGATTGGAGGTCTCTGTAAGACTACATATTCATCTTTCTGCACGATGGTGTTGCTGACAACGTCAACAGTTGAGGTTATAGGTTTTATCGGACGATACCTCTCACACGATGATGTTTGGGCACTTGGTCCCTTCATCATGCAGTCGCTGCTCATCCTACTTGCCCCGGCACTCTTCGCAGCCTCCATCTACATCATACTGGGTCGCATTATCCTGTTGGTCGACGGAGAGCGCTACTCGCTGGTGCGTCAGAAGTGGCTCACGAAGTTGTTCGTCGGAGGAGATGTGTTCAGCTTCATGCTGCAAGCATCAGGTACGTAATCACCACAACGTAGCCTCAGGGTCAATGGCTAACAGTCAGTCTAGGTGGCGGTATCCAGGCAATGGGTACGCTGGACGCATTACATACCGGCGAAAAGATTATCATCGGTGGTCTATTCGTTCAACTGCTCTTCTTCGGCTTTTTCATCGTCGTATCTGGAGTCTTCCACTACCGCCTCTCCAGAGACATTCCCCTAAAGAGGCGCTACAGCCCCTTGTCATTGTTCAAATCTCGACAATCTCATGAGATCGTACAAGCCTGGTCCACCGTATCCAGAGCTAGCATCCACGATCTACCTTGGAAGCGCCACCTGTTCAACCTGTACTTCGCAAGCGCGCTCATCATGATTCGAAGCATCTTCCGTGTCGTGGAGTACCTCGGAGGAAACGCAGGATATTTGCTCAGTCACGAAGTGTACCTATACGTCTTCGATGCACTGCTGATGTTCTTTGTCATGGTCTCGTTCAATTGGGCCCACCCAAGCCAGGTCACGGACGCCTACCAGAAGAGACTTCGAAGCGGTTCGCCTATGGAGCTTCAACATTCTCGCGATATGTCGATGGCTGCGGATGAAGAGCACATGATGGGACACCGGGAGGCTAAGAATGGTGTAAGGACTGGTGGCAGGAGCGATGGCAGGGGGGAATCTCGACGTTCAAGTAGCAGGCATGCTTCTCGGAGTTGAGACAGCAGGGGTGGATCTATTGATTATGACATCAAGAGGAGGACTTCATCCGAATTTCACGACTGGAGGATAAGAAGTAATGACGGCCCTGCAAGAAGTAAGCGACCAGGTGTCCGCCAGTACGTCTCCTACGCTCAGGGACGCGGAATATCGTGGGTTTCCAAAAGGGAAGCTTGAGCGAGATGCATCGGTAGCAAGTGTCGTATGCATAGCAATGACATCATTTCAGTTTGGGAGACAGAACTTCCGGCTTCACTAGGAAGTTACATCCGGTTAGATAGCATCGGTTCGTAACAACAAGCCACCTCGGAGAGATGGGAGGAATATCGTGCAATTTCATCTACATGCTCAATGCGATGTGCCCAATGATTGATTCCACCCCTTCATGTTGGTATTCATTTCCTCATCGTACCCCAGAGAAAGAGCACGGTTCCGCTATTGCTGAACTTCGAGCCCTGAATCAGCTCGCGAATGAGACTCATAGAAGTCCACGACTCCAGTCCGTTATTTTGCTTTCTTCAACACATCTTAATCCTTTTACTCAGGATGATAGTGAAGGCCGACCACCGAACTTCGTGATTACTCATAGCCCATTGGAAAGCGAAATTTCTACCCACGCAATTACAATACAGGGTCCAGAAAAGTTCCGAGAGCTGAAATGCGATTCGTGATGATGCATTTCTGGAGCAGCATGGTGGAGCTCCGAGGTGTGTCCGTCTTCGCGCCTAGAAAAGATGAAATTCTCGGAGCGCGAGAAAAAGTCTTTGTCGCTGAACAAGAAGTAATTGCGCCAGTCTTTGTTTACAAGTGTTGTGGTGGAAGGCCAAGTTGCGAAGCCAAACGGTCAGCCAGTCTCTGTAAATAGATTGCTATCCGTGGGTCCCGACAGTTTGCATGTCGACCGGCGTACTCCTTCAGCTCTCGCAATTCAGTCTGTAGCATGTGTACTTCCGCCTTCAGCATGCGGTTACTTCGCTCTACTACACGGGCTTTCTCAACTAGCGCTTCCTGCTCCATTTTCTGTTTGCTTCGACATTTGCTGGCGGCTTTGCGGTTCTTCTCGAGATATATAGCCCGCGCTGAGCCTGGTTCGGCGTACTCGGACCGACGCCTCTTTGTTGACGGTGTTGCTGTGGTTGTTGGGGATGCCTCTTCCTCCTTAGGATACAGACTGTCACATCGTTTTTTGGCATCGTCGTTGTTGTCGTCTTCGTAAAATTGGGACGCATCGGTGGGATCAAACTGAGTTTGCGACGGAGAGATAGTCGGAGTAGTGATCGCATTTGCTGACTGATTGGAAGGCGTAAATGCTGAACCGCTCTGGGCGACGAAGTAGGTGTTCGCAGTCGGTGCTGCGTTTATGTTGACGATTGCGCCCGAAACAAACGCCTGCGAATTCATGGGTTGAGATATGGATGACGCGAAATCGCCTATATACTGATAACTCCCAGGTCGTAGGACTGATGTACTTGTGGGCGATGTGTGCGTAAAAGATCCATAGCCAGCGGGCGCTGGTGTTTCTTCTGGCTGCCCTTGATTCGGATGGTACACTGGGTACCCTGGCTGCCCTGGCATCATTGGAGAATGCTCGTCCGACATGTAAGAATGATGTTGGTTAGAAGGTATGAGAACTAAGCTCATTGTTAATGATATTTGTTTGTGAGGATATGTAATCTGAGGTAATTCGCTACCACGTTTTGCCAGATTTCGTGCCGATTGTATGTGCAATGGACCTTTTGGGAGATGACACAAAGAGTTGGTGAATACGGAGATATCTGAATAGACTAGAAGTGGTGAAGCTGGACGTGTTGACAGTGTGATGATGCAGGTGGTCTGTTTGTCATGGTAGGTGAAGAATTAAACGTCGATCCATGGTAGGCGCCATTCGCAACCGTGGAAAGCAAGACCACGGCCAACTTATCTTCCAAGCGAGAAAACCCTGGCCGGCGCGCTGAATCGAACGCGTGGTACGGGTACGCAATTGCACAGACTGCTGTAGATTGTCGAAAAGGCCATGACGGCGCGGAAAACATGCCCGGGGAGGATCCACGCGACATGATTGAGTGAGATGCTACGCGGCGGCGTGTACCGCGACCAATTACGAGGCAAGCACATCGCATGCCGATGCACCAAGAGGCGCGTTGGCGCAAGCTGCGCAGCAGCTGTCAAAGCGCTGTGATAGCTAACAATGCTGGTCTGTTGGATGAGGGCAGTCGCGACGAGGCGCGACGGAGGGAACGGCACGCTGATAATGCGGCTGCGGGGGGAAGCCGAGCCATCGGCATGACGTCGGTGAACCTGTTCACGGGTGCTCATTCTCAACCAGCAGCAGTGGTATCCCTCAATCAGGTACGTGTGGGCCTTCCGCGCTAGTCGTCTCGGAGGACCTTCGACGTTGCACGACATGCCGTCGCTAACGCCACTCGCTAACCTCGAAATCACGCTACCGCCGGCCTTCGTCACCCGCAACCCTGTCTGGTATTTTGGCTCAAGCTCGGCTCCAAAAATAGTGGGTAGAAGGTGCTCTGGGACTCCATCTCCTGAATAGCTAAATATCATGAACACACTCGTCCAATCGTTCTTCCGTCCCGGATCTGCTCAATCGCAACCTCATTTCTTTTGCACCTCAAGGCCCCTACCACTATGAGCATTGGCGCCGACTCAGACCCAAGAAAAAGATCCCGTCCTGGACAGAAAGCTTCTCCGCGGGATTGGGTGCCTGCCATATCGGCACTTTAGCTTTCGGCGATGTTCTGATCTCAGGGGGTAGAGTTGTACTCTTCGTTGCCTGTTCGACGTCATTCTCATAGGTGAACCGATCGATGATCTGTACCGACATCCGATGATACTTCTCATAGGCTGTTGGGGGGCTGATAGCAAGCATCATGCCAGTGGAAGAGTAGGCCGCGCCGCACAAGCAGGTTGTCAACTCGCACTGCTGCAGTCTGTCTCCGTCAAATATACAACCATGTCAGCCCTAAAGCCAAGGAATAGGCAAGGCTGGTGAGTAATCCACCTTCTTCCGGGACGGCTCGACAGCCTCAATTTTGGTGATGAAATCCTGGCCCAATCAATATACGCAACTCCGCCGTCCTGAAGCGAGCTTTTCTTCCAAAAACCACCAAGTTTACTTTTTGTAGTGCCGGCCCGTCATCTCGAATCAATAAAGAAGCGATTCAAGTTCCCAACGGGTGTACCAAGCTAGCCCCTCCTCCACATCGCGTCCCGTAGCGCCAACGATATGCGGAGTAAATAGTGATTAGCGAGAGCGACCATTTGTGAGGCTGCAGGCGAAGATGCCGGCGGATCCAGGTATGCCGAACCTGCGAAATGCAGATCACTTAAGTCAACATCGAGTACAGTCTCCCAAAGCATTCACCACGACGTAATAGATATCGTCGTAGTCCTCTCAGGGTTTACCCTGATACCAGAAGCGGCGTTGAGAATGCGGCACACTACCAGCCGAAAGGAAGCCGCTCTCGGCCTGGACGCATCGCCGACACTACACAACTTGGGACAGTGCCAGCAGTGTATACTTCGACCTTGGTTCGTTATTGGTTGCAACTATGTACATCGCCTGTATTGCTTCACGATAGGCACAGGCATCAAAGGCCTCTGCAAGCAATATGTCGCACCGCTTTCTCTACCTGTTCGCATATCGGCTACACGTGCAAGTGGCTCTCAGTCTCTCTTTACAGTATATGTATTTGTGCAATTCTAGTCTACATCAACGCGCGAACTTGCCGACATGCCGCTCGGCCCAAAGAGTAATCATGTATCTAACTTCCCGCTGTCCACACATCACCTGCATGATCTACTTTGCGCTTTGCATCAACGCTTCCGTTGGATCGGATAATGTATCTCGAGCTATCCATTGTTCCCGTCTTATCCCCGTTCCCGTCGCTCAGATCCCTTGTTCTGATGCCCCATCCGAGAAGCGGATCCCGCTTCCGAAGCACGCCTAGATCCAGCCGTGCCAGCCTAGACTAACGGCAGGGTACTGATATTCTGTCCAGTCTTTGATAGTCTTACACTCACGCTAGAAACCCTACGCTTCGAATCGGACTATGGTATCGTATATCGCCTTGATCGCTCCGCTAACCCCAAGTTGTAGTGGATGACCTCAGGATGGAAGCTCATGGAGACTCCGTCGTGCTGTATACGTAGCATGCTTGATTTCTTCTGTCGACGCCCAGTTACCATGACTATCTAAGACTATGTATCCTATCATGTCATATTTTCTCGAGAGACGATCCCGTCGTCGTTGTCGTAAATCGAGCTAAACCGATAAAACACCCGGACTTTACGCTACAAATCATCGGACCCCCGAACTCATAGAATGAATCTCCGATCCGATCTCGGGACCGTCCAGCGAAAGCTACAACCAAACTTCCCATCAGGGCTCAAGATAACCTGCGGTTCAACAGGCGTCATATCTCCAAACGTCTAAGCGACCGTTGCGGGTAAACTTTCCCGGACTCCCTCCCGGTTCGCCAGCGGCCGAGCGACCCACGAATCTCCGCACCTACACCCACCTAAGTACCGCCAAACATGGTAGTTGAACAACCCTGCCGCAGGCGCGTACCTAGGTACTACAAATATACCAGCTTCTACATACGTTCAGAAACCACCAATCTAAAAAGTGCAACATAAAACCGCCAAAATGCGCGTCATCGTCTTTGGTGCATCCGGTGTCCAAGGGCGTCATCAAGTCCACGCCCTCGCCCGATCAGGCCACTCCGTCGTCGCCGTGAGCCGCAACCCGAAACCTGTCCTGGTAGACGGAAAGGACGTCGAGACCTTCGCCGCGGACTTTACCGACCATGATGCCATCGCAAGAGTGCTTCAAGGCGCGGACAGGGTCTTTCTCAACCTCCCGAGTACCTCGTTCAACCAATCCGAGCCCATCATTGCGGCGGCCAAGTATATTGGGGAAGCCGCTAAGAAGGCCAATGTCCCGTTGATTCTGTTCAACACGAGTATGCCGGTGCCGAAGGAATCTCAAGACATCGTAGCCCAGGAAGATCGGAGGGAGATGAGGAGGTTGTTGAGGGAGTCTGTGCCAACTATCAGCATTGAGCCCGTGGTTTATCTTGACAATCTCCTCGAAGGCTGGGCCCTACCTCCCATCCGCGACCGCAACACCGTTGTCTACTGCCACAAGCCCGACCTCCGCGTATCATGGATCTGTCACCACGATGTCGCGCAGATCATGATGGCCGCTATGGAGCATCCTGAGCTTTCTGGCCGCGACATCCCTATCGGCGGTGCTGAAACTGTTGTCCTCTCTCAACTAACCGAGAAGCTATCGAGAGCTTGGGGTAAGCAGCTGAGCTATGAGAACCAGACTGTTGCAGACTTCTGCGATAAGATTGGCAAGGCGATGCAGGGCCGGGGTCTGGACACGGATACGATTGTCAGTCAGATGTTCAAGGCGTATACGTATTACAATGAAGCGGAAGATGAGCCGTTCAACGTTGATATGAAGCCTGTGGTGGAGGAATTGGGAGTCAAGTTGACGCCCATTGAAGAGTGGGCCAAGAGGAGGAGTCCGTGGGATGACAAGGGGTATTATTAAATGTAGAACGCGAAGGGAATGCACGAAGAGTTTAGATGAGTCTTGTAATTCATCACTGACTTTGACGGTGGTTGTATCGTGTGGTAGACGAAAAGCATGATCATCAAGTTCCCAATTGCGAACTCTAACTAAACGCCACAATCGGAACCATCTATTTCTTTGGTATCACCCAATGGGCGCCGCAGGCGTAGCCCCCATCATAGCACTACTCCAATCATCCTGCGGCATCCCATATTTCCCAATCCCCTTCCCCCTCCGTCTTTGCACCTCAAGCGCAACCTCATTTGCCTGCTTCAGCATATCCTCACTACTGCTCTTCCCCGGCACGAAAACCAATCCCAGATCCGGCGCCGGGTTCCCTGTACCTACAAAGTTCCCTTCTGCGTCTTTGGCGTAGTGCGCGTTGTAGTAGGATCGCTTCATTTGGCGGATGATGATGGATTGCCGTACTTCGCCTTGTTTGCGAGAGAAAGGGTTGTAGTTGTGAAGGGAAAAGGCGACGGTCCGGGTGATCATGGGGACAGGGATCGTTTCGTCGGGGTCGCCTTCGGAGAGGGTGGTTAGGGCGCGGGCGACGGCTGTGTAGTCTGGTGGGGAGTCTGATGTTGAAGGGTAGGTTGGTGGGGTGTCGATGGAGGAGGATGCTGGGGCGTAGAAGTCGTTTGTTTTGGCGGTTGTGTCTGCCATGGTTGTGATTATTGTTGTTGTAGGTGGTATAGAGGTCGTGGAGTTGTGTATTGTGTGTTTTCTTGGAGAGATTTAGGCTTATGGGTGTAGGTGCAATGAGTATGTCAGCTATGACTTCACCAAGCAATAGCGTCACACGCCTTTATACATCCTATGCAGTCATCAATACCCCCAATCCATCCCCACGATCTTCTTCACTGCCCCAACTAACCACCTCACACCTCACATGGCTGAGCAACCGAATACGAGATGCTACCTACATAGCCCCCCGCCACAGCCGGCTGTGGCTAGCTTCCAGCTAATTGAGCTCGTGCGAAGCTTGACAACAGACCATTAGGACATGATAAGAATTCCAACCCAGTCAAGAACGCTGGATAAACACCCGAGACATGCAGCAGAGTCACCAAACAGGTAAACCATCCCACTGCTCAGCCTATCGCAGTGCCTCGGTGGCGAGTGCGTCAACGCGGGGTGGCTGAAAGAAGATTAGCGTAAGGACCCTTTTTGCAGATCGAATGATGTCATCTTGGAAAGTTTCGACACGGCTTCCAGGGTTTGTGGCTTTGAGTGCTTGGGTCGAATGGTATGTTGCTTATCTGGCTTTTGAGCGGGCTTGGACTTTTAGCTTGACGTGGAGCGAAGTCATACTCTATGTCGCGCTTGGAAGCTAAACATAGGTGTAGGGCGTTCGATGTCAACATCCAGGGTTATCGCGGCGACGATCAGACAATGCAGACCGAATGAGCGTCATGCTGGAGGGTTGAATCTTTTGCGACCGGTGAGAGTGATTCACGGAGCTGTGTTTCTGGAACGGATGGCTGTTTTTTCCATCGATCGTGGAATCAGCTATAGTTCCACGCATACTGCACCACCGTTCTTGAGAGATGACTTGAGTTCAATCGTAATTCATTTCATATATTCATAGCATCGCTAGTGTTCCGCGATGACATACACACATCTCATTTAACAGTCGATATGCTTTTCCCCATCACACCTGACATGCTCAGTGCACGTATTCCTCCTCATCAACATCCTTCCCGCCCTTCTCGAGCATATGCTCAGGAAGAGGACTAGTGAACGGCTTGCGGCTCTCCCTCACAATAGCCGGAATACTCGTGCCCTCTGTGAACATCATCTCCAGCTCCTCCAGACTGCGACCCATGGTCTCAGGGTACCCGAAGTAAACGACAGGCAGAATGATAGCGGAGATGATGAGGAAGACGAGGTAGTATTGCCAGCCGATGGTTTCGATAGCGACGGGTGTGACCATGTTGACGACGAAGTTCCAGAGCCAGTGGTTCTATTAGGTTTGTTAGTTTGTGTTCTTATACTGGAAGAGATGATGAAACTTACGGCAGTGGAAATACCCGCCATTGGCACACGCAGCCTCGTTGGTGCAACTTCCGTGCAGTACAAAAAGTTCGCTCCGAGGAAACCAATCGGAATGAAGAAGTTGAAGAGGAACACAAAGAGCGCGCTAGCAATCTGTGCGGACTGGTTTGTCTTGGGGAAGCTGGATGCGACGGCTAGAGCCAACATGCAGGATGCCATGCCCGCGCCGCTGAACATGAAGAGCTTGCGGCGCCCGAAGCGGTCGATGGTGAAGAAGGCGACGAAGCAGGAGAGGAACTTCCAGGTTAGCGCGCCGCCAGAGAGGATGCGAGAGGTTTCTGAGTCAAGGCCAAGACCTTGTTGGAAGATAATCTGTTGATCTTCGTTAGAACTGGATTTTATAGCCAGGGGGGCGTGGACTTACGGTTGAGTAGGTGGAAATGAGGTTGCTACCGCACATCTGCTGCAGGAACTGGAGGAAGATGCACAGCGAGAAGCGGTAGAAAAGCTTGTCCTTGCCCATAGTAAAGATATCGCTCATCTTCGCTGCGCTGCGACCAGTCTCCTCAAGCGCAAGTTCGATGCCGCTGATCTCAGCTGTGATCTCGGGGTCGTGCAAATCCAAGCCCTTGAAGCTAGACAGACTGAGACGAGCCTCCTCCACGCGCCCCTTGTTGACCAGCCAGCGAGGTGATTCAGGGATGCTGAACACAGCGGCCATAGGGATGAGAGAGATAACGGTGGGAATGGCAAGGGGAATACGCCATTGCAGAGGCAGGTTGTCCTGTTCGAAGAATCCAAGGTTGATCCATGCTTCGAGGAGGTAGCCGAGAGAAATAAAGCAGCCGTCGAGCACAACGTGCTTACCACGATTGGCAGACGATGAGCATTCGGATTGCCAAACCGGGACGGTAGCGCTGAGAGCTCCGACTCCCCATCCCAGGATGAAGCGACCGACGACGAATTGCGCAAGCTGGAAGCTAGTGCATTGTAGGATCTCGCCGACGAGAGTCAGGAATGCGGCACCGAAGATGAGCTTTCGTCGTCCGAGGATGTCGCCAATCCATGAGCAAGACAGAGCGCCGAAGAGAGCACCGATGGTGAAAGTAGCGACAACGGCACCTTGCTTGGTCGAGTTGCTGCTCTTCTCTGCGCCGGTAGCATCAATAGTGTCAATCTCCGGGAAGTGGTCGTTCCAGTCACGGAGAGACAACAGTCCACCCACACCAGACTGGTTGTATCCGAACAGCACAAAGGCTGGCAGAACGACGAGCAACAGCTGTGCCGTCTGGAGAGTCTTTCCGCTGAGTCCCATGGTGAAGATTGACGAAGGGAGGAAGATTCAGAAGGGAGAAGAGGGGACTACAGAAGGAGACGGGATGGACAGCAGCTCAGTACTTGTACTCCAGAAGCGCACCCCACAATATCCTGCAATGTGGGCACACTACCATGGAGACAAACTCCAGTCAGTGCATTATTGAGCGGCCTTAGTGCTCCGCCTTTTGGGGTTAACCACCCTGACCCGGAGATACAAAGATAGTCAGCGAGCGACCTGCACCGGATGCCTCGAATTAGCACCGACCCCATACGCCGCAACACTAGCAGGTAACCCTCCACAAAACGGCCTCGATTTTCTTGACCGGTCTGCAGTCCGTGCTTGCGGGAATTGACTCGCAGCATGACCACAAAGCAGGACGCGTCTGCGTCCGCGGCCATAGTTCGGCGTCGCTCGCCTCAAAGCGAGCGGCTGGGGAGGAAAAATCCTTACGCCCTTGCCGCAGCGCTATCGTGACGGTTGAGGCTTCATGTGGGCCGAATTTGTACTGAGGCTCTGCGGCAGGATTTAAGCTTTTCCAAGAAGACGTTAGGTGCTTAAAAACCTTGATTCGCGGGCGTTATGGTTGGTCGGCGCGGCGGCCTCGGTAGTTATTTTATCCCCACCATCGCCGTGCGCGCTCCGTAAGGTCGGAAGATGGCAGCTCGGGCGAGAGACGCAAGGTGTTCAACGTGCGCTGGGTGGTGCGCCGGCCCAGATTTGATGATGAAACGACAGGTGGTAAACCAGGGAATCTGCCTGATTGCTCCACACCGTGGGGTCGGCTAGAAGAGAGCAAGAAACCGCCGGTTAGTTTGAAAGTATGTACCTGCGCATGCGGCGAGATAAGACTTTGCGCGAGACGATAGTGTAGCTTGTTATTGCTTGGCCAGACCTCAGTCGATGTCTGACCTGCTGATAGCTTTGCATGAATGCTCAAACTCTAGTACTGCTTGGTGCTCTTGCTAACTCTCATAAGCTGTGAAAGCCCGTCAACAGCTTCGGCTCTCTGCGTCTCCGTTTCGGTGTCCGCACTCAAGCTCGTTCCTTCAGGCCCCGCCCCACTTCGTCCCTCCGACAGTTCCGAGTCAGCGTCTGGGGTTTTACCAGCCTCCGACCTGCCATGTCGGTCTTTGACAGTATCGGCTGTCTGCTCGGGTGTCGCTCGTCCGATCTCCGCCAGATTGGTCGGTATGATGCCATACTCAAAGCGATCGATGACAGCTCGCTCCACTACGATTCGCGGTTCCTCTACACTATCTTTGTAATCTTTCAATAGCGCGACTGCCCTCTCGTCGCCCTTCAGGACACACCTGTGGATCAACGTCTCCCACGTCTTCCTCCTAGGCTTCAAGGGGCCCTTTCTACCAGCTGTCGCACCCGTTGACCTCATCTCCTCATAGTATAGCAGAGCATCTTCCAGATCGCCTGATTCTAGACACACCAGGATCAGACGATCATACGTAATGCGGTCAGGTTTGAGACCCAGCTTGACCATCTCGTTCGCAAAGAACATGGCAAGCTCTTTGCGAGCGGACCTATGGCAGCCTTGGAACAGGATATTGAATGTTTCTGTGTTGGGACCAGCATGAGATACCGTGTGCAGGGCTTTGTAAACCTCTATGCCTTCTTCCAGGCGCTTGTTTGCGATGCTGGCTTTGATGCATGCGTTGACGGCAGCGGTGGGAACTTTACGGCCGGAAGTCTCAAAGTCTTGCAGATATCTGAAGGCTTGCATCGGTCTGCTATCATCGTCATGACTTTTTGCGGATAGATACCAGTAGAGAGGATCACAGGTCCCAGAGTTGACCTTCAAGTTGGAATCAACCATGATGAGGATGACAGAGAGAGCTGCTTGAAGATCGTTGGCGTTGAGGTACGCAGATATGAGCAGTTCATAGTGTTGCGAGGTGAACGTCGTACCCCGTTCGGTCAGCACGCGAAAGACATCGGTAGCGAGCTGGATGTCTCCGTGTCGTGAGGCGAGAGTGAGTACGTGCATGCAAGCACCAGTGCCAGGCTTCAGGTAGCCCGGCTGAACTTGCGCTGTCCATACAAGGCTCGTCTCTGCGAACTTCACGGTGTTAGCAACTTGGCTTAGAATGTGCATGACGCAGGTCCCACTTACAAGCTGCTTGTGCGCCGCGGCATCTAGCAACGCTCCCCAGAGAGCGATACTGAGCTGGACGGTACCTGTTCCACTACTCTTGCTGCGCACGCCCTCCTTAAGACTGAGCACGTAGAATGCTTCCTCGACTTCGCCAAACTCCAGCAACATCCATATAGCCTTGTCAAACAGCCAGCTCCCCACGCGTGCTTTGTTCCTGACCATCTCCTCCAGTAATTCGAGCGCGTGTTCAAAATGTCGCTCGCGGAGCAGTCCGGCTACGATGAAGTTGCGCGCACGGTCGGAAGGCATGAACCATCGCGACTTCATGTATTCGAGGATGTCGGTGCGGAGGAGGTAGTCCGGGTGCACTGCAAGCACCTCAAGCACGCATTCACAGCCCCGCGCATCCAACAAGATTCTTGGCTTTCCGGTCAGAGATGCATCGGTCTCGTCCCAGAAGCCCATCTCTTCCAGCACCTTGCGGACCTTCCCTGCCGTGCCATTGACAGAGTCGACGAAGCTGTGTAATACGGCCGTGTACATCTCCCGGTTCGGCAGCTCCCCTCGGTCTTTGATCAACACCCTGCAAATTTTCATGACTTCTTCGAAGTTGCCCTTGGCGCCCTCGGCCCGCACATGTTCGTATAGGATGTAGGTCGGGAGCTGCGCGAGTGGAGGCCTATCTCGTGAAGTGTGCGAAGGGAGAGCGCGAGGCTTTTCTGCAAAAGAGCGGAAGCCGTTCAGGGCAGCTCCGGGCTGCGAGAAGAAAGTGTCGTTTGCTGCGGAGGGTGCGCTGGAGCCGTTGTAGGTACGCAGTTGACGGCCGCAGTGCGTTGTGGCATCTTTTTGCGGTGCATTGCGCTGTGGCAGCCTGGCTCCTCCTCTTGCAATGGAAGGTATCGTTCCAGCATTAGACGAAAATCCCGGACACAGGCATCGCCACAGGCCGTCGTTCACGAAAGGGCGGGGTGGCATTGGCGTGGGTGATGTGCATTGCCAAAGTTTCAATGCGCGCAGCGTAACATGTTGCGTCCGTGCGCGCGCCTCGGTTCGACCTGTCTATTCGCGATTTGCACGTCACCGTAAACGGAATATGGGTAGAGCTTAGTTTGTAATTATATGCACATGTGCACTTTCCAGATGCTTTTCCTATCCCGTACCAAGCCGCGAAAAGGGTATATGCGCCCAAATACCAACACGTCTCATGCAAAGTCCATGCCCCTTCCGTACCGTATTATATCGAAACAGCGTCAGGCGTAGCGTTTCTTCCCATCCCTAAATACCTAAAGTCCGTCGTAATCCGCGCAAACAGGTGCTCACCTCCTCACCACTTGCTCTGAAAGAAGTTCAAGTACCTGCAGCTGTCAGTCATTGTTCCTGTAAGAAGAGAAGCATCACATACCTTTGGCGATATTACTTCCTGGTTTACCAAGTGCTTGCTCATGATCTTGACAACCTCCATTTGCTCCTCGTAGGTGAGTCCAGTGATGGCTGCTTCAATCACTCCACCAACTGTGGTGTGGTGCACGGCGATGAAGCTCGAGTAGTAGAAGAAAGCAATGGAGCCCATGATGAATTGGCAGTCCATACGGTCAGTCATTCCGCCGTGGCCGGGGATAGAGTCGCCAAAGTCCTTGATCTTGAAGGTGCGCTTCAGGCCAGAAGCGAAGAAGCCACCGAAAGGCGCGATGAGAGAAGCAAAGGTTCCGAGCATGATGACGTGGAATTGCACTGGCATGATGTTGAAGGTTCGCGGAATGGGGAGACCTTCGGGGAGGAAGGGGACGGTGTAGTTGCGCGCGATGAAAACCGGGTTCGGTCGGCATTCGAGGCCAGACCAGATGTTTGCTCCCAGATCGTTAACAGGGCAGATGAAGTACTTGTAATCGCCGAGGAAGTGAACAACGAGGATGCCCCAGAGAACAGTGAAGAACCAGGCGCCGAGAAAGCCCTCCCATGTCTTCTTGGGTGAAATCTGAATGAGGGGTGTACGTCCAAAAGTGATACCGCAGAGGTAGGCAAAGATGTCGTTGGTAATGACCATGGACACAGGGAGGATGAACCAGATGAATCCTTCGAAGATGTTGTTAATGACAAAGTGCGCCTGTCCGACAATGAGGAAAAGGGCCATGTGCGTCCAAGCAAACTGGGTGAACTGGAACTTGTAGTGGCCCTTCTGGAGCGAGAAGACGAAAAAGACGAAGCCTGCAAAAATTAGTTTGGGCATGAGTTGTGGGAGCTGGCAACATACCGATAATGTACAACATGAAGGAGATGAACCTGTGGTGGGTAGCCAGGGGAAGCAGTAGACGGTCGACCATCAGAACGTGCTTGAAGTAGTATATGACGCTCTCGCCGTAGAGGAAGTACATGGCGGTACCGAGGAAGTACCAGTTCAGCGACTTGGTGAAGCGCAGGCTGCGGGCCTTGCTGGGCACATTTGCGATTGCGATGACCTCCTTAAAGGATATGACCTGGACCGCCGTGACGATGATGATTATGAAGAGATGGCCCGCGCCGAGGGCCCAGAAGAAGCCGGCAATCATGACGAGAGTCCATGTGGTGCGCGTTATGAAGTTGGCCTTCTTCTTCTCGTACTCGGTCTGGGGGGGCTGTTCGGTGGCCTGGCGCTGTCAGCTTGGGAGACGTGGGCAGAGGACTGCCAACGTACGGGAGGGACCGCTTCTTCTTTGATGGTAGGGCTACCTGGGTCACTGTACTCGGACATGCTCTGCGAGGGTCTCCGCGCTCTGCCGTTGCTGGCGCTGCGGACCTGGTGGTTGAACTTGACGTCCTTTCTCGGGCGCGCCATGGTGAAGGAGGAGAGGGCGGTTGCGCCTGGTAGCCGAGGACGGTATAGGGGCAGCCGGGGGGAGGCCGGAGGGCAAGGCGCGATGGGTGAAGGCGGGGTGGGTGAAGGAGGTGGTGTTGGCGGCAGGCTCGACTGGGCCAAGTAGTGAAATTGACGGACAAGTAACCACGGCCAGCTTGCGTCATGGCACCGCCGCTTAGCTTAGCGACCCTGCAGCCTGCATGTGAATTTCCCTAGCACCCAAACACGCCAACACGCCAACAACGCGTCCATGCGCCCCGCATCGCGACCGCTTTGGGACATGCTCATGCGCAGACCCGCTGGCAGATGGACCGACAATGGCTGACGACGACTTTGACGACTTCTCCGACGACGACCTCGACGACCTCCCCGCCGACGCCCTGCAGAATCTCGAGGCGAGCGCAATCCGTGCGACACAGCACCAGCCCGACACCGAGCCAGAGTCCGACTACGGCCCCGATGATGGCGACGAGGTAGTCAATTTGAACGACGCGGCCAGTCCGCCGCCTCTATACGCGCTGGAGGAGGAGGATGGCTATGATAGTCACATCGATGACAACATTAACCAAGTTATCGAAGAGCAGCTTTACCATGACCAGATGGAAGTGGAGGAGCAGCCGCGCAGGTCTCAGGCTGACCCCAATGCCCTGCTTCAACGCATCAAGAAGGTGCGACACGTCTACCTCAGTCCGTAGGCGCCCCGCTGATCATCGCAGTTAGAGCAAGACAAGGCGCGCGAGAAGAGAGAGGCCGAGGAGCTGAAGGGCAAGCTACAGACCAAGGCGGGCGAGGCCGATACCCTTCGCAGACGCTACGATGCCGAAAGTCGCAAACACGAGCGCCAGCTGGCGGACCAGCAGCAGTCGCACAGCACCGAACTGGCCAAGCTGCGTGCCGAGATGGAGAAGTTGCGGCGGGAGAAGGAGTCGGTGCAGACGGACAACATGTTCAATCAGCACGAGGCCCGGGAGGCTGTCATAGCGCGACGGCCTGGAAGAACCATGCCCTCACGACCAAAGTCAGGTGCGCAGGCAAACAGTCCGGCTGGAACACCTAAGAGGGGGCAGAAGACGAGAGGCCCACTGGGCGATGGTTTTGACGACGACGACGTTGTCATGGCATCACCGTCAAAGTACCGCGAGAGGCAGAAGACGGCGACGCCAAAGCAAGCCGGCAAGAGGAAGCGGCAGGCTATCGACCAGAGCCCCATACCGCTGCCTGCGCTGCAGCTGAGCGAACCGCGAACTCGGCCAAGAGAGACAGAGCCAGCACCAGCCGTAGGACCTGTCATAGACGCTGCACTGCTCGAGCATTTTCGACGCGACGACCGTCGATTCACTCTGCTACACCGCCTGCTGTCACATCCATCATCAAATGGCACCGATCGCGTCCTCGAAGCACTTACGTCGCATGCATTCCCGTCAAAGCCATCCAAGAAATTATCTTCGATCGTGTATGATGCCCTGGCGAAGATCAATACGTCCGATGTGCACGAGCTAGCACTACAGATATGTCACATCTTCCTCGACCTGTGGAAGCGGTGTCAGTCCGAGAAGTACTACGCTCCGACATCTCTGATACTCGATGCACTGCACTTCATCCTCGCATGTGAGCCAATCGAGACCGCCGTCAAGATTACCGAGCGCGTAGTACCGCTCGTAATCGCCTTTGTTGATCTCGTGGCGGACCCTATTTCTAAAGCAGCCAAAGGGGGTGAGAAGGCAGTTGCGGATCTCTACTCCCCGAAGCAGCGAGATATTGCGTCTCACATCGATGTTGAAGACTGCCTTGAGTTGCTGTATCTGATCGCGAGCAGCTGCGTGTCGTCGGTAGACTCCACCGCAGTCGTTCGTCTATGGCAAGCGATCCCTTCGACCTTCGCCATCATGCTTCTTGTCAAAGAACAACCACATCCCCAAATTACGCTCATGTTGCGCATACTCGGCACCTCGGCACTTCCCACCTCAATAGGACCCATAACGACCGCAGATACCGCCCAAGACAACCAAGCAAGCAACGAAGACGGTCTCATCAATCGCCTCACTAACCTCTTCACCGAGATACCCAAGCCCGTCTCAGATCCCTCAGCATCCCCCAGCGCGACTGCAGCCATCGCCGAAGCGGACCTCTGGGATCTCCGCCTGCTCGTCATCTCGGTCCTGACCCAGTTCTCTATCCCAGAATACGGCTCCAGTCGTCTAGCCCAGAACGGCCTCTGCATTGGCCGACTGATCAAGTACCTCGATCACTGCGTGACGAGTCTGTATCGGCATCCCATCTCACCAACTCAAGACCGAAAGGTTGATTCCATCAACGCCACTATGAAGCTCATATACCACGTCGCTACGACGAATGCCGATTTCGACATCAAGAGCAAGTTGGTGAATACGCTAGGTGGCCATCATGCCTATCTCGTTGCACTGACGCGATTGGCTTTCAGTGAGGGCTTAGTGCTAGAAGCGGGGATTGAGGATGAGGTCGTTAACATGGCGCACGACATTTTAGACGAGGGACTGAGTATGGAAGAGGGAGATGCTTTTGGGAAGGTGTTCAGCAGTGGAAGCACTGTCTAGACGCGTAAGGTTGCTATTTCCGGGAATTGCTTCGAAGAAGACACGGATAAGCATCTTGTATAAGCACTAGTCCAGCTCGCATTGCTATGCATTGCTATGCATCGCTATAGCTTGAGATGATATTGCATTAGTCGGCGTTAGATATATCAACCAGCATCTATCTGCACACACCCGCGATTAACCATGATCACCTCCCTCTACAATAACCTCCGTATCCAAGCCATCACCTTCTCCAAAACCTCCTCCCCACACTCATCATTCAACAACTCATGCCTACCCCCTTCAACCACCTTGAATACCTTCTCCCTACTCATTATCCCATCTACAAACCCCTCGCTCCCCCTCCAATCACAATACGCATCCTCATCCCCATGCACCACCAATGTCGGCACCGTCCACTCCCCCATCTTGGCCCTGACACCGTCCGCAACATCCACAGCCGTCGCAGCCGTTAAGAAGCAAATCGATTTCTTGGAATACAGCGGATCAGCGAGGTATTTCTCGATTTCGGATTTACGGCGTGTGAGGTTTGAGATGGGTACCGCGCGGCTAGGGATGGAGATTGTCGGCATTGCGCGCGCAGCTACACCGACGGCTACTCGAGCGGCGTAGGGGAAAGGACCGGGGAATGCGGGACTGGTCAAGATCACACCTGCAATGTGTTCGTCGTTTTCTGTTACGCTGCCTGCGGTTATTAATCCGCCGAGCGAATGCCCAAACAACACAACCGGCCTCCCGTTGCCTTGTTCAACAGCATACCGTCGTAGCGCGAGATGATCCGCTACGGCTTTTCCTACGTGGACGACGGCGCGAGGAGTACCGGTGGAGGCGCCGTGACCGTGCAGGTCGAGGGCGTAGACGGTGTAGCTGGCAGCGAGGAGATGGGTGATTAGGGAGGAGTGGGAGGTTAGGTACCGGTGGGAGTATTCTGCGTAGCCGTGTTGGAGGATGATGGTAGCGACGGAGAATTGGGTGAGCGTCCAGATGTGGGCGATTGTGCCGGATGGGAGGGTGTGGGTTTTGTGGTTTAGTCCGAGGTTTGGGTTGGGTGTTGGGGTCGTGGGTATGGGTGGTGGTGGTTGTGATGGTTTTTTGCGGTAGAGGGATGGGACATTCAGCATGTTGAGAGTTGAAACCGATAGAAGATATTCATGAGTACTACCACTATCTTCCAAGCCCGTTGTATGAGCTCACTGGTGTGGTTCGGTCGCTGAGGCTCTCAGTCGTCTTGGACTTGCGTGTTCAGCATTGACGACGTGGCGGAGGCCGACACCTCGGAAGCTTATGAGCTCACGATGGACCGCAACTTTAGCACCTAGCGCATTCGTAGAGACGTATCGGCTTTTGAAATTGCGGTTCGAAATATGGGATGCCAAAAGGTTAGCGCTGTTGTTCACTAAGACACTGAGGTGGATGAGATTAGCTGCGCTACGAGGAAAGGACATGCCATCGTCCTTCGATATCGGAAGATATGGTCCTCCTAGTACGACCTAGTCGTCCTTCGGAAAACAATGTTTTTCTTTGGTCGCAGATAGGATGGCGTGTTGAAGTAAGGAAGTCCATACCTTGCGGCTCGCCTGGGCACGTGGGGAGGGGCGCGAAGACAGTTTTGGGCCTAATCTGCGGGGGCGTACCTGCCACCTCCTCGCCGCTGCATCTCTATCTCATCGCATGATCATTCAAGACATGCAAATCGTCCGCATCTTACATGTGACTTCGATATCAAAATAGATGGACACACCGGTTTTTTTCCCGCGGTTTGTCGTGCTCCGCTTTGCGTCGCCAACAGCGATCACAGAAGGGCGCCACAGCGAGCTGTGATAGGGGTCTGGGCGACCTTTCTGCATGACTGTATAAGACCTAGCGAACACAGGTATGTAAAGGGCGGTCTGAGCTCTCGAACTCAGCTCTCGGCCTCAGCTCTCGACTTTCCAAATCCCTCGTTGCGACTCAACCCAATCTCATGTTCGCATCACTCATGGACTACATACGAAGAGACCCAAAGTCGCACGCCGAAGTCTCCACTGGTGAAATCTAGGAAATCGACACGTTACAGGATATCTTCCAGCCAATCCCTGGTCTTAGCGGCGCACAATGTCTTCCGGTCAACCTCAGGATATGGATATCATCCCACGGTCCTACGATGACCCAGAATTGACGCAGAGACGACGAGCCGATCACACCTCCAGTAATTCATACGACTCATACGCAAAGAGATACTTGAGAAGTATTGCAACTCCAAGAACCTCTGATATCGATATCTCCAATCCATTGGATATCTTCGATCTGATCGACCATAACGTCAAGCGTTACACTCACAAACCGCTGCAGACGCGTGATTCAATTCGCGTCCTCGAACTTCTAGCAGGAACGTCCGGCTCAACCTTATCGTGTCGAATATTCGAGATACGCCGAATGGATTCCGATGTTCAATTTGAGGCCATCTCGTACGTTTGGGGCAGCCCCTTTCCCGAATGCTATCTTTACGATGTAGAAAGCAGGACCGCCGTAACTATCACGGAGAACCTAAGTTTGGCGCTTCAGGCGCTACGCTATCCAGATCGGAGCCGGGTCCTCTGGGCGGACGCTGTCTGCATCAACCAGTCGGATAACAATGAAAAAAGTCACCAAGTCGAGAAAATGGGCTTAGTTTATGCTGCAGCGAGCATGGTCATCGTCTGGCTGGGCAACAAGGAACTTCGCGAAGCTTTCGAGCACGTGAAGTCGCTTGAAGAATCACCAAATGACATTGTCTCGATTGCGCACCGTGAACCCATCAGTCTGGTAGACAGCGCCGTCACTGCAATCCTTAGTATCGTCGGAACGGAGTGGTTCACCAGATTATGGATCATACAAGAGTTCGTTCTCGCCAGAGACGTACAATTTCATGCTGGAGGTCAACATATCGATTGCAAAACATTCGAAAGGGCAATGGCGCTTCGTAAGTCACACTTTTTCCATCTAGAGACAGACGGTAGCGTGGACAAGAACTTGAGCGACAGAATCATTCAGGATCACGGCCTAGCTGAAAATCTTATCGGGATGCGTACGAAGTGGCACAATCAATCATGTACCTCTTCATCACAGGCGTCGTTGTACGACTGGTGTTGCTGGGTCAATCAGCACCCTCCCAAGTTCACCGACAAGCGGGACCTGATATACGCCTGCCTCGGACTGGCTAGTACACAAACTAGGATCGTACCCAACTACAATCTTAGTCTCACAGGGGTCTTTCTAGCCTTCACGTGGTCAGTGCTCAAGGATGGAAATATGCAGATACTGCGCGACGCTGTGTTTCTACAACAATCTAACCATCGTCCTTCATTTCTTTTTTACTCAAGCTTCAGGTCTTCTTACCAAAAGACACGCGTCGGATCCCAGAATGCAGGCAAAGCACGAGATGCTCATGCGGAAGAAGTTAAACCCGCATCTGTACGTATTCGTGGGGTAGTTGTAGATCGTGTTAGCAGATGTTGGGACCTTCACTCCGTAATTTCAAGAAGTATGATATATCGGAGAGGAGTGGAACGCAGCAGGTCTGGCCGAGTTCCAGAACATCAGTGGGGAAAGACACAGTGGTGGGACACACCTGGCTGTGTCCATAACAATCCGTTGGACTCATGGGAAGAACGCGTTGAAGACATGCCATCGGCATTCGAGAGCATCGAGGACAACTATTCACCCTCTCAACAAGTTTGGGCTCATGAAGACTGTTTCGAAGATCCGGCTAGCCTTCCCAGGAGTGCTGGCGCTGATAGCCCAGATGAGATTGGGAGCACAAATTTAGTGGAAGTCTATCGGGTTATCCAAGCAGACGCCGGAAAGCTTCTCAACGAAGAATCCACAAGGGAAGACTTAAACCAGGAAGAGGTTCGAAGCAGATTCTGGCGAACTATTACTTCGCACAAGGACATCACCCCACCAACTGTGCCAAATGATTTCGGCCATGTACCATTCTGGGAAAATATCAACGAGTTTCACTATCCTCGGTTTTTCACCACCTCCAAAGGTTACATGGGCAAGGCGCTTATAGCGGCTCATGGTGATGTGGTAGTCATCTTCGACGGGAGTGACGTGCCATTCGTGATAAGAAAGATGCGCCGCGACGATAGTGCATGGTTACCGTTGGTCGAAGAATGCTACGATGAGATAGGGCAGTGGAAGCTGGTCGGAGAATGTCATGTAGATGGTTGGATGGACGGCAGCTACTACGGTCATGAAGTGGTGGACGTTGTTGATCAAGATTTCGCGATGGCAGACGGGAAGCCTGACATTGACTTCTCGCACAGCAAGAAAACACTGCTCAGCAAGTATTTTGTACTGTGCTGAATATAACGAGGAGTTTCGTTCAAGATAAGAGCTTTGAAGTGCGAGGTATTGTTCAGGGTCACATAGACATCTGTACGAACACATGCTCTCATGTATTCGCAAGGTTAGCATTGGTGTCTTTCTCGAAGCGAGCCAATGCAATTTCTTTGCACAGAGTCTATTGCAGCTTGCTTTCAATGTGCCCAACCAAACACGCCATCATATTGAGGCTTGTACTTCCGCGGAACATCCTGTACGTCGGTAAGGATCACGGTCCGCGGCAAAGCCGTGCTGTTCCCCACTATGCGTGCGACACAGCATTTCCCTTCACCTTCACATCCCACCACCCGTTGACTGTAATCATTGAACATGCAGTGCACGGCGTCGTGCATGTGCGTGTGGCTTGGTTGTTCGTCATCACGTTTGCTTGGTTTGGCCTTTACCCCGCTCGGGTTATAAAATAACATGTCTGCTCTCACTCACTCTTTACAATTCAGATCACAATCAAGTCCCCGACATCGATATCAGATGATTGCCTCTAAAAACAGTAATATAGTCGCTACCGGCTCGCCTACGGGCTCTGCGGTAGATGAGCGCTATGATGCGTTCGATGGAGCACGAGATCGCGAGCGCTTATCGTGGAAGAAGCAGGCGATCGTCGATCTCAAGCCTTCACTACATCGCGATACGTATGGATATACTGCGCATATGTTATGATAGACGTACTGACTGCATACAGGTACATTGGAGCCCTTTTGTTCAACATCTGCGCCTTCATTTTGCCAGCTCTCTATAGCACCTTGTCGAAGCTATGGGTTGCCAATATCGATTCGTCCATGGTAGTCACCACAGATACATATACGTACATCGGTGTGGTTGCAGAAGTCTTGAACGAAGGTCTTCCGCGCGCTTCTTACCTCGTCATCGGCGACAAGTCCAGTCGTGGCTTCCGTGAGCGCTTGCAGCTCACCCACACTCTCATCCTCTTCCAATCCCTCCTCGGACTCATCATGAGTATCGGGTTCGTCGCAGGCGCCTCTACCTTCGCGCAGGGCTTTGTTCCGGTTGAAGTGAGAGATGTGAGCGTCACGTACATTCGCATCTCTGCGTTCTCTGCGTTCGCTTCAGCAGTGGAGTACGCGATTTCAACGTCGACCCGCGCGCTGGACAAACCCGACGTCCCGCTCATCATCAGTTCCGTCAAATTCGCTATCAATATCATTCTCGACTTGATCATCATCTCTAAATTCCACGTCGGCAGCATCACACCTACGGTGAACATGCAGGCCGGTATCTCGCTTGCTTGCAACCTCACTTCTGCTTTTGCGGGACTGGCGTACTTTGTTTACACAACGAGTGTCAGCTCCAAGTCGCCGGTTCATAGCGACACATCCAGCCACGGTACAGCCCCATCATTACCAGCTCTTGTCACACTAGCCAGGCCAGGTGCGATCTTCTTCTCAGAATCCGCCATCCGCAACGCACTATACCTTTGGTTAGTCCATGGTATCGTCGGGCTAGGTAGCGACTATGCAACTGCCTGGGGCGTCTTCTCAACTATCCGATGGGGGCTGATAATGGTACCTGTCATGGCACTCGAGGCGACCACACTGACCTTCGTGGGGCACTCATGGGGAGCGCTGCGTGCGACCATCGTGAGCATCTCACAGGCCGCAAAGCTACAAATTACGCGTCGGCAATTATGGGGCGTTGTTCGCTGGGCAGTTTACTCCGTCATTGTTGTCTTGGTGGTGGAGATCCCGCTTTGTCTCATCATGTCCTTCGCCGGTGCTGAGCCTTTCGCACGATACCTCTCGGGCTCTGAAGAGGTCTCACATATAGCCGCACGTATGTGGCGTACCATCGACTGGTGCTACATCATGTATGGTGTGTCGACACAACTAGCTGCGATCCTGGTAGCGACGCGCCCAACGTGGTATCTCTACCAGTCTCTCGCCTCGAACATCCTCTATGTCTTACCATGGGCGATTGCATGTCAAGTGGTTGACCTGAACGCTGGAGACGCTTGGACATATCACAGCTTGGTGTTTGGCGGAAGTCTGGTTTTCTCGTTCTTCACGGTCATTGTAGTTGACGCAGCTTGGGGATTCAGGCTAATGAAAGGAAAGATGAATGCGAACAGGGCGTAGTTACGGAGAGAACGTATGACATCGAAATCGGATAGAGGATAGATGATAAAACGATGCGATTATACATGTTTCCACATGCATCAATGTATTTTTCTCATCAAAGTTGGAGCCCCATCAGTCTCCTCTTAAATGTCTTTACATCAACTTTTGTTCAGCCCTTCCATACTGCCGGCTTCGGCTCCTTGTATAGGCTCAAATCGTCCGGCGTCGGGAACCAGATACTTGGGTCATCTTCAGCGTACGCATTCGGGAATCTGACCATCGGCCCTGGAATTCCATTGCCGCCTCCAACAATCTCCACATGCGCACAGTTTACGAACCATTGACTCTGTCCAAGAGTCATGGACGGCATGAAGTGCTCAATGCGCAAGAGGTATTTGCCGGAGGGCGTGGCAGCGGGGATAGTGAAGTCGATAGAGAGCGCATCCATAGTCGACCACGTCGTCCTGTTCGCCGGTCCTGCGTATGCGATCTTGAAGAAATCCCCCTTCCCGTCATAATCCATCAGACTCTCTGTTCTATCCGGCAGCTTGGAGAGAAACACTTGCCCAGGCCCTTCGTGGAAGATGTATCCTTGGACATCACCTTCGTAGTAAGGCCCAGACACCATGAGTCCAACCTCGCTTCCAGCTACGATTGTGGCTGTCTGTATAGTATCGGCATTGTGGACGGGGAAGGAGCCGCGGCCGCATGTGACGTTTGCGTTTTCCGGCCCGTAGATGGGAAAGGTCTTGAGCCAGAGGTCGTCGTAGGTACCGGCGTTGCCGGAGACGTCGCGGACGTATTGGAACTCTTGAGAGATGGTGTTATTTACTAGGAGGCGGTTGAATACATCTGAAAAAATCGTTAGCAACTATTTCCGAGTACGGAGGTGAAAGTACGAACAATGGGCACTGGCCCTCTGTGCAAGCGCCGTTACTAGCCACGGAAGGATGACGGACTTCATGACTGCTACTGCTTTCCGATTAACAACTCTGCTGAAACTCAGCCATCTCAGCCTGTCTTATACCATCGCTCACTGTGAGCCCGGCCATCACCGATCCTGCTTCGACAAAGGCTCCGCTGGGAGCACGACGCTCGGGATTAGTTCTCATGACCATGCTAATACATGCGCAAATCCTTCTTGCTGATGGTGCAGCTGCCAGCTGCCAATGGAAACAGTTCGGTTGCTTCCGATAGTACTTGCTCCCGATGTGGTAGTTTTTAGATGAACTCCAGATTGCCGGCTGTGCCATGTCGACCCAAGCCCAAGCGGGGTAGGCGGCATCTTTAGAGTGTCGATATGGTGACCATGAGTGGTACAATCCATACTGGATATGTTTCAGTCCGGGTAACAAGATGTGTTGAGCCGGGGTGGGATGGCATCGGGTGTGCGCGTCCTGGGGTTCAGGTACAAGCGTCCGCGGCAGCCATGCCGTTGCGCACAAAGCTTATCTGAACTGCGCGAAGAGCATCTTCGTAGAAGAACGATGCCTTAGTACTATGCGTTGTAAGATTTGTGGAGGTCATGATCAGGAACTGTAAGCGGAAAAAGTATGCTGTTAGAGCGCGTCGCGTTCGCGTGACAATGATGCGTGAGGGCGTGTCGCAACAATCAAATTCGCGTCAAGGATACCGAGGGCCATAGAAAGATTGACGATGATAAGAACAGATCAGTGCTTGTATGATGAACAACAGCAATCACAATCCAGGTGCAAAGTAGTAGAAGACCTCGAACGGAAGCGATGACAACATCGAGATACCCCTGACTAAGCCTCGGAATGAGCCCCACACAGCATGACACACATTCCGAAGCGGCGACAATGACAACGAACTCATCATATTCGCCATCACAGAGAATACTAGCGTGTGTTCTTCTACGCGTATCTGCACATACATAACGATCCAGATGTCTTACCTCAATGACAATGGCACAACAATCCCCGCTCCTCCTGCTACCGGGTGAATTGAAGAACCAAATTATAGATTACATCCTCACCCGCGAACCCGGCACTGCACCACCTGCACTACAGCATTCCCCATTATCACTATCATCAACATGCCGCCAACTACATGGGAATTATCATGCTCTGGCTTGGACCGCAACGATCTTTACGCTCCCCTGGTCATCAGCAGAAGACCTTATACGAAAAACCAGTCTCCTCCCCCCAGCATCCATATCCTCCATCACAAAACTACAAATCAGACTTCCATCCGATCTCACAGACCTGTATACAGCGGATATAAACAGACGCCGCGTAAAACCTTTCAACTTTGCCCGCGCCGGCCTCACCAACCTAGAAGAACTCTACATCCGGTACCGACCCGAGCATACAGAAAAAGGCATCGGCGGACCCGGTCGCGAACTCATCGTGCAGATGCTCTGGCGTATCATGTGGGAAAGAGATATCAAGCGACTGAGGAAAATCTGCATTGTGCATGATGGAGCGCAACCGTTCCTTTCGCTTTCCCTACTGTATAATATGTTGCAGAACTTTACGCCGCTGCAGGTGTCGAAAAGGTGGAAGGTACGATCGGATCTTGAGCATGGAAGGTTGAGGTTTGAAGAGTGGGGTGGTGGGGAGAAGGGGAGGGATGTGGATGTTGTGGTCGGATTTAGCTTTTGGGAAGCGGAGGCTTATGTGGAGGTTTGTGAGATGGTTCTTGAGGTATGTTTGATTAGTGACTTGGATCTGAGCGGCTGCTGTCAGGAGTAGATTGGGGTTCTAGGCAATGTTCAGGGCCAGCAGATGTTGACTTCAGTACAGGAAAATCATGCTCAGGTCATCTTGGCTCGGCGCGCCGAGTGTTTGTATGTCACTCCGTTGCGAGATATGACTGACGATGCATTGAGGCGAGAGGTTGATAATCTCAACACCTTGTTTCCTGTGTTAGGAGACGAAGAACACATTCTTCAACCACATGTGGAGCGTATACGTGCCACGTGTGCGATAGGCAACCGAGGATGAGAAGACAAGACGGAACGCTACTTTGATCCGCACGCGAAGGCCGTCGTGGCTAATGACTCCACTGATTGGTGTTATGACGATCACTGAAGATGTCCCAGTCACCTGACTACGTTCCCGTAGCTTGATCGAAAGGGGTACTACTCCGCCAGCTTCCGAGGAGAAAAAGCTTTACGCGCACGCCGATGGCTGGAATGGATACTGAGGACCGCCACGCATTGCCGGTTGACCACCCAGACCCTCACACACCTTTCTTCGTTCCGAGATCGGCTGGCACGTCCACGCGTCGCATCCAGATCATTGCGGGAATCCGTCTCGCCACCACTCTCAGAGCCGGGTGGTGACAACAACGTGGTATCTTAACCGTCCCTCGGAATCTTTTCGACCGGCTGAATACCGTATTCGCTTTCTTCGGTGCGAAGTAGTGTGGAGCGGGTCCCAGAACCAAGCCCACGGCGTCAGCATGCGAGGTGGGCTACGCGTCCATGGTGGACCGGGTGGCATTCGTTCACACCAACGTTGCTTTCCAATAGTGGGAACACGCCGGTCACCTTGTTCGAGCTAACACTGTACTTGGGGAGCGCTTGCGGCGGGAAGGAAGGGTCGGGACGACACGAGAAGGATTGAGATCGTCGAGACGGGTTGGTGCTAGGAAGACAAGTGGCACCTTGCAATGTGTGTCCTAGCTGGGAAGACGGTCGGGAAGGAGCTGACCAGCCTTCGTTTGTGATCCTTCCTCATTACTCGGGTGAAGCTTTACCCTTGCCATGTTCGCAGAAGGAGTCTTTGGTAAGGTCAGCCTTACCGGTCAACGCGGTCATGTCATTCAGGCCCTTGTTTTGCCGCTGGATGTTATCGATATCCGCCATAAGAGCATCCTCCACGGGTCACTCGATCGAAGAGTACATTTCGCGTGCCATTTGACAGGCTCTGTACCTTTCCAATTATCGTGGCTCGATCACTATGAAGCATGAGACGTGCACGGGAAGAGCGTCCACACTGTCCAGTCTGGATGCTCGCTTCCGTATTCTATGGTTCGGCCCGATTGTGCTTGGGGATAGACTGAACTCTTACCAGACTCATGTCTCACATGATGCACCCACCTTTATCATACTCGCTGGAAGTGGGGTCCGTTCCAAGGCGGTGGTTTGTCGGCCTGGGCATATCATCCTAGTCTCCCATGTGGCTGGTTCACTGGCTCTGGATGGATGGATGCGAGGCTCTATTGGCTGGCGAAATGGTGGAGACGATAACTTGGCTTCCGATAGAGTGATACGCTCAGAGCTGATGTGAACAAAGGATGGCCATACATTTCGAGTGGAGGCTTCCCAGCTGCGAACTCAGTGTCCGTGTCGTAACCGAGAAGGCCTGCGAAACCAGGCAACGGTAGGAGTGCATTTGGATATAACATCAGCCAATAAAATAGCCAGATAAGCATCGGAACAGTAAGTAACTGTAGACATTGTGGGGATAATCATGACCAGGGGAGCACGCCACAGGATGAATGTAGGTGGTGTTGGTCATCCGAGACCTGTAAATCGATAAAAAGCGAGGGTGTTGCGCGTGTAATCTAACCTTCATGCGCTCCGGTAGTGCTTGCGCCGTAGATTCTGCGGTACATGGTCCTCGGAGGGACGGGTATGTGTCCCGGAAGGCCTCGAATACGACCAACCACTACCGGGCTGGTGGTTGCAGGACCCAGTAGTCCGGTAGCATATGCCATACGCCAGGTTTTGGATCAGGAAGACACCATGGGAAACATGAGTCCCATTCTGCCAAGCCTTCGAGTGATCATCGTTCCTGCATCCAGGCAACACGCCTGATCCCACACGATGATGACACGAACGATGCAGGATCACGGTACATACGATTGGATTTGACGCTATCGATAAGCAGCAAGCTACCAGGCGGGCGCGGCGCCTTTTTCTTGAATCATTCAAGAGGCTGACTGCAGGTCAATTTGGTGGTGTGAGACTCGTAGAATTGACGTTCAAAGAAGACCTAGATACGATGCCGCAGGCCGCTACATTCGCGTCGGTACAGCCCGCTAGAGGTGGGCTTCGGCCGCAGGATCTGCCGAGCTAACCACATGCGCCCTCCATAGGTGAGCCGTGCGTGCGTCTGACAAGCGCTGTGGCGCCATGGTCGCTGTTTTGTCGTAAGGGTGTGCCGTCACGCGCGAGTGATGGGACGGTCCGTCAATGTGTAGAGACTATGTTTCCGCAGCGGGCCGACACTGTTCTGAAATTGGGAAAGGAATCAGCTGTATGAGATGCGCATCCAATCTATCATACTCACAGCTTTTCATAGATGTTACGATCTTTCGAGAATCACGATAGAACCAACCGTTCCGAGAGCAAGGTTTGCAGTGTAGGTGTTCGAAGTAGCCGATAAGCCACTGCTGAAAGCGCGCGAAATCCTGAGCGCTGCTCCAGACCTGTCCCCTGCGTCTTCCAATGGATGCAGGGTCCACTCACTCATACAGTATTTTGCTGGATGCATCGCAGCATCATGTACCAGGTTCTCCCTAACGCTGACCTTCTTCACACACGTGCGAATCGAACGCCAGGCCCAGGCACAATGCATGATAGCCATGAGGTGGGTATGCTTGAAGACGCACGCGCGCTATGGTACCTTGCCTTGAGGGTTTTGACGGGACGCCTACTACCTATCGGTAGGTTATGCGAGTAAGCAATGGAAGGATGACAGTGGGGTGTTCTCGCCACGAATGCAGAGTGGCAAGAAGGCTGTGAACTCCGACGAAAACGAACACAATGACTACAACACTCAGTCGTTGTCATATGATCAACGCTCGTGTGACCTCGGCTGCAAGGTCGAAGATCATACTAGACATATCTTGGTTCTGATAAGACCAGGGTGGCGGAGGCAGTATGATCTTCACGTGGGAATAGTGGGCAGTAGCGTTGTCATAGTAGGCTTGTTATAAGACACAAGTTTGCTTTGGCTCACTGAGGCGGTGGTGAGCGAAGGTGTAAGAACCAATACTATGCAAGGGATGACTTTAGCCGTTTGAGCCGCCCAAACGGCAGGTGTAGGCGACTACACGTCGGAGCGCAGCGGGTTGGCTATCTTGCTTGGAGCAGTGCCTATGCAGGAACCCCGAGGAGACTGTTGCAGCACGCCTCGTGACTAATGCGGAGTTTCCGAACAGAGTTCCGATGTACCGTCTCTGCATCGCATTGCCGTGTTATCAATGAAGACGTTGGTCAGACGTGGGGTAGGCGGATTTTAGTACGGAACCCTGATTCGTAGGCTTCGAGAGCAATCCAACGCTTGGAATGCGAAGATCTTTGAGGGCCGCATAGCGCGAAAAGAAAAGTTTGGTCGGAAATGACGAACACTGTGAATAGAAGCGCCATGCATTGCGTAGTCTACATATAACAGGTGCCAATGTACCTTGGATGCGCGTTGCCAAGCGGGCTCAGCCAAAAAGAACCACTCGTACTACTACGATATCAAAGAAGCTTCCCAGGTTGGCGGACGACTTGGGGCAAAGTTGAAGTCATGAATGGACGGTGCCGAAGTGGCAACATTCAGGTCTGGAACAGTAGGTTCGTAGAAAGTCCAGTCAAGATGATGTCGACTTGAGGTGTCTCTGAGCTGATACTGAAACGGGCAAACGATTCCGGCAGCATTTGATACTGGATCGTCTGTGATTTGTCGGGATGCGTCTAAGAAATCATAGAACCCCCAAGGTGTTTGCGCTATTGGAATGGAGGTTGTGACGTGTGGCGTAGCCCATGTTTCTGGTAGAACATCATTGCCATTGAAATCGAGCCCATATTCGATGGGCATCAATACTTCATCGGACCATAATCGTGGATACAAGCAGAGATCTGTGTCATGCACCACAGATACAGGATGATAAGGGTGGATCGGGCTTGGTGTCTGCGGTGACATGTTGCCCAGGTTGAGATAGCTGTTTGCACCCACAGACTGAGTGAAGACACCCAGATCCTGTTCAGGAGTACTTATATAAGCGTAACTGCCATTGAGGGTTTGAAAATCTCTTGGTGAGAGCGGAGTGAGCATTGGACAGCCCGAGAGCCCTGACTTCTGACGGCCGGCTTTCGCGGTGGCTTGGGTATCAATGTATGTTGCCGCGTATGAGCTTTGAGATGCATGAGAAGAAGGCAAGCTCGTGGAGGGAATATATGAATCGAGACGTGATATGACACTGGCAGAAAGCTGCCTTTTCGGTGGTCTAGATGGCTTCTTGACGCTTGATCGGTAGTTGCTATCTGAAGTACGGCGCGTGGATCTTGGTTGGCATTCGATACCCTTGGTGATGCACCGGGAACATGAAGGTAGCTATGTATTATTAGCGCAGGACCTTGGATTATACACAATGTGCGTAGGTACATACAGCTTTGTTACACTTAGTCTTTGCCTTAGCGCATGTTACGCACGCGATTGCTCTTTTCGATGGCATCCTAGCATATGGGTTGTGTTGAACTGCTGGCGTAGTAAGGCGATTTGACAGGTCTCGTGGAGTATGGATGGTCGTCTCATCCATTGCGATCGGATGTTTGGCTTGACAAGAGATATGATCCGATGCGTGTCGTGCCGAGCAGGCTATAGAACCACCGTATCTCGAGGGTCAACTGCGGTCAGATAATGTCGAGCTTCTCTGGACAGAAGCGTGTGCTTGCTCGGAGTGTTAGGGATTGAACTGTGATATACTCGCCTATCCTGAGCAGACTTGAGCTTGACCAGAACCGACAGTCCCTCCCAACGGCTGATCATATACGGCATCAAGCTTGCATGATGCTAAGTTTAGGACCGAGATACATGTCTTCCGTATAGGGTCCTACATAGCAAGGTATCGTCCTAGCACCGATGAGGCGCCTTCGCAGGGCTGGAAGCCAAGGGAAGGCATCGTGTATGAGCTGACGAAGTGCCGCTACTGAGGATAGTTAGCATGGTACGCCACCACGTCCGTATGCTGAATGCACGTTCATGGTGTAAGGCGCCTGAGCGCGTGGATGATGACAAGGGGTGTCCTGCGCGCTGACAGGACCCGCGCTGGTGGATTTCGGTATGTCCATGATGACAGGTCGCACACGAACCGTGGTGTGGCTGAAGCCTCACCAGTGCCATTGCTTGGCTGGTTGCGTACCTCAATTCGAGCGACATGCAAATGCGACTTGATGTCTTAAGGTTCCAAGTTTTGTCTGCAGGGAAGAGCTCTAGGAGTCGATAGGAGACGTTTCTGTATACCATTGAATACTTTCAGTAGGGTATCAAGGACTTCGTCAATGACATGATCATCCAGATGCCACGCGGTCTTGCTGTGGTCTGTACCCAGAGTGTGGTTCAAGACTGGGGCCGGGTCACCGGTGATGAGGCGCTGTAGTGCCTGGCATAAGGCTATTGTTGTAGATTCATGCTGATGATGTGGACGGACTATGGGGAGTGGCGTCTGGTGGTGAAGTTAGACAGCCAGACCCCTGTTCCGCAGCTGCCCAGGTGGAGGAGCGGGGCCATGGCGGGCTGACGATGCTTAGTGTCAAAAGCTTCCGCAAGCTGCTCTCTTAGGTGAAAGGCGATATCGGCGACGATGTACATGTTATACGGGGACGCGGGTGCTACATCCCACAGATGACGGCGGCGGCCGAGAGGTTGGTGGGCATTCCGCCAGACGTCATTTCCGAGGGGCGCACGGTCCGCCATCTACGGCCATAACCTTGGAAACCTCTCAAGGCGGGCAAGAGCCATCGGACAAGCACCTCTCTAGACATTCGATCAATTCTCAGACTTACGAGCATACCTGAATGAGGTTTCTCTCATAGACGATAGTTCACAAAGGCTCATAAGGTCAATTCGCAGGGTGCCTGCTGCAACGTATACAAGTCACGAGCTCAGACGCATATCCGACTGACTTGTATAGGTCACTCTATGAAACAGAACATTCCCAGAATCGCACTTCGGCCCCTTTATATCTACGGCTCTGATGGTCAGTGTCCCGTCCCCGCTCCGCCTTTAGCAAGGCGTCATCAGCGTTGCTGTACGTAAAGATAGAAAGATTCGGAAGGATCGACATCCGACAATCTATCCAAGGCCATTTTATACGACCATGGAGTATAATTACCGATTTAGACGTGTTGATAGTAACAAACGCCTTCATCGACAATTTAACGCAGGTCCGAAACGTAGGCCGAGGTTGACTAACATGGGGCCATGGTGCGTAAGCAGAGCTTGTGTTTGAAAGTCGACTCGCTAAAATCCTCAAACTCAACCTGAGTTATTCTGAAATAAGAGAGATTGACCTATGTGTGTTGTGCTGATGTTTTGTAACTGGAGACCTCATCGAATGCTTATGAAATTTCGTGGACCGTAGCTGCTATCACGTATAGCTCCAAGAGAGACTCAAGAGGAGCCGAGAGGGGAACCTCATACATCATGAGAAAAGATAAATGTAGGCGAAGTGTTATAAATAAAGGTTGGAACCGTGGTAGGCATGCATATCTTCGTATCAAAGATCCGTAGGGAAAGAGAAGCGGGAGGTACGAACTAGTCTTTTTATGGCTTAGCCCGTTCGCCATATTTACATCGCACTTGCCGCTGCATCGCGCACGTCATCCGGAATTCACAACCTCAACCATTCTCGCCAGTCGCATTGCCTGCATCATCATCATCATATCTACCACTACACTCATTTTTTTTGGGGATATCCTAGAGGAATTTATAAACATGGCGCAGCGCGAAGACAGCGAACTGTACCCGGCGAGGTTTCTCGCAGAAAGCGCCCATCCGGAGAAGACATCAAATCCCCCCAATCTCCTTATTTTGAATCAACCAATAGCCCACTTCACTGCCTTTTCACGCCTTTGGAAGCACACTGGGTACCGGATATGTGCCGATGGCGGGGCCAATAGACTCTACGACATGTTGAAAGACGACTTGATAGCGCAGCGCGAACAATACGTGAGTAAGTATGTGGTATATAGCGTCAACACAGGTCGCTGACAGGCGCAGCTACCTGACATGATCCATGGAGACTTGGACTCGTTACGCGATGATGTGCGTGACTACTACGAAGCACGAGGTGTTCCTGTGCTACGAGATGGTGACCAATACAGCACAGACTTTGGGAAATGCATGAAAGAAATCTCTTCGCGGCTTACTTCCTCAACGGTTCGGGATGTTATTGTCCTTGGTACCCTCGGTGGGAGGGTTGATCAGGGCCTTGGACTTCTGAATGAGATATATAGGGAAGAAAATCGACATGCCGACCTTCGCCTATGGCTGTTCTCCGAGTGCAGCCTGAGCTTCATACTTCGGAAGAAGGAGACTCTGCTGAGAGGGCTACAGGAAGATGGCGCCTTTACCGAGAACGTAGGGTTTCTTCCTATATATGGGCCGGCGGTAATCTCCACCGAAGGGCTAGAATGGGATGTCAAGGAGTGGCCTACGCAGATGAACGGCGGTCAGCTCAGTACGAGCAATCACGTCAAAGCCAACGATGTAAGGGTTGAAACGGACGTGCCAATATTGTTCACGATAGAAAGAGCGCCTTTGTGAGAGGTTAGGGAAATGTCGTGCTAGATATGGACTTGACGTACTCGCGACTTCTGGAAATTCACGCGTAAAGGCAGACTCGTACTACATGTCCCAGCACGCTGTTTTCGTGTAACGTTGATGGATCTCGCCGGTGCTGTCTGCGTGGGAGATAATGGGTCAGGGCCATCATGAGGTAAGCGCGTGCGTCGTTGAGCCAATCGTGCTTTACGGTTCGAGGAATCGGAAGAAGGTGCGGCCTGCGAGCCGACAAGATCACATACATCATGAAGATGGGAGACGACTCCGGCCACAGTGGTGAGGGTACTTGTCGAGTCGTGTTGTGCCAGTAACCGTTCGGCTGTGGTGAAAGCATGAGGAGAGTCCGAAGCGCGACGCAGCACAGGCGCAGGCGCAGGCAACCGCTCCTGCCCATCTTCGGAACCGCTCCTGTTGTTTGGTGACGCCGAATGGGAAAGCTGTGATTGGCCGCGTCATGGTCAACTCGCCTTCACCAGCAATGCTACTATCAGACCAGTTCTCCCGCTCAAACAATCACCGCGCTTGCCAGGCCAACATCGCTACTCACTGTCGCTATCACGCGCCTTTTGGAAGTTTATTCACTCGCATACGCAGCTTTGGTCTTCTGCGAGCCTCCCCGCTTTCTGTGTTGCTCACATACAGGTGCCATATCTACCTCGACCCTCACACGTCCCACCGCGTCCACGCTCTCCGACCAGCACCTTGCCTCGCGACGTCAGGCACAACACGTCCGCAGACCCTCGTCTCCAGCTACTTTCCACTGTCTCTTTTCTACCCGAAACGTATCTGAGCATTCCGTCGACAAAGCTACTACACACAGCATCACAATTGGCGTGAGCTGCACGACATAGCGCGGTCTGTTGGGCAAAACGCCGGCGCGAACGCCAATCGGTCGCCAATCGCCATGGCGTCTATACGAAGAGTCGCCTCGTCCACGTCGTCTGAGTACTCGGAATCACCTCAAAAGCGGGATGAGCAGCTTAGGCGATCGTCATCCTCGAGTTCAACCGTCGAGAGGGAAGCTGCGTCTCCCCGCGACACCAGCACAGAAGGAGCATCCGAGCCAGCAGGGGCAGCCGAGGAGCCGCTGATTGGACAGCGGAGCGGCAGTCAGAGCCCAGCTTCTGATCATGGCTTCGATTTCGGCATCCCGCCAAGGGTAGAGCGCGAATCCTCGCCGCTGCCCTTTGCGCCCATCGTCCCTTCGCCGCTCGCAAACTCCAGATCAGCGAGCGATGGAAGCTCAGACGGCCACGAGCCGCAGTCAAGCGACGATACCCACTCGACGAAGCATCGGCCGCGCACTACGGCAGGCCGTCTTCACTTGCGCATTCCGCCCCGGCCTCACCTGAGGACACCAAAGGCGAGGAGTACAGCAGACTTGACAAGTCATGGAGCCCGCTCTCCAGGCACCCCACTCACATTACAAGACTTGGGAACCGACTATACTCGCTACTTCAACCCTTTCTCAGATTCCGCCAGTAGCCATAGTCGCAGTCGAAGGACCTCCTTATCAGAACGGCAATCTTATGTCAGACTGGCCGCTCGCTCGCGCACGACCACTCCGCCACCTGGTATACCACCAATTAACCCGTTCCTCACACCCAACGCCTCCGTGACGGGCCTCAATGATAGCGTCATTGAGCTATACGATGACAAGAAGAATGTGTCTTTCATCGACGACAGATTGACGGCGCCGTACGAGGAGAAAGGAATACTATCCTGGCCACTGGTTTGCGACTTAGAGGAAGCTGACGATGAAATGCACATGCCTCGCGACGACGACGACATCAAGTTCAAACCGAGGATACGCGATCACTTTACAAGAGACAGCATCGTTTCCACTATTGGCCTAGCCTTCATGATATCAGGACTGCTATTCATTTTCATCGGCCTTCCGGTACTCTCTGCGGTAGGCGTCATCGGCTATAATTCAGCCTACGATATGCCACTGAGCATGTTTCCCAATCCATGGAGGCCTCAGATCTGGGCTATAGTCAACAACAAAAGGTACCCACTCCTGGAGAACATGCGAACAGGCTTGATCGACCCCGACACACCTGAGTCTGTCAAGACAAGGGCCGGGGAATTTGGCGACGACTATGTGCTTGTCTTCAGCGATGAGTTCAATGATGATGGCCGCACGTTCTATGAAGGAGACGATCCGTACTTCTTTGCGCCCAACGTCTGGTATGGCGCGACTCAGGACGTTGAATGGTATGATCCAGATGCTGTCACTACCAAGGATGGCACGCTTCAGCTGCGCCTGGAAGAATTCTTCAATCATGGTCTCAAGTTCCGATCCGGTATGCTGAACAGTTGGAACCAGCTGTGCTTCAAGGGCGGTATCTTCGAAGTCTCGGTGTCGCTACCAGGTCCAGCCGGTGTGCAGGGACTATGGCCCGGCGCCTGGACAATGGGCAATCTCGGTCGACCGGGCTATTTGAGTACAACCGACGGGTTATGGCCCTACACCTACCAAGCTTGCGATGTTGGCATTACACCCAATCAGTCTAGTCCTGACGGCTTGTCTCACCTACCTGGACAGCGACTTAACTCATGCACCTGCCCAGGCGAAGATCACCCATCACCGGGTAGAGGAAGAGGAGCACCGGAAATCGACATCATCGAGGTAGGTGCCACATCAGGGTACCCGGGTCCAGATGGTCTGCCAATAGCTACACAAAGCTTCCAGGTTGCGCCATTCGACATCTGGTATCATCCAAATTACAATTTCACGGCCTTCCCGGACCTTCGTTACAGTGGTTTCAACACCTACGCCGGCGGTGCCTTTCAAGAGGCCATATCTGCCACCACGATACTGAACAGGGATTGGTTCGACAATAAACAATATCAGCGGTATTCTTTCGAATATGTACCAGGAGAAGGCAAGGACGCATACATCTCCTGGAAAGTTGGCGACCAGACCATGTTCATCATGGACGGCCGTGCTGTAGGACCGAACGGCAACATCCAAGCTCGACAAATCGCAGAAGAACCCCTGTCACTCATTCTCAATCTGGGCATCAGTAACTCTTGGACCTGGATCGACTGGAAGAACCTGGTCTTTCCTGCCACCATGCGATTCGACTACGTGCGGTGGTATCAGAAGAAAGGCGAGGAGATGGTTACGTGCGATCCCCCGGGCTTCGAGACTACAGAATACATCAAGAAGCATCCGAAAGCTTACCAGAATCCTAACTTCACAGTACATATCCCTGCCTTGCTTATCATACAAACACACAACTAACGCAAAGCAGTCATGGGATCAAACCGGTTACGACTGGCCGAAGCACAAGCTTAACAGCGAATGTTGACCCGAGACGCCCTCTCACGACAGCGAGTACGATCACGATTAAGATCACGATTACGATTGACGAGTTACCACGAGCGCGCACCCCCTACAAGATCGCTTCGAGCGTCTCCCTCTGCGTACATCACAGCCGCGCACCCGACTACGATCGTTTACGAAACATGGCACTTGAGCGGTACATTATATTCCAGGAACAAGCATGTGGCTAGTGTACAAATATACACATGAGGGAAAGCATTTCGGCGACGAAACACAGGCACATACGAAGGAAAGTATTTCGGCAAGGGCACAACAGCGGAGGATGCGTCTTGGCCATGTTTAAGCTACATGTGTCGTCTCCTTGCATATGGGGAAGGTTATATCGATTTCGAGCGGCATCATGGCATTTTTGCGTTTGTTGGTTTGTATGTATAAGTAGCATAGCGTAGCCATGACTTTGGACAAGAGTTTGCATGGTTTTACGCCTGTGTGAGATTTTTCATGTCATGTGTTGACGATGCAGGAGAATATGTTATGTACTGTATTCGCTAAGTATATACACAAGTACAAATCACTCTCCACCTTACTACCACGGGCTTACTCCTCCTTCTCCTCCATACAACTAGCATCCTTACAATCCTTCACATCACAAACCTTGTGAAAGTCCTTATGCGCTTTAGCCCCCTTCCCAATAATCTTTCTAAACAGCCCAAACTCGCAACTCGCGCCGGGCCCATCCTGACAATCCGGGATTGGTCTCGGCGCCGAATTCGCAATGAATCTCACATACGTGCCAGGCTCATCGCCATGCACACCGCCCCTTTCACAAACCATCTTCTCCATACCGACATGACCCAAGAAAGGGATGAGATCGCTCATCTTCCACGCACGCGTCCAGTTGATGTGGTCAGTAGGGAACTGCTCCGCCGCATCAGACGAACTGTTGAACAAGCCCAGCGCCGTAGCGATAAAAGGTGGAACCTCTCTATGCGTGAAACCGAGGAAGAAACGCTGTTTATCCGGCCACCCATCACCAGGCGTATCATGCTTCTCGATATGCGCAAAAAGCTTCGATTGGGCCTGAAGCCAAGGGAAACCGAGGTAAGGCGACAGCGGGTTCAGCGGACCGACCATGTACGCGTATTTCAGATCCCACGCGTATTCATATGCCATCCACTCCGAGTCTGTGAATTGCGCGCAGATGGGGCTGCGGGAGCCCTTGATGGCGGATTCGTAGCCGCACAGCATCTGGAAGCCGACGACGTCTGAGGGTGTGAGTTTGAAGGGCGTGTAGGGGGAGAGGCGGTGGGCGACGGAGGCGCCGTAGAGGTCGATGACTTTCTTTTGCTGTTTGGAGCCTGGTTTCTTGGAGAAGTTTTTGCAGGATTTGTGCGGGATGAGGGATTCCATGCTGCCGTTTGTGTTCTCTGTTATGCGGACTATCTCGATGTCGTCGCTTTGGGGGAAGGCTTTGACGAAGTTGGAGGCGGTGTCGTAGGTCCTGCTCTTCTTGTCGGCGAGGATGCGGGTCGTGTCTGGGACGAGGTGGTGGTAGCGTTGGAGGAGGTGCTTGCCTACTGCTTGCGCATCGACGGCACCGGAGGGTGTCAATTCCTCCAATCTATCTTCCAAGATTGGGGATTGCCACTTTTCCATAAAGGATAGTGGGCCAGTCCAGCCATTGCGGTGTTTCTCGAGCTTCCACAGGAAAGGCTTGATGTATTCCTCATATTCGTCGTCGTTGGAGTAGATGGCGCCGTGGCGGATGATGTAGGATGCGGCGGTGACATTGCAGCCGACGGGAGGTTTGTGCTCGAGACCAAATCCTGGATGGAGTTAGTATAGGCTATTCCCGTACCTGGGGAGGTTGATACGGACCGACTGCGTCAAAGTATGGCGAGATACCAGGGAGATGTAACAGGGGATCAAACTGGTAGTTCTGCGAGTGGTCGAGAGGCTGGAGTGGTGATTGAGCTTGACCCTGGCTTTGGAGGAATGTTGGCAATGTCAGAGCCGAGGCTGAGCCTGCGAACGCGAGCGCGAGGGACAGCATATTAGACATTAGACTTGCTATAAAAGCCGTTCTAAGGTGTTGTTGCGTAGGGTAGATGATTCAGGTCGAATCGCCTGAGATGGGTATTTAATTGGGCATTCGCGCGGTTTTGACTTTTTGTTTTCCGTGACGTCGACGTTTCTGCAAGGTACGCGCTCGACTAGCGCGAGCGCGCCGCCCTGATAGCGCATGCCTAGGCCTTGGGCGTCGTCACTTGTTCACTATTATCTAGCTATGTGGCTGCATGCACGCGGCAATTCGGCACACTGCCGAGTCAATGCATGCAAGCGGAGATGAATGTGCAGATGGAATGCCAGGCCAGAAACCTCAATGGAGCAAGTGTAGACCGGAGGTAACGACAGTTTCAATTTCTAAAGACGAACGTTGTTGTGGGAAGCAATGCACTGCCAGTAATACGCTCACGTCTGCTACCCAGAGCCATTGCGTTCCTTCCCCTTCATATGGCGTCGGCAGGACGGCACATGTAATTTGGTCACGCGTTGGTATTCGCAAATCCATCGTTGCTCATCCTCCGGTTCAAGCGTTGCTTATCGCAATCACCATTGTCGCAATATCCATACGTCTGCGTAGCATACTCACCTGCCTCAGGGACGCTCTTGCACAAAGTAGGATGTTTCTCACTGGCGAACGCTGTCTCTTCGCTTGGAGGATGAAGTCTCAATGCCGGGAGGGTTGCCTGTCCTCAGGTGATACATACCGTGGATGGCATGCTCAGCGGGAATGGCAGTGGTAAGCATAGTGAGCTCTTGCGGCGTTCATAGTGGATGCTAGATGCAGCATCGTAGACAGAAATCATGTCCTACACAATCAGTCGCCCACACAGGGCCTCGCGGTTAGCCTCGTGATGGTGAAGAGCGCTTCGAAAGTAACGCCAAAGATCAATGTCGACTGCAAACGTTTGAAAGCTTACGAGAAGCCTGGACTTGCACTTCGTCTCAACGCTTGGATGCGAACACCGAAAGCGGCTTAGGCGTTGAAGCAGACGTTGCACTAGTTCCAGGGCGACTCTGCCGAAGAGAGGATTGGGAGTCATACCAGTTGACATCTGACAGCTGTAGCTTCCTTGCACGCTGATTGCTGCGGTTCGCACCAGCTTTGTCGAGGCGCGGTTGCGCGTACGGATTCGGAGTCTTGTCCAGACCTTGAGGGGAGTCAATACGTGTTCTGTTGGTATTAGGTTGAAGGGTGTAATGAAAAGGCGCATCACCAGTCGTGTCGTCAGCATCGTCGCGAGCTTCGTTGTAGTTCAGGACGAGGCTCTTGATTCGCTGCCGTTCTTCTGTGTCTGCTTGCTGTTTGTTACGCATGGCGACAGCAAAGGTCGAATCTGAGGGGAGGTCAATAGATCGGGTCTGCGTTCTGTTGCCACGCTTGCTGAGCAGGGAGAATTTCATCGTCTGCGAAGGAACTGGAGCCTCCGGAACGGGCACTTCGTTCCCAACATCTTCAGCGTTGACCGGAGCCTCTCTAGCACGGCGCATGGGTAGCGGTACGTCGAAAACAGGCTTTCGGTCATGCTTACGCGATTCTGCACTCTCTGACATGAGCTTGGCAAGCTCACGATCGAACTCAGCATCAGCTTCTGGGTCGCGTTCGTCTTCTTGCCGTGTTACGACAATCTGTTCTTCCTCTTCGTCTGAAGATGTCTGCTTCACAGGCTCGTCGTCGTCTGAGTCATCGTCTTCTTCCCCAGATGACTTGTCTCCTTCTCCATCAGGCAAGATGACATCCTCGTCTTCAGGGCCATCCATCTCGTCGTCCGATGCAGAGAGGTCGTCCTCGTCGGGCTCAACAGGCTTGTCAGCTGACGATGTTTGGTAGTTCTGTTTGACGGCTTCTGCGAAGGCACGTGAAGCATCCTCTGGATTGGTGATGATTTTCCACTGCGGTCTGACGAGGTTGAATGCGTCTTGCACGATGAACTCTACGTCCATCGGTAGTGCCTCCTTGATGCAGACATAGTACTGCAGATACGTGAGGAAGAAGTCAAGCTTCTTCTTCGCTGCACCTTTGTCGTAGTACATGCCGCAGGTCTCGAGAAGGTTGCAGACGAGACGAATGCGGAAATAGTCATCCGGCTGATCCAAGGGATTGTATCCTCCAGGTCGTGCATAGCCGCCCTCCCACCCATAGTTCAGGAGCTTGTATAGAGTGTCGAAAACGAGAGGCGAGTCAACCAATCGGTAGATGTAAAGTTCACCTAGATACTTGACTTCAGAAATCCGGCGTTGATTGAACTTGAAGTCGTTCAGCTCCAATCCGAATGTGATGGACTCGAGAAGGTCGTCGATGACGGAGATGGCGAAGTCTTGGTGGAATCTGTGGATCGTTCCGAGCATAACGGCTAGCAAGTGAATGTTGCTGTACTTGATCTTCCCTGGTTTTGCGAAGACCTTGTGAAGTAGATTGACTACATCCTCTTCCTCCCAGTGCATCTTGCGTACCTGCTTGATAGTTTTGTCCAGTGTGCGACGAGTCAGATCCTGGTACATGATCTTGCGCAGGAAGAGCTCAATTGGCGTCCGCTCTTTCTGTTCGATTGCAGCGCGCTCTGGTGGGTTCACATAGTAGACAGCATTCTCGATCAACATGCGCTCCTGCTGGCCAATGACCTGAGCGCCCTTCTTACGCTGAAGGGTTTCGAGGAAGGAATGCATGCGAGGAGACGTCTCAGGATTGCGAAGCAGATAGCGTCCGCAGTTTTCCAATAGGTTGCAGATAATCTCAATGTTCATCCGTGAGAAATCGTCTAGGCTGACTTTGAGACAGTGGAAGATGACGTGCTCGGGGACAACACCAAACTTGGTCAACTCTGCAAGGTAGCGTACATTCTGCGTTCGCACCTGTCCGAGGAAGTCTTTGGACTTTCGACGCTGCAAGCTTCTGAACTCCTCATCGAGGTAGGCTACCAGTCCCTGAGATACATCCGGCATGTACTTCCCAAGGGTTGCAATGAGTCTAGAGTACAGGGGAAGCAGATCAGATCGACCCTTGGGGATCTCCTGCACAGCCTTAATCAGACGGTTGCGCGAGGCCTTGGAGTTCAGGAAGCAAAAGTCCATGGCAGTCTGATCGACGGCGTCCTTGGTTGCGAGTTCTGGCAAGCGCGCCAATAGAGCGTCGACCTGTGCTCCGACGGACTTGTTTGCGATGGCAGTAGACTGGTCCTCTCCATCAGTCGGTTTTGCGTCGTTGGCTGTTTCTGCTGTTTCCTTTTCGATAGGTTCGGTCTTCACTTCGATCTTCTTGCCCACCTGGTCATCACCATCTGTCTTCTTCTTCTTGACTTCCTCTAACAGAATACCTGGGACGCGGTCCTTCAGATCAATCAGGTTTTCATAGAAACGACGCTCATCCTCGTCTTCCCAGATGCCAGCGCCATCGCTTTGGCCGCGTAGATATTCGCCGGCCTTGATCAGGCCAATGGCACCATCACCTGTATTTGCGGAGTTGTCCTTCTCCTTCAAGTCTGGCATTTCCACGCCCAACGCGTCGGCCAGCACCTGCGCATTTGTCACCAAGCGCTCTTGGGACTTCATCTGCTTCTCGTAGTTGTTCTGACGGTCCTCAAAGACCTCGCCCGACTTGACGTATGCTTCGGCATTTTTTCGACCCTGGCTGAGAATGTGTTTCTGGTCGCGGAGGAGGTGCGTCTTGACGTCTTCGAAGTAACGTGTGAGGATGTTCTTGAACCGCTGCTGCAAGTCAGGGGAGATGATGGGCGGGTCGTGGTCCTCGTCTTCGGCGCCGGAAGTCTCTCCATTCCTCTCTGCTGTTGTACTGCCGTCTTCATTTACTGTTTTGCGACCCTCTGCGGAAGCAGGCTTGGAGCCCAGTATGTCCCAGGCGAAGGCTTTGACGAAAATGACGACGAGGGGCAGGTTGACATGGTCGCGGTCGTGACCTAGCATGTCCTTCAGCACCTCGAGCGGAAAAGGCTCGGCGTCAGCGTTCTCCGCGCGGGACTTTGTCTTTGCGGCGCCTTCGACGAGCTTGCCATTGTCCTTGGTCTTGCTCGCCTCTTCAGGTCGAGCTACGTCATCCAGGCTGCGCAGAACACCCACAAGCCAAAGTTCGGTAGCGACTCGCAGGAGTACGCGCTGACGAGCCAGGCGCTCCTTCTCTTCGCGCTCGCGCACTTCGGGTGCCAGCGTCTTGAGGTGTGACTTGTCAGGTGTCGCTAAGCCCCTCCCAATATACCAGGCAATGTATCCCGTGAACTCGGTCGGGCCGAAGCGTTGATGGAGAGCGCTGACAATTTCCACACCGGCAGCAATCTCGCCGGGCGTCTTGAGCTTGCACAGGCCTTCGTAGCAGGCCGAGATAATCTCGGAAAGGTATTTGTGGAGAGATAAGGCGCGGATTTCCTGGAGGAACTGCGCTTGTGCGGCGGCGTTTACGGCGGTTCGCAGGCGCTTGATAAAGGCCGTGTTCTTTTTCATAGACGAGTCGAGGGAGCCTTGTACGGCGAAGACGTCTGTACATATCGTCAGCACACAGACTGCAGGTGCAACTATTCCTGGACCAAGTACCTTGTTCGCCATCCCAGGCGCGGATGTTCAGTTCGCGAAGCTCGCCTGTACACGATTAGTATTACTCTTTGAATAAATTCGCAAGCACGTACGCTTCCGAGGCCTGTCCATGGTGGAGGAGGCGATTGCCGCAGTGGTGGAGGGGCGGCGGTAGATAGCACGGATCGGTTATACGCGCACATGGAAGGTGGGAAATATATCAGGCGCAGGCGCTGCTTGCATTGGTTCGGGCTCGGTAAGACAAGCTCGGGTGAGAGAGTGTGTGTGTGTGTGTTTGCGACTCTAGCAACGTCGTGATCGCGGGGCCTTCGGTCGACGTTGCAGGTGAAATTGTCAACGGTACCTGCAGCGAGTTCGCTCACGTATCCAAGTATCCGTGCGTCACCAAATGTCCCGCGGTTCACATGAGAGAGCCATGACTAAGCCGTCCTTGGGTACTCAAACCAGGGTGCCGAAGCTGAACACCAACTACCTAATTCATACGCGAGCGATGACCGGAGTACATGTCTGGTACCACATCGAACTGGGACAGTGACAATACATCTTCCAAAAATGCGCTTGGAACAGCTCGACATTGGGGATCACTCATCACTTAGCCTCCGACGTGTCGTAGACTTGTAAAATGTAGTCAGGGTCCAACACCAAGTACCGGAACAATGACTCTCATGCACATTATTGGATATCATATCACATTCAATGTCACACACACACTTAGGTCTTAGGCGAAGACGTCTCATTCTGAGCTTTAGCCGACGTTCAGCCCTGTGGCACATTTGCAGTGCGGGACAGGAAACTGGGAGCGAAAACGGCTACCTAGCCTCAAACTCTAACAATTCACCCCTGAGGGCCGCCACATGGCGCATTCTTCCATCCTTGACTGGCTGTGATATAGACTAGAGAGTCAAATATCGTAGAGTTCACATTGTAGCTCAGGGGTCCATGACCAAATTCGTAGAGATGATATGCCGCGGCGCTATTGCGGTTGACGGCAAGCGCACTCATCTCAACAGCAGCGATTCATGAGTGACACGGACATGTAAGATGTATACTATACGAGGGTAAGATCCTGGCCGTTCCAGAAGGAAACTCGGACAGGCTACACGCTGGAGTCGGTGTAAACAAGTCAACAATGCTGTGCATGCAGGTTGAGCGCACTGGCGATCCGTCACCGTTGGGCCGGCAGCAAACAAGATTGATGAGCGTCGTAGCGAGTGAGATCAGCGCCTTGTCGTGGCTCGGGCAGGAAAAGCAGAATCCGAAACTACGGGTCGCCGGTGCGCAGCGACTTTATCGATTGCGAGCCGCCCTCAGCCTCTGCCAATGTGGGTAGGCGAGATCTATTCGGGAATCAGGGCAAAGACAGGTCCCCGTGCTGCAACGTCGCTATTGCTATATGCGACATGACGAGCGGGCGGCCCACCACGCTGTGCAACATGCAAAAAATCATGATTCCCGGTACGAGCGGAAGCGGCACAGGATTCCTCCTGTCAGTCTCCATGCATGTTGGGGCCGCCGTCGCCGTTTCGTGCTTTTTGCAGCGGGTCGGCCTGGCATATCCACAGCCCTCGTATTTTTCATCAGCTATTTTCCTAGCGCTCGCGACTCAACGAGCTGCGGGAGCAGAGGTGTAGGGAGTCAGCATAGCGTCGCGAGGGGGCATGGGAATAGGGATACGGCGACATGGCTTTCTTTTACGACAGTTACCAGCCATAGCACAGTGTGACAGACAGCCTCTACCGCGAGGCTCTGGGGCCGCTGCTGGGGATTACGAGACGGCATGAGGTGCGTGGGATTACTATTGGCCCGCGATGGCTTTAGAACAGCGAGCGATGCCGACCCCCTGAACGCCCGGAATCCACGCGAAGCTGGAGCATCTCTTGGCAATAGAAGGCGACCAGCAGCGGTGCATTACAGGCGAATTTCCAAGAGCGACGATGCCACCTCATGCGACGACTGGATACGGCCGGCGGAACGAGGGAGAAGCTCCCATGACTGCACCGGTATACACCAGTGCATGCCCAGAGTGCAAACCACGGCTCTCGAGTGCCCCAAACACACGGCCCCAAACAGGTGAGGATGTGCCTCTACGTGTGATGAGGATGCGAAACAGAGAGGAACACTTTGCCTGCAAGCTTCAGACAGCTAACGGTAGACGGCGCATGGGGGCTCCCAAAATAACTGCGAGGCTGCAGGCATAGGGCCGCCGGCGCGTGGTTTGGCACCGGTCGGGGCCACTGAGACCAGGCGTAGGCCTGCACGCAACTCGTTTTCGAGCTCCAAGCGCGGGCAGCTTGCCAAATCTGGTTGGAGTGCCCCTGTGACGATCGTGCATCTCGACTGCTGCCCAGAGGGGCCAGCACGCTTCGGGTGAAGGCTCTGTGGACCGAGCGCGCCCGCTTTTCGTGCTTGTAAACCAGCTCGATCCCCTCGTAGAGACTTCCTTCCTCTCAAGGCGCTCCTCCCATACGACTCCGGACTGCCCTTGCGAGCGGTATCTTGTTAATGACCTTGGTCTAAGCCCTTCTTGTCTTTCCCACCCTTACACTCGTTTATTGGGCCGCGAAGACTTAGCATCCGCTTCCACCACGACAACTACTACCGCCAAATACCAATACCTAGTAGTTTTCTCAGCTCTGCAATCGTTCTGGATCAGCAATTCGCCTCTACGTCAATTACCTAGCCCTCCCATACCTTATCGACGGGCCGTGCTTCTCCAACTCTCCGCGTCTGCGTCACCCATTTGGTCGCCTTACATATAGGGTCGACAGCTGTCCGAAACCCAGACAGTATCGCTCGCTATCCGCTTAACGACAACTACGAATATACATACTTAATACTCCGCCATGGTTTGGCAAGACATGATGGGCCTCGCCGCCCGTGCGGTCTTTGCCCGCGAGATCGACCACTCTACCCCAGACATTGACGACCCTTGGCCAGCTAAGGATGTGAGTACAGCGACTGCCGACTGTGGCTACAGAAACTGACTGCAGTAGATTGCCTACGTTGCCATCATCGGTGGTCTCATGTTGGCTGCCCTGCTCGAGTGGTTCCTCTGGGTTGCCGCTTTCCTGTACTGCATTGTCAAGGTCTTCCAAAAGGCCGAGACGATCAGTGTCCGCATTCTGTCCATCTTCTTCGGTATCCTCTTCTTCGCTCTCCGGTAAGCATTCCAACTTCTCCATGCGAGTCCAAGTCTAACCGAGACAGTGCCATCTTCTTGCCTATCATGGTCGTTACCCTCCCCCTCCCGTCGCAAGTCACCAAGTACTTCCCCCAGGAGATGGTTGGCTTCCTCCAGTGGTTCGCCTTCTGGTCGTTCGCCGGTCTCTTGACCGTCCCGTGGCTGTTCTGTGTCTACCAGCTCGTCACCCACTCCGTTGGTCGCAGCCGCAGGATTAAATCCGTTCTCGACGAGGCATCTGCTCCCAAGGTCGTCATCATCATGCCTTGCTACAAGGAGATTCCCGAGATTCTTCTCCGAACTTGCGACTCGCTAGTCGACTGCGAATACCCACCCTCCTGCCTGCACATCTTCCTCTCCTTCGACGGAGACCAGGAGGACGAACTCTACCTGAACACTATCGAGAAGCTCGGTGTCCCTCTTACGCTCGACACCTACCCCAAGTCCATCGATGTCATCTACCGTAGCTGCCGCATTACCATCTCCCGCTTCCCTCACGGTGGTAAGCGTCACTGCCAGAAGAGGACATTCAAGCTCATCGACAAGATCTACTCCGAGTATCTCAAGCGCAACGACAATCTGTTCGTCCTCTTCATCGACTCCGACTGCATTCTCGACAAGACCTGCATTCAGAACTTCATGTACGAGATGGAACTCAAGCCCGGCAGCAAGAAGAACATGTTGGCTCAGACTGGTGTCATTACCTCCACAACCGAGAAGAACTCGCTCATCACCCTTCTTCAAGACATGGAATACGTTCACGGTCAACTCTTCGAGCGTTCAGTCGAATCTGGCTGCGGTGCCGTCACTTGCTTGCCCGGTGCCCTTACTATGCTTCGATTCTCCGCTTTCCGCAGGATGGCCAAGTACTACTTCGCTGACAAGGCCGAGCAATGCGACGATCTCTTCGACTACGGCAAGTGCCATCTTGGTGAGGACCGTTGGCTCACTCACTTATTCATGATTGGCGCCAAGGAACGTTACCAGATCCAGATGAACACCGGAGCATTCTGCAAGACCGAAGCTGTGCAAACCTACCAATCTCTGCTCAAGCAACGTCGCCGCTGGTTCTTGGGTTTTATCACCAACGAAGTTTGTATGTTGACTGATATCCGTCTCTGGAAGCGCTACCCGATCCTCCTCATTGTCCGCTTCATGCAGAACACCATCCGAACCACCGCCCTGCTCTTCTTCATCTTGTGTATTTCTTTGATCACTACCTCGCAAAAGGTTGCCAACCTTCCCGTTGGTTTCATCGCCATCTCTCTGGGGCTTAACTGGCTTCTCATGTTGTACTTTGGTGCCAAGCTCGGTCGCTACAAGATCATGCTGTACCCCCTCATGTTCATCGTCAACCCCTTCTTCAACTGGGTGTACATGGTTTACGGTATCTTTACCGCCGGTCAGCGTACATGGGGTGGGCCTCGTGCCGATGCTGGTAGTGCCGACACCAAAACTACTCCCCAGGAGGCTATTGAGGCCGCAGAAGCGACTGGTGACGATCTGAACGTTGTTCCTGAGACTTTCAAGGCTGCTGCCGAGGCGCAGAAGCACCGCCCAGCCGCTATCCCTCTCCAGCCTGGCGACAACATCGATGGACGCTTTGCCGCCGCAGAACGCCTGCCCAACGGATGGTACCAACAGGGCAACGACTCTGGTCTTACGCTTCCCAACACAATGCCCCGCAACCCCAACGTCCCTCATGTACCTCTCCACCCCCGTTCTTCGATGGACTCCTTCGCGTCGCAAGAGACCTCCGCCGCCAACTCCATCTACATGCCCCGTCGTGTCGAGAGTTTCATGGACCCCGAGGATGCGCGTATCTACCACAAGACTCAGCAAACACAAAAGCCTGCCGGAGGAGCCTTCTACGAAGAGCCGCGAGGAGGACCCTACGAGGTCGGCCAGGGTTCTAGCAAGAAGATGTACACCGAATCTGTTGACTCCATCGACGACGACTCAGTATACCAGTCCAAGGGCCCGCAACGACCTGGTCAGATGCGTACCAACAGCGACCTTGCCCATGCCCCAGCCCGCACATCGCCGCTATCCAACGAGCAGAAGGGCCATGGTCTCGAGTCGCCCAAGCCTTCCTACAGCAGGACCAACAGCTCAGACCAGCGCCAGGGACGTAGCCCTCTTGCTCAGCAATACGTTCACACCGCACCTGGTGAGGACTATGAGCTACAGGCCCCACAGCAAAGCAGCCTGATGCGTGATGTGTCACCTGCGCCGCTAGGCCAACCTCAGATGCCTGCATCAAACCACGGACGAAGCGACTCAACCGACTCGAAGAAGCGGAAGCGCCTCAGCAAGCAGCCCCGCAAGTAAACGCTTTCTTCTGCATGATCTAGCATCTTGATCTTTGTTCCATCTTCTGCCTAGAAGGCTGCATCAACGACATACCAGCATTAACCTTTTCTTTTATCATCAAACCTTGTGCGCATTGGATGTCCCGGCGTTTTCAGCGAGCACCGCAACACACCGCGAGTGATTCTTCTTCTCGCAAAAACTATTTCCTTATTGTACATATATTACATCATTACATGACGGCGGGGTGTGTGGCTTTTGGACAAAAAACTACGGGATCACGACTTGGTTCGCTCTTCGGATGCCTTGGGGTATATATGTTGTAGGAGCTATGTGATGGATCATACGCACATCACCTTTTCTTGCTTAATGTCTAGAAGTAACGTCTTTGACGAGACGTTGAATGAAATGGTCTTACTGCCACACTTGATATTACTTGCAACCTGATGCTGAACATGGAACCGAAAGTGTAGTCGTCCAACATCTCGTCTGTGTAAAATAAATATGTACCATCACTACTATCGATACAACAATCCCTCCACCTCCTCCGCAACCGCCAAACTGCTAGTCAAGCCCGGAGATTCCATGGCCAACAAATTGACAAACCCCTCATACCCCTCTTCCTTACAAATTACAAAATCCTGGAAGTCCTTCCCACTCGTCGCCGCCAGCTTACCCAACTTCGGTCGTATCCCCACGTAATCCGGTTGAATAGCGTCTCTATCCACACCGGGAAGATACGTCTGAATATCATCAATAGCCTGCTTCATATTCTTCGTGTTGGGTGTGTAATCATTCGGTGAGTCCGTCCACTCCACATCCGGTCCGAAACGAATCCGCCCGGCCATGTCGAGCGTGAGATGTGTGCCCAGTCCGCCGTGGCCTGGCACGGGAGCGGGGTAGACGAGTGTAGAAGGTTTAGGCCGCGAGACAGCGTAGGAGAAATACGACCCTTTTGCGTAGAAAGCTTTTCTGTGGCGTTCCTTGGGCAAAATCATATTTGAGATTTCCACGGCGAAGAGACCCGCGGAGTTTATCAACGTGTCGGCTGTTATGCTGCTTTCCTCGCCATCTGCTCCTGTTGTTGTGATTTCCCATCCCGAGCGTCCGGAGTCGAGGGGCGTGATGTGTGTGACTGTGGATTTGAATGCGCAGATTCCACCGGCGTTTTCAAAACCGCCTTGCAGGTATTGCATCAGGCTGTGGGAATCTACGATGCCTGTGCTGGGGCTTTCTAAGACGCCGGCTTCGGCACGGACGTCTGGTTCGCGGCGGTGGGCTTCTTCTTTGCTGAGGAAGTGGATGGGTACGTTGATGCTTTTGGCGAAGTCGTGGACTTTTTGTAGGGCCTCCATTTGTGCGGCGTCTTGGGCGACGATCCATTTTCCGGTGTTGCGGTGTGGTATGTCGTGGTTTTTGCAGAGCTCGTATAACATGTCTTTTCCGCGCAGACATAGCTTTGTCTTGAGAGAGGTGGGCCCGTAGTAGAGGCCTGCGTGTATGACTTCGCTGTTTCGTGAACTTGTTTCTGTGCCGACATGGCCATGTTTTTCTATCAGGACGGTGGAGGCGGAGTCTCGTTGTTGGAGTTTGCGGGCTATGGCTAAGCCTATGACTCCGCCGCCTATGACGGCGTGCGTGAAGTCTGCGTTTCGTTGTATGCTTGAGGAGAAGTTCCTTGAGGTGGAGAGTATAGATTTGAGTTGTGGAGATGGTCGAGAAAGTATGCGCAATGCGGCCATGATGGAAATGGGGAATTAACAGTAAGACTCAGCGCACTATGCTGTACGACAAACGACGACACATGAACAGCATGAATCCTGGCTAAATAATAGCAGTAGGCCTAGAGTATGATTAATGGCAGTCTCGATAAGTGATGCTTATCAGTGGCTGAGATGCATTTTGGATGACGTTACGTGAAATGCCGTTCCTGACGCTAAACAGAGTGGGGTCTCTCATTTGTTACTTCAATTGGCATTCCAAGGTGTACATATCCCAAACAGTGTCCCAGATAACAAGATTGAGTGATTCGGATTCAAGAGACATATTGTTCCCAGGTTTGTTGGCTCTCTCTGCAACGGTCGTTTCGCGGTACCTCTTTCCCCCATACAGATAACGTCATCGGAACCCCAACCTCCAGAACCCCGACATCGCAACCAGGCCAATGTTCACAACCCTCACGAGACGAACGATATCACGTCCACCAACCACTGCCATCCTAACAAGACACTTCCACAGCACACCTTCTAACCTCGCCTCACCGCTCGTCGACCGCGTAAACAAAGTCACAATGGCGTCCTCATCCGGCACACCCAAAGTAACCTCCCTAGTCGACCTCCCCTCCTCAGAAGCCAAATGGGTAAAACTACAAAAAGCCACCTACGTCGACGCCAAAGGCAAAGAACGCATCTGGGAAATCGCCTCTAGGAAAACAACTGGCAAAGCAGGCGTCGACGCCGTAGCAATGGGAAACATCATCTACCACCCCTCCAAGCCCCCCTCCACAATCGTCGTCATCCAATTCAGGCCTCCAGTCAGTGGCTTCACAGTGGAATGGCCCGCCGGTTTAATCGATGCTTGCGAAACACCCGAGGAAGCTGCAGTACGTGAGCTCTACGAGGAAACAGGGTACAAAGGAAAAGTCATCTCGACAAGCCCGCCTGTGGCAGCGGATCCGGGTATGACGTCTGCGAATCTGTGTTTGTGCATGGTGGAAATTCATCTCAATGAAGGGGATCCGGAGCCGGAACAGCATCTTGATGAGGGAGAGGATATCCAAAGGGTCAACATTCCGATTAGCGAGTTGTATGCGAGGTTGGAGGAGTTTGCGAAGGAGGGGTATGTTATTGCGGCCAAGTTGTACCATTGGGCGGCGGGCGCGCAGTATGCTATTGATCATCCGGAGTTGTTCGCTAAGGCGCATAAGAAGAACGATTAAGAGGGGTGAGATAATGGTCTAGCTGGTTGTGTTACATGTGTTAGAACAACTAGTATCATAGTGGTGCGATTACAGCGCACCGAATCTACAATATCGGTACATTATCAATATTGGTCGATGATCTACCAGCTTCGGAAATCCTCTTCTAAACATATATACATCCCATTCATTGCCAAAAGAAAACACTACCCCGCCTTCTCATCATCAATCTGCCTCCTCAAATCCTCCAACACCCCCTTCCTATTCTCCAAATGCCCCTGTAACCCCTCGACCTGTTCCCTCACCGTCTCAATCTCCTCTCTAATGCCCCCCAACCCCTTAACCGCACCCCCCTCATCATTATCCAACTCCTTGAGCACATTCCTCTTATAATCAAGCAGCAACTCCAATTCACGCTTCACAAGCGCAGGCTTACTATCTTTACTGCGTCCATGCCGCCGATTCTCCGCTTCCTTCTCCACATCCGCAATCTTCTGTTCCAGCTCGCGCAGCTGCTTCTTCAGCCGCACCTCCTCCCAGTCTTCTGTTGTGCGGCCCCCGAAATCTGTGCCTTTGCCGCCGCGCGCGCCGTAGTTGGCTGCACGGTCGCCTACGCCCAGGCGCGTGAGGTATGCGTCGCCGAATTTGGCTTTGCGGCCTGTGACGGTGTTTTCGTCGCGGGTTGCTGCCCAGCGCGAGTTTGCGTTTGATTCAATGTCGTAATCTATGTGCGCTTTTTCGAAACTGGCGCGCAGGCTCGGGGGTACGCTGCGGGGGACGCGGAAGCCTTCGCTGCGTTGGTTGAGGATGTGGAGGAAGGCGAGGGAGGCGTCTTTGCCGACGCTTTCCCGCGCTTTGGGGTTTACGAGGTTCCAGGCGAAGCGCACGTCTGAGTCGGGCACGTTGTCTAGGCTGTCGAAGAGACCGGATAGGCTGTCGAAGGTTATGTTGCCGTGGCCGTCGCGGTTGGCTGTGTAGATTTCTTCGTATTTGGCTTTGTCCGAGGGCGACATGTACCAGTCGAAGCCGTCGCGCAGGCCGGGGGTGTCGTCATCGTCTTCGACGGTTTCGTAGGCGGGTTGCGAGCCGGAGAGGGCGCGTCCGGCTTGGACGAGGTGGGCTTTCGATTCGGGGACGAGCCAGTCGGGCAGGGCTTTTGGTACATCCATAGATATCTATGGAATGTTGGTCAGCTCCTGTTCCTCTCTCAATCCTCTATCTCCTCCATCGCCCTTGCAGACATACCCCATTAATTAGGTCAAAGATTAGTCTCATGGCGACGCAGAACTCTTCAAAGTCGAGCTTGCCATCGTTGTCCACGTCCGCCAAATCCCACACTCTTTCCAGCTGGTCATCGCGCAAATGTGAGTTCTTGAGCACAGGTGCAGCTTGCACGCCGTCTAGGTGGGTACCGCCATTGCTGAGCGAACTGAATATCTCCCAGTACTTTTCGATTTCGTCTTGCTCGATGCGGTTCGGCGCCATGCTTGCGGTCGGAATTGGCTCGAGTCTATCGGTTTGGGTAGGGGCAGACGGCGAGGTTTGTGTATGTCGTGGTGAGATTCGGGGGTGCTGGTTGGGGAATGTCGGGATGGCGGAGCTCTGGCCGCGCCTGCTGGGCTGGGGTACGTAGCTACCTGACGCTAGTCGTGCATCCACCGCCTGCGACTCCCATGCCTCACACGAATGGATTCATCGCTGAGCTCCATATCAACAACCAAGCTTGTTCATACATCACTGCAAAGGCAAAAGAGGGAGCTTTGTGTTGTGGTCTTCAATTCAGCTAGATATATGCAACAACTCCCTATTATCATCACGTCAAAAGAGCGATGTAAGTACGACCCAGATTCCCAGACACCCGAGTTTTCCCATTTAATCGTGCGCCAGATGCAAAAGATACATGTTTTTGCCAAAGGAAAGACGAAATGGCGTTACTGCCGTGCAGACATGTATAAACAACATCGCTAAATGCAAACAATTCTCAATCTTCTCCTTCTTACATCATGTTGGCAAGCTCGTGGTCGATGGCTTGGGTGAGGAAGATCTTCCTCTCGCCAGTGAGTTGCATCTGTAGTCTTTGCTCCGCAAGCGCGATGATTTGCTTTCGGGTGACCTTGTCGAGATCGGCGTCCTTGAGGCATGCTTGAACGGTCTCGATGATCTGGCCATCCGTCGGTCCATTCATCATGCTCTGGAAGTTGGTTGTGCTGCCAGGCCGTGACATGCTGGCGCCATAGCTGAGAGGGCTGCGTCCACGGATCGGTGGTGTAGACGACGCCATCAGGTTGTCTGAGCTCTGGAATCCGCCCATGCTCTGTCGTTGACCGTATGGCGAAGTGTTGTTGCCATTGTACATATCGCTCATGTTGCTCATCGACATGACGCGGCTTTGGTGGGGGTTGTCCTGGTAGCGCGACATGTTCGAGTATGTCGATTGACGTGTTTGCATGCCTTGGTATGGGCCAGGCGATTGTGGTGGCATGTGCGAAATGTGCTGCATATTGGACATGACGGTCGAGGCAGGCTTGACGGATGAGTAGACGGATTGCATGTCGTTCATCTCATATGCTTCGTCTTCGTAGGCATTGAAACCACCCTTCTCCGTGGCCATGCCTGGGAGACCGCGACGACCGGGAAGCTCATTGCGCTCGGCGTACTCGTCCCAGCGCATCATGGGAATGGCCTTGGGGTCAAATCCTTCGTCATCCGTTGTGAGAACCTGCTTAGTGCCTTGCTCGCCGATGACGACACGCGTGTTACCCCATGAGAAATCGTCCATGTACCAGAAAGAGTACATAGGAAGTACGAGAGAGTAGATAGGGAAGGCCAGGAGGTAGATGATCATCCATCCAACATGCTGCCATTGTCGCTTGATGATGAAGATGAGCGCCTGAAGACCGTACACCGCCCCCAACATGATGATAGAGACAATGGGCAATTGGCCCGAGCCACTGGCGACGGTGTAGATGAGGAATACCAGGTATGCGCAGACGGATGGCAGGACAAGAGTACCGAAGAGATCGACGAAGACGACGAATCGCATCGAGAAACAACAGAAACCGCAGAGATCCTTCAGGAAGACGAGTTCGGCCAAGTTATGGATAGTCGAGTTGATCCATCGACGTCTCTGGGAGAGCAGAATACTCCACGTGTCGGGGGCGGCTGTGAGAGCGTACGCATCGGGAATGAACTTATAAGACATGGCAGGGAAATGCTTCGTCATCAAAGTCGTCAGGTAACGATCCTCACCAAGCGAGAGAAGATTCTTCTTGTGCAGTGTGTCGACAACACAGTCTGCGTAGTCCTTGATGATCTTGTCCGAGATGATGAGAGGCTTGCCCTTGTCGGCCGTGCGTAGGCGATACATGGTGAAACTGATACGAATTAGCACCACACATTGCAGGCAGGAGGGATTACTTACCATCCAGGCAAACAGGTGACACTGCCAAACAAACTCTCAAAGGCCTTGGACAGATGATGCGAAATGTAGTACTCGTAAACCTGGATCATAGTCCACCAGGACCGGTCTTCATTTTCCAAACTCGTCTCACCACAGATACCGGCGATCTTCGAGTCATGGGCACACGCTGCTACCAGACGGTTAAGAGCATCGGGCTTGACCATGGTGTCGGCGTCGATCATGAGCAAATACTCGTATAGTTCCGGGTCAACACCGATAATGTTGTTGACCTGGTGGAACATTTCCAGCTCCAAGGGGTTCATGGCTGAGCGGTGGTGGACGCGGTTGAGGAAGCTCATAAGCAGAATTTGAGAGTCACGCTTTCCTCGGTTACCTGGCTTGGACTTGTGCTGTTCCGACTCCTTGCCCATCTTGACGACCACTAGGTATGGTACCACATTGCCTTCGAATTCGTACAGACCAGAGTAGACCTTTCCGTAGTTGAGCTGCTGGCTTCCCTCGCCGACCGACCAAAATGGAAGGGCAGGAGGGTCGACCTTGGGGTCAACACCGAGGATGTCGAGTACAATCTTGGGCGTCGGACGATCGTTACCACCACCAACAATCATTCCGTCGCAAATGACACAGATGAGTTTTCGCTTGTTGTCGTAAGAGAGGGCAGTCAAAGAGTCCAAACTCTTTCGGAGCGAATCCTCACCCTCGGTATAGGCTGGCACCTGACAGATGACAAACTTATCCTGGTTTGCGGGGCGTTTGCGTGAGCCGAGTTGAAGCGCAGCTAAGAATTTGATGACGATGACTGCACCGATGATGATCGTGACGACGAGTAGGATGTAGTCGTTGACCTGGCACTTGGCTGATTTACGGAAATCGACTTGACCGACGTAGAACAAGTTGTCGAGACATTGCTTGTTGAACTGTTGCGCATTGTTGTTGAGGTTGTTGCTGAAGTCCTCCTTGAGGTTCTGACCGGCGTTGCTCTTTACCATGTCAATCAGTTTGGGATCGAGGAAGTTGTACTGGTCCTGGTCCCGCATGTAGTCAATCGTGGCGAAGTAGTCCGTCAAGTCGTAGACCCTGTCGTCAAGCCTGAACCACATGTGATTCAGATCTTCACCTTCATCCTTGATCTTTTTCTCTTCCCAGACGAGGGGTCCCTTCTTGAATTCCTTCATAGCGGGAAGAAAGACGTCAGGGTACCATGTCTCGCTCTTCAAAGCGGCGCTGTCTGGCATATTTGTCCTGGACCCAGACCCGTGCACAGCGATTGCGTTGAGGTTCTCAGCGGTGGATTGGTTGAGTGTCAGCTGCAACACCCGGTTTTGAGGCGTGTCTTTGATAAGATTGGGGCAAGCAATGTATAGCGGAGGAACGACGTATGGGTCCATGTTGGCACCAGCCATTTCCATCATTCGATCCCGGGTAGCCTCGGTGTTGGAGTCACTGTGCTGCTTCTTCCAGAAAGAGGTCAAGTCGTATACGACACCCCGATGACTGACGAAGTAGTCGTCCTCTCCTTGGTGCTGTGACACTTCTTTCTGGTTCCAGACCTTGTCCTTGTTGGGGCACAAGAGTTTACCGAAAGCGACAATGTAGAAAA